CTGTATAACGTGGGAACTTAAGACAAGGATCCAAAGATCCACACAAACAGTGCAGTGCCGTAGCAGCAAGGATGGAGGTTTCTCTGACAGCAATATGAGGCATAATGGCCAGAGCTTGTAGACAGAGGAGACCTTAAACATTATGGCATCAAGTTTTCTGAGTGTGAGGAAGTTTGTGCTTTTTAAAATAAATAAATAAATAAATAAGGTTAATATTTCACTAGGACTCAAGATTATAGATGCATAGTTGTTAAGGGCACCTCAATCTCTGAGCGCTAAGCGATCGCAGAGGTCTCTGGGCATACCTTGGGTTATGGTTTCCTTAGAATGATCACTGGAAGCTTGTGGTGGTCTTTGTGATACATGGCTTTATTTGTACATGCATACAGGCTGAGCTTAAGGTGGAAGGTCACCATAGATCTTGCTTCCCCCTCAAGCCATTCCTTTATGCCTCTTCCAATCCCACTTCAACACTGCCTGTTCTTTGTTCTCCTTCAAACACAAAGACCTTGATACCACCTTCAGCCAGGGAAGGGGAAAGGTATAGCTTCCCTTTTGCATATCTCATGTAATTCCCATGGCCACCACTTACGTGTATTCCTTACGGTTGCAAAGAGACCATCTAAAGCCCATTAACCTGCAGTACTTTTTCTCTGCAGGAAACCCTGAAACCCTAAAGATATCACAGGCTTGGCGGTGACTAGTTTCCCAATTTAAAGGCTGCAGTCTTAAGCACTTATATATGTGATTAAAGCCCAGTGAATACAGTGGGGCTTTCCTTCAGAGTAAACATGCAGAACGTTATATAGAGAAGCTAAAACATGGGTTGGCAAACTAAGGTCCGGGGGCTGAATCTGGCCCAATCGCCTTCTAAATCTGGCCCGCAGACGGTCCGGGAATCAGCATGTTTTTACATGAGTAGAATGTGTCCTTTTATTTAAAATGCACCTCTGGGTTATTTATGGGGCCTGCCTGGTGTTTTTACATGAGTAGAGTGTGTGCTTTTATTTAAAATGCATCTCTGGGTTATTTGTGGGGCATAGGAATTTGCTCATATTTTTTTTCAAAATACAGTCCGGCCCCCCACAAGGTCTGAGGGATAGTGTACTGGCCTCCTGCTGAAAAAGTTTGCTGACCCCTGAGCTAAAACATTGTGTGTGGGGGCTATGTGGCCGATTGCTGGCCAGGGCGCAGTTTAATTTGGCAGTGCCAGTTCTTATGTACTTTCCCTGCCTCTGTACCGTAAGTGAAACAAATGTGTTTCCAGGCAATCGCAGTAGAAGGCTATGAGACAGGACAGCATGCGCCAGGCCTCAAACTAGGCTCGGACGGAGCTTACAAAGCAGCGCATCATATAATTAAGGTAAGATGGGCAGAACACTGAATCCAATTCATGTTAGTATTGGATTCCTGTGTGACCAGAACAGTGGAGACACCACTTTCCCCCTTCTCCTCAACTTCGTATCATTCCAGTCACATTTATAAACACACCTAAGAGCCTTGCTAGAGCAGACCAAAGGCTTGTGTAGTCCCGTGTCCTGTTTTCACAGTGGCCAACTTGATATCTCTGGGACATGAATGCAACAGCGCTATCTCTGCTTGCAATTCCTACCAACTTCGCTGTGAGTCCCAGAAGATCTGCTCCCTGCCTTGCAGGCCTTTTCCCACTTGGCCTGGGAGGATGGGGGCCCTGGCTGACTCAGCTACAAAAGTTGAGGCTGCTGAACAGACTCTTGGACTGGGGTGTTGTTGCTGCTGGTCTTTTGTATCTTTATTTTAGATCCTGTTGTGATTTATGTTGAAATTGTTCAGTTTGGTTTTGTGTGTTTAATGGTGTGTATTTTATTGCTTGACTACTTTTGTTATGTTGTGCTTATGTACTTCATGTTGTAAGCCGCCTTGAGCATGGTTCGAACTGTGGAAAGGTGGCTTACAAAAAAGAAATATCGTATTCAGAGACACAATACAGCCATCATGACTAGTAGCCATGGGTAGAATTTGTCTAATCCTTTGTCTGGCTCACAGCTTTGCCCATCATTGCCTTCATCTGCCCCACCTAAAATAAAACATGTCTCTCCCAAACCAGTCTCTACAGCCATAGAGCTGTAACTCTCAAAACAGTTTGACTTTATCCCCAAAGGTGTTCTCTTTCATCGTCTCCAGAGACAGATGGATGCCAACAAGTAGCTCCAGCAACTTCTGGAGGATACTATATTCCCGCCTGTGCTTGCAAATATAAACATCCCTGATATAGACTCAGACCTTAGCAGAGCTGCTTCTTTTCACTACAGGCTCATGCAGAGGTGTGGCATTCTTACAACAAGAAATGGCGCGGGGAACAGAGAGGTAATAAGCAGAGCTGCTATAAATAAACAGCTATTTGGAGGTATGAGTCCAAGAGGCTAGAGAATAACTGCAGCACTGTCCCTTCTCTTTTAAGGCACTGTTGGGATTTCTTTAACTAGTACCTGGGGCGAACCTATAGAAAGATACAGAAGCAGCTGAGAGGCACCTGCAGTTTTCTCTGGGATGGTTTGCCAACCCAATTTACCACGGAGACTACCCTGAAATTATGAAGGATTACATTGGTAAGTCACACTGGTTCATTTTTTACCTTACTTATTTTCACAAAGTGAATTTTGGGAGGCTTGCCCATGTGATGTATTCAAGCTCAGTGTTAACTACCTGTTGGGAGGTTCCTACAGTGACAGGTGAACCAAGTAGAAACCCAGACCTTTTTCTCCAAATCCAACTATTTTACCCCTTTAATGATTCTCATACCAAATTTGCTGCTGCTTTAACCAGTGTTTCTGATGGCAGCCAAGGCAAGAGAGGCATCCTGGTGAAGGAGCTCATGCCATCTGCTCCTGAAGGGTCCAACCAGTCATAATAACACTGCCTTAAGATAATTACCGGTAGTCTTTTGTTTCTTTTAAAGTATGTGCAAACCACCTTGAGGGCAGTGTGATACAGTGGCTACAGTATCAGACTAGGACCTAAACCAGGGTGCAAATCCCCACATGGCCAGGAAGCTCACCGCTGACCCTGGACTACTCACTGTCTCTCAGCCTAGCCTACCTCACAGGGTTGTTGTGGGGCTTGAGGAGGGGGAGAACCTTGCACACCACCTTGAGGTGCCTGGAGGAAAAGGTGGGACATAAATGCAATGAATATACAGCAGTGTAGCCTGGTCCATTAAGATGAACAGGCCACTCCCCCACCTGCCTGCCTCCGCATTACACAGGGTGGTTTTGCCAGCTTCTTCCTCCTTGGTCTCCATTCTGCCCTTGCTGAAGACAGCAGGGAGGAAGATGGGGACTAAACTGTGTTGGCTCTTCCAGTCATTGGCTCTGGCTCCTCTTTTCCTATCGGTCCCAGGCACCAGCCACCAGAGATAGAGCTAGTGTGGATGCAAAGGGTTGTATTGCATCCATTAATATCACTAATTTCAACTCTGAATAGGATTGGCATTGGCTACAGCCTATTGAGCTTATCCTACTGTAATCAGGAAGAGGGTCTAAGTGAGGCATTAATGACTACAGAAATACAGCCAGTGACTGCTAAAGAGAGCTTCACTGCTTGGATGTTGTAGCCAGCATATGTGCTCTTTCTAAAACAGGCAAAGGTAAGAAAGCTTCAATCCTACACATACCTACACAGACTGCTTTTCCTTCTTCATGCTTGCCTTGAAAGGTAGAAAAAGTGCCAAGCAAGGACTGGCATCAAGACTGCCATTTTTCGCAGCACAAGAGAAGAGCTACATTAAGGGTACAGCAGACTTCCTAGGAATAAGCCATTTCACCACCCGTTACATTTCACAAAAGAACTATCCGTCGGAAGAGCTAAGTTATTTCACCGACAGATTTGATTGAATTGGTGGATCCCAAGTGGCCAAATGCAGGGTCCCAGTGGGTATACACTGTGCCTTGGGGCTTCAGAAGACTACTCAACTTTGTCAAGGTAATGTGTGCTTCCTTAAAGAGTCTTCCTCTTTGCAAGATGTGTGTTATTCTATCAAGTTGGAAGCATTGTAAAACATTATAAGCACATCAGAGCTTGTCTTTTGCTGGTTCACATGTGCATGTATGACCTCCAGCATCAATTGATTTGCATCAGAGAACAAGACTCACCAGGTCACTAAAAACAACTTTTCGATCAAGGTAAATGCAATGCTTTTCAACTGAGAGAGCTCCCTAGAGTCAGCTGCAAGTTATCCAGTGTGATGAAATCAAGAAATTACATATACCTACCAAACAATGCATGAATACATACAGGCATGACATTTGGTTTACACCAGGGATGGAGAATCCCTGCCCTCCTAAGTGTTCTTAGGAGTACAACTCACATTATCCTTAGCTGTGTGCTAGCTAAAACTGATGGAAGCTAGTCCAATGTCTACATGGCCACAGGTTCACTATCCCTGGGTTTTTAATAAACCTTAACTGGAACTAGCTGCAGCTAGAAGTGCCATTGTATCAAACAAGGGTTTAAAAGAGCACCCCATGGGTACGTGTAGGTTTGGGCTCCAGTGCTCAACAGAACTTGCAATCAAATCGTTTCCAGCCTTTTTACATACTAGCACTGCATTCTATAACCACAAATATTTGAATTATCTTGGATCACTCCAGCTACCCTTAAAATATGTACGTTGGGTGTTGGTTTTTGTTGCCTTAGGAACCCAGCTCTAATTTCAGTGCAGCAAAATACACCCATGGCTCTTGGAACAAGTGCAGCTCTGCCTTTGATACACATATCAATGAAGACTTTCTCTTTTTGTTTATAGGCACAATATGGAAACCCACTCATTTATGTGACTAAGAATGGCATTCCAGAAAAGCTACTGTATGCTCAGCTGTGTGATGAATGGAGAATCAATTATCTTAAGGGGTATATTAATGAGATGCTAAAAGGTGAAGTTTAAGTCAAATAATCACGTAAAGCAAATCAAGAACAGGTATAAAGTCTCACACTTAACAAAACCATATGATCCTTTCTTTCAGCTACTAAGGATGGTGTTAACATACAGGGTTACACTGTCTGGTCTCTACTGGATAAATTCGAATGGGAACAAGGTTATTCTGAGAGATTTGGACTCTACTATGTTGACTTTCAATATCAGAACAAACCTCGGTACCCAAAAGCTTCAGTTCACTATTATAAGGCAATAGTTGAAGCAAATGGATTTCCTAACCCAAGGGAGGTAAGGCCACTTTCTGCTAATTTTTGCTTCATGGAGAAAGGCAAAATTGATCAGATCTGAAGCATCAAACAAGCATCACTTGGCTTGGAGTTTGGCAACCATGTTTCCTTCTAAGGAAAGAGCATAAGAACGCTGCTGGATCAAACAAAAAACCTTTTATGTTCCAAAAAGAATGAAGTCTCAAGGCTGCTCTCCAGTGTGATGTAGGGAACTTCATCTGCTTAACTTGGGTTTTTTGTTGGGACTCCCATCAGCCCCAGCCAGCATGGCCAATTGTCGTATGAAAGAGCTGGAGTCCCAGCAAACACCCAGAGGGCCAACAGTTCCCCATCCCTCACTTGGGCAGACTAAGAACGTTTCCCTGTATCACAATGGAGAGCAGCCTTGAGTATTGCCTTTTCACACATCACAGCAGGGAGAGCCAATGTTGTACACTCCAGACTTTTGGACTACATTTCCTGACATTCCATGCAGGATGAGGATGGTGGAAGTTGTAGTCCAAAACCTTTGTAGAGCTCCATCCATGCTGGTTATTCTCTGCACTCATTGTTTCCTTCAGTGTTAGAAACTGAGATATGAAAGCTAAGAGCTAAATGGCACCTTAAACCTAGGTTATGGATGCAGCAATGGAATGTCTAGGAACACTTTTTTATAACAAGAATACAAAGCTGAAAATGAACTGCAGCTAAAACCTTATACTCATTTTTCACATGGTCTAGTCCTCATCTGACGACTGCAAAAAACAAAGCCTTACCTGCCTGCCCCCCTAATATTCTTATAAGGGTCCCTCAAAACGGTGCCTTTCTATAAGGCCGGCTGAGAGGCATAACCTTTTAGTTTGCCTGATGCTGTGGTGATTTCTTGGAAGTTGAGCAGGAAGGAATTTCTCCTCCCACACCTTCAGCACCAGCAGTGGCAGTTTTAATCTGGAATCTTAAGTGCGGTACTGTGCCCCATGCTCAGAAATTGCTTGCACTATTGAAATTCCCAGTCGCAAAATGAGCCTAGAACAATGGGAGTTTCGAACACTGGTTTCCTTCAAGCACAGTAGCTAGTTCCTCACCTAGCAGGTGTTTTTTTATAGCACAGTGATGTGGACTAATCTTTAAAGAACACACTGCTCCTTTCCAGCTCTATTACTTTATAGCTAACAGCAATTTGATTTGGCAGGTGGAGAACTGGCACCAGAAGGCCACTGAAGTCTGCTCAGCTATGAACCAACTCCTTAGTGCAGGTAACTCGTTTGAACTGCCCAATGATGATTCTTCCAGACCACAAAGACTGAGTTGTAGCAGTAATATAGATCAATACACTTAAGTTTCAGATTTGCTTTTAGAACTTTGCTCACTTCAGAAATTATTACATATGTTTAAGAGTCTTATGTCTCTTAAGTCAAGTAGGGAAATAGGATGTAGAATGATTGTGGTTGTGCACTTTTACCTTTAAGGGCTAGTACAGAAAAAGTCATGGGTGCAGCCATCTTAGTGTAACATTTTTTCTCGCTAGAGACACATCGTACAGCACTATGGAAGCTGCCTCCCAGCACTGAGCAAGCACCGTCTGAGCATAGTTAGTAGTGATGGGGGGGAGGGTGCTCTGCTATGTGTGCACCAGAATGGCAAATGGTGAAGCTGCTCCAAAGATTGACAACTCTTTCTTTCCCTTTCTTTAAAAATTAAGAGTATCAGCAGAATACTGTTGCTAATATACTCGGACTAATTCACAGTAATGGGCACAACCCATTTTTGTTATCATCTGAGCATTCACATGCTTGTAGATTCTGTTAAAGGCGGGAAAAGACAGGAATCTAGAATTGGGCTTCCTTGTGTTTCAAAGTTCTTATGGGAGTCGTTGACACTTGTTCATAATTCCAACTTAGTGCAGAATGACAGCAATGCTGCTCAAAAGTAGCTTTTGATGAGAATGCACAGCTGTACTTATCTAGCCCCCACTCTTTTCTCAAATTTCAGAGCCTTTGACAACTCATTTGGAAATGGTGACTGAGATTGTTGTGCCAACAGTTTTCACTCTCTGCATTCTCATAAGTGCTGTTCTACTGCTGATTCTACTCAGGAAACATCATTAACAAGCTTTTCATAAAACATCTTCATTTGAAAAATGTTCCCACCCATTTATTTCTCCATCTATTGGCTAACCAAAGTTCATCTTTTTGCTGACTTTATCAGTCATCTTTTAAATCAACACTTCCTTTGGGTCAATTGCGAGCAAAATAGCTGTACCCATTAATTCAGTGAGAACACTTTATAACAAAGTAGCAAATTTTTATTTTACATTCATAACCTATCTTTTTTCCAATATGGAACTCAATCACCTTTGGCAAGGTGGCTGCATCTTCAGACTATGCTGTGGGACTTAACTAGACACAGCAATCTCTGATCTAAATTAGGAGAGGAATTTAACATACCGTTTGTCTGCTTCTGAAGTAAAAAGTGGCCTTCAAAAATTAAGAAAGGCTACATAAAAATGGCCCTTTGGGAATATATAAATAATATCTAAGAAGAGTTCAATGTTGAAAATCCCACACTAAACCTCACTTGCTGCTGCCCAAAACTCCTGCTTGTAAAAGAAAGAACTTAGCTTGAATTTTAACATCAATTAGACTGATTGGATGACAGTTGTTGGGTTGTTGTTTTTTTACCTTTCTTAGACATCAGGAAAATACTTGCAGTCCAACCCTGTGATATGCTTCTGAAATGATGTAAAATTTGAAAAGTGTAACAAACACTGAGATCTACCAGTCTAAAGTCTTTTCTGATTAATTTAGCAAAAATACAACCTTCTGCTGAGGCTTTCATTAAGAAAATGTTATTTGAATTATAGAGAATTAGGTACCAACTGGTTCAGGGTTACTCAATAGCTAAAACAAGCATTTTTTAAGTAGGTTACCTGTCAATAGAAGTGTCTTGCTTTTCAACACAGTCCTCACTACCTCATTTTTCACTGCCACTCTCCCAGACATCCCCACGTTTCCTTTGCTAGCCCACAACCCTCCTCGCTTCCTCTCAGTTCAGTCCCATCTACCTAACATAAATTCCAAGTATTGTGGACAAATGAGTATATTAACTTCTGGCACACTGTAGACACTACATAAATGTTTACCAGGAGCAAAGAATAAACCTTAAACTTTAAGGCTGCAACTCTGCTTTGCGTATTGACTTTGCTACAAAGCTGGAGTGGAGTCCAACAGTCCACTTATCAGGAACATCATCACCATCATTTATTTATTATTTCTACCCCGCCCATCTGGCTGGATTTCCCCAGCCACTCTGGTAGGGGGCTTCCAATAAAATATTAAAAATACATTAAAACATCAGGCATTAAAAGCTTCCCTAAACATAAGGAAGTTGTCTTATATAGAGTCAGAACATACTATCTCAGTACTATCTATGAATCTTCAATGGATCTATTGGTGGTTACTAGACATAAGCACAATTTCAGTGTCAAGAGGCCTGCGACTACTAAATTTCAGGAACACAGAAAGCTGCCTGGTTCTGGGGTCAGATTATTGGTCCGTCCAGCTCAGTATTATCTATACTGATTGGCAGTAATCTCTCTCAAAACTTTCTGCATGCAAAATAGATCTTCCTCCTGCTATCTGCTCAACTGCATTTTTTACTATTATATTGGTTTTAATAACTGTCTTATGTAGATTTTATATTTGACTATTGTTAGATGCCCTAGGCTCTTACGGGAAGAACAGGAAATACTGCCAATATTTTATGTAAAGTACACCTGAGAGCACTTGGTGAAGGTAATAAAAGACATTTCTTTACTGCCACCATCTTCAGTATCATCCAGAAGACCTGCAAGACCAAAGAAAAGTGGTGACAGGTAGAGAAACCACAACAAGTGGATTATGAGGTGCTACATGGGATGTTAAGAGCAAAACATTGGACTTATCCATGAAGCTTTTCCTGGTTAAGTAAAAGGGGAGACTTCTGTGTTTTCCATGGGGAGGGGGACTTTCTCAGGTTTGGAAGCTCCCAGAGTGAAGGAATAAGCTGAACTATACAATTCAAGAAACCCGGAAACTCACTGACACGGAACACTTTCTTGCACAGAAAAAGAGGACAGAAGCCCATCCACAGGATCTTAGTTAGAATAACTAAGACAAAAACACATAGTCCCTAGGTAGAATGTGGAGACCTGGTCTATCTAGGATTTTCTTTCCAGGAGCAAAACGTCCAATGTTTTTTCAGAGAATCTCTGAACAGTTTGAGATGAAATCTGGATCTGACATCTACATTCTGGTGGTAACCTTCATCTTAGCATCTGACCTCCACTACATAAGCCATAGCTGTAAGTGGAAAGATGGTACTTCTCCCTTTCTGAAGACCTCAGAGCAAAGCCATCAAAATTAATCAACCCATCAGCTGCATGGCCCTGACTGTAACCAATAAGGAACTTGTTTCCAAACTCACTGAAAAACTATAATGCCTCTCTACGAACTAGTTTGGGGAGTTATGTGAGCCAGTGCCCTTGTTGTTTACCTTTCCTCAGTTCAACACACACACTTCATAGAAGAAACCCATCTTCTCTTTCTAGAGAATGACACTCCTGTAAGCTACACCCCAGAAATTCCCTTCATTTTTGGAGGCCAAAAGGAACTGTAATGAGTGATCTCTCGTACATATAAATAGCCTCTCCCTTGCTGATATGCAAGTCTTCACACATGCCTCAGGTCTACTCATTTAAACCACATGTAAGATGCGTCTGCATTGGCAATCACCAGTCTGCCATCAGCTCCAGTACTGGAAAATAAGATTCCCAATAATAAGGCATTTGCAAGGCAGGCTACAGGAAGTGGAATGAGGCAGAGTGGGGAGAGACAAAGAAGCAAATACAGACACTGAAATTCAGATCATAGAGACCCACTCACCTACACTGCTTGAGCTCATGTGTTCAGCTGGCACTGTGGTGCTCAGTTGCCATATTGTTTTCACTTTTTTCTCTCCTTGCCCACTGCTGATTTCCGCTCTCCACACTTGAGGATTTGCACTGAAGGACAGTCAAGAAGAAAGCCAATTATAAGACAACCTGGCAGTTAATGCTCTACAGGCATTTAAATTCCAGGGTTCAAATACTGAGGCCTAGCTTACTTTTGGTAGAACTCCTTCACAAAAGTTGTCCTGACTGGTAGCTGAAATACATTATTTTCATTCAGGGGGTTTTCCTTGTAGTAATTTATACAGGACCTAGGAAAAGAGAATTTCTTTGAATATCAGAGCTCTGAAGAGATACCCAGGGAATGTTAACTATTGATCCCTACAAATTAATTCCAAACCAGCTACATCCTTAATCTTTACAGTGATCAGCTGGCAAAAAGGTATGAGATACACTCAGGCAAAGCACAACCTATTTGGAAGCTATTTTCATAAGTGCCAGAGTGAACAGGAGTTGTGCAAAGAGCACATTCATGCTGAAAAACTTAGGGGCCTTTACAGGAAATAGCAGCAACAGGAAATCCCTTCAACTGATTTTTGATTTCTTAAATAGGAGCAGAGAGACACTTTAATTTAGAGCTGTGGTTCTCAAAGTGGCTGGTACTGTCCTCTGGAGGGCGGTAAAAGGCAAGTGGGCAGCAGGGGCCAGAGGAAGTGTAAATGGCCATCAGACTTTGAAAAGCTGGTATCATCAATATAGTTGAATTAACTGAACTAAATAGTTTTATTGGATTTTGAATAAATGTGCAATTAAGTGTTATTGTTTTGAATTTTATTGTGCTGTTATCTTCCTTAGTAGGTTGTACAAGCCACTATTCTGAATAATGGTTTTTATAGAGTAGGTGGCACTGGGTATTAATTTATGTAACCATGGTGTTGGTGGCATGAAAAAAAATTGGGAGCCACTGATTTAGAGCTTAGCTGTTAAGAATTAAACAGTACTCCCCTCCCCTTTAGAAATATATTCTATGGCCAAAAACTTGACACACAGCAACTTGGGTGTCCAAGAGTAAGACCTCAATAATCCAATCATTATTATATATTTGCCCCCAAGTTGCATTTTTGTGACAGCTGCACTTCTCTTAAAACCACTTACAAATGGAGAAAGGAGTTAGCAGCAGTATATAATATGATACACAGGAAAATAAAAGGGTTAAATAATAATAATAATTTATTATTTCTACCCCACTCATAGTGGGGATTGGGATTGCAGCCTCCATCCTCAATTAAGATGGCCATTTTCCCTTTCCACATATCAGTATTCCAGAGAATTCACTTGTCCTTGCTATTGAGATTTGCTGGTAAACAATTACTGTGTCAAGAAGATGAGGTTCTCTTGCTCAAGTTTAAGAAGTTCTACACAATTGTCCACGATCTCTAACATATGGTGGAGTTTCTGGATGCGCTGAACCTGCTCCTGCAGATCTACTGAAGTTGACATGAAGTAGTCCTTCAAGACAAAGAGGTGGCAAAGAACAAAAATCAATAGCTTTTAAGAGAGACACCAAATATATATAAGTTGCTGGGTTAAGACAGAATACAATGCAAATACTTCAATACATGCAAGACAGCGCTCACCCCTACTTTACTCAAGAAAGACTAAGCCAAAAGAATTGCTGCAGTTCCACTCATAAAAGGTCTAGTTCGCTCATCATAGTAAACCATAGTTAATGGTTTACTGTGAACAGGTGCTTTGCTCCCCCCGTTGTCATGTGGAAACAAACCATGATTCTTGGCCCAGTGTTCTGTCCAAACCAGGGATCATGGTCTGCCCCACTCCCTTAAACCCCTTAACTGTAACCAACATTTGTTTTTGGCTCACTGACTATAGTCTGTTGGAAATGAAGCAAACCACCATCTCCAGTTTGGAAACAATGGTAATCCGGGAATTATGGTTTACTGCTTCTTAATAATAATAATAATAATAATAATAATAAATTTTATTTATATCCCGCCCTCCCCAGCCGAAGCCGGGCTCAGGGCGGCTAACAACAATAAAACAGTACAAAAGTACAGCATAAACAACATTCTAAAATCATTCATTATAAAATTAATTAATTCAAGCCACTGGCAACCATTGGGCCAGAGCTCCGCGAAGATTGCCGAGGGAGGGAGTCAGGCTGTGCCCTGGCCAAAGGCCTGGTGGAACAGCTCTGTCTTGCAGGCCCTGCGGAAAGATGTCAAGTCCTGCAGGGCCCTGGTCTCTTGTGACAGAGTGTTCCACCAGATTGGAGCCACAGCCGAAAAAGCCCTGGCTCTAGTTGAGGCCAGCCTAACTTCTCTGTGGCCTGGGACCTTCAAGATGTTTTTATTTGAAGACCGTAAGTTACTCTGTGGGGAATACCAGGAGAGGCGGTCCCCTAAGTACGAGGGTCCTAGGCCGTATAGGGCTTTAAAGGTTAAAACCAGCACCTTAAACCTGATCCTGTACTCCACCGGGAGCCAGTGCAGCTGGTATAGCACCGGGTGAATGTGATCTCGCAGCGAAGACCTCGTAAGGAGTCTCGCTGCAGCATTCTGCACCCGCTGGAGTTTCTGGGTCAGTCTCAAGGGCAGCCCCACGTAGAGCGAGTTACAATAATCCAGTCTGGAGGTGACCGTCGCGTGGATCACAGTGGCTAGGTCAGGGCGAGAGAGGTAAGGAGCCAACTGCTTAGCTTGGCGGAGATGGAAAAATGCCGCCTTTGTTATAGCTGCAATCTGCGCCTCCATGGAAAGGGAGGTGTCGACGATTACACCCAAACTCTTAACGGACGGTGCTGGCACTAATTGCGCCCCCGCAAGAGATGGGAGTTGCCCCCCCAATCCCATATCGCCCTGTCCCAGCCACAGGACCTATGTCTTCGAAGGATTTAGCTTCAACCGGCTCCCACGTAACCATCCAGCCACAGCTTCCAAACATCTGGTCAGTGTGTCTGGGGCCGAGTCAGGATGGCCATCCATCAACAGATAGAGTTGGGTGTCATCGGCATACTGATGGCAACCCAGCCCAAAACTCCGAACAAGCTGGGCGAGGGGGCGCATAAAGATAAAGCACAAGGGGAAACAAAGTAGCCAAGATCAGCGAGTTGTATCAAATGCTAGTCCTGCTCAGAGTAGACCCATTGAAATGGATGGGAATGACTAACATAGGTCCATTAATTCCAGTTGGTTTACTCAGAGTAGAACTAGCACTGTGCAGGCTGGGCCAGTCATTCACTACTGTTTTGAAGAGAGGAAAATTGGAAGTCTCTTACCAAGTGAGTTCGGACTGCAAATTCCTTGCCTGAAACAAAGATAGTTTGACTTAACATAATTTTAAATAAAGGGGAAACTTTCATTTCTACAAAAAAACCAAATGGGAATATAACACAAAGTCACAAGCCTCCCTCCAAGTTTGCTTTGCAAAGAGCCCAAGACCAATGAGAAAACTTGAGATGAAACCCAGATGAGAAAGAGACCTTGCAGGTTGGCCACAGCAGAGTTTTAACTTCTTAACAAATTAAAAACACTTTTTTTTTTGTATCCCAGCCTTTGGTTGACTTCTTATTGGAGAATTCTACTGGATCTGTGTGTTTTGTTGCTGTTTTAAAGTTCTATATGCTAATATAATTTACGCTTTATTGTGCTTATTATATTGTACCCCACTCTGGGATTATTTTTTATTGAAGAGTGGTTCAGAAAACGTTTTTTTAAAGAGGGCAGTTTTGCAACCACTAATATTTACAGGCAGCAGAAGGCCCCTGTTTTAGTGGCAGTGCTATATACAATGTATTGATAATATCAATTAGGTCAGCAAAATAACCCCTGAATGAATGGATCTAGGAGCATGACCACGAGTCTAGACCACCAAGTGCAATCAGAGTCATTAAAGGTATGTAAAAATGTAGAAGGAAACTGGTACTATAACTATTGCCTAGTAACACATATAAAAAGACAGATGTACAGTGGTAAAAATGTTGGTTCAACCAATAATTTTAGTTGCTAAATACTTGGGAAAAATAATAAATTCCATCAATAAGATTCTAGTGCATAAACTGTATATTATTAACGAATATGGGAAGAAACGTTAGGTTTTTTTGCAAAGTTTTACTTAAACCTTGGCACACATTCATATTTCATTAGTAATATTCATAATCATAATAATAATGTATTATTTATATGCCGCCCATCTCACTGCGTTACCCCAGCCACTCCAGATAGCTTCCAACAAACAAAGACAGTAAGACATAATAGTGGAATAAAACCAAACATTTGGGTCAATAGCTCCCTGTATGGGAGGTGATTTAAGAAATGTGCTGAAGCCAATATTGAAAACTTAGTTTGTACATACATGGCACTCATCATTGTATCCCCTTCTGATCTCTAACAATTCTCTTTCTTCTATCTTTGTACTTTTGCTTTAAATGCAAACCTTCTCCTCATTCATTTATTTATATTCTACCATTCCCACTTACAGGGGCTTATGAACACTTTCTGCTGCTAAAAAAATTATCTGCAAACCCCCCCCCCAAAACATAGTCTTTAAAAAAGTGAAATCCTCTAAATATTGTGTGAAGATAATGTAGAAAAGCAACGTAAGGACAAGGACCATCTGGAAAACTCAGCTGATAGTTTGTTGAGTAAGACAAGTCACTTTTGTTGGTTTATATCCAAAAGTAGCATTCATGGAAACAGTCCTAACATGTAATTAAGTAATTTGCCCAACAGAACTTCAAATCCTTTTTCATGACATGCCCGTCTAGATTTTTTAATTGAAAGAGATTGATTTCAAAAGTGATGGATTGTTTGGATGCAGTCACCCAATATCATGATGGCTGTGCAAAACAGACTTACCTACAAAATAGCTAACATAATCTCTCTTCATCTTATCTACACCAATTTCTAGAAGCATTTGAATTGGAGTATCTCCACTAAGAGAAACTGATTCTATTCTTCCATTATAAGATTGCTTAATCAGTTTGCTCAGTAAGCTGTTACTTCCTTGATGAACCTACAGAGACATAATCCGTATAAATAAATGTATACATCCTGTCTACTGATAAGATAAAGTACAGAAGAATTACAGCACAAAGAGTAGTTTTAAGAGAGCCCATTTCTGAAGGCTATACGAGTCAGCTCAGCCCTAATCATTCAACCAAATACATTCACTGATACTCATTCCCTCAATTAGCAAAGTCAGGTAGTAGAATACCTCTTAGTTTGGAAATAAAGCAGGGTCACTCAAAAGTAATAAGATTGGTTTCATAGTTGGGCCTATATAGTGCCTTCCAAATGTCAGTAGACTACAACTCCCATCAGACCCAATCAGCACAGCAAATTGTCAGATTTGTTGTAACCCAGCAACATCTGCAGAGCAACCCCTGCCCTGGATACAAAGAAAAACAATAGTTTGTAAATTAATTTATCATTATTATTAAATTCACAGAGAGCATGACATGCAAGTTTCCAGCATGTACGGAATATTGAGGGGTGCCAAATAAAAGGAAATTGTGGGGTGGGGGAGAAAACTGGCCTCTGCAAACCCCTAAGATAGTTAGTAACCTGACAGAAAGGGATTAAGGTGGGGGCAGGTGTATGACATGACGTTAAAAAGCCCACCTACCTTCTCTGCACTGTATTTCAGGAGCAAGGAAAGGAAAACACAGATTTTCTCTTTCCCATTCTCCAGAACCCTCCCACCATGCTGGCTACTTAGGTTTCAGATGATTGGTTTCATGGGTACCAGCCTTAAAACAGAGCCCACTAAGAATATAAGACGCTGCTTTTTACCACAACAGGCTGTTTGTCTGTCACCCACTGTTGAATAATTTTGGCTGGCAGTGTTATTCCAGAGAATTGGGCAGAGATATGCCATACGGATGCATTATCTTATCAGCACAGCTGGGAAAGGTATCATGGGGTGGGAAAGAAAAATAGGTGGTCTATTTATTCACCATGAAACTCTGCCTGCCCCTACCCGCACTTACAAAGCCTGAATAGGACTGGCTGAACTAAAGCATTCCTCTTAGGGACTGGAAGCAGACCTGCCATAAAGAAGTTTCCTGGTCACCACTGGCACCTAGAAATTGCTGCCAGGCAACCAGGCAGTGACTCAAGACTCCTTAATATGCAACACATTCCCCAGCACGAGCCTAGTCCTTAAAAGAAAAAAAAAACACCAAAGTAAATTCACTGGATATGCTCCGTTCAGTGCCAATTATGTCAAACTAGAACTTTGTCTCAGAAGCCTCCTGCGTGACTTTGCGGAGAGCACTGTCATTTCACAAGACTCCGTAAGCTGAGATGAAGACTCAGGATGAGCAGATTGTTCATGGTCTTTGGAAGGATTTTTAGCACCTTCTGTTTGCTTTTGCCTTGAGGCTGATTCATTAGGAAGGTGTAGAGAGAGCTCCAATAAGCCATTTACTTTTGTAGAAGCTGCAGCTGCCTTAAAATAACCTGGAAACTGCTTTGATAGGAATTCTACAAGGGCTATACAAGACTGCTTACAGTTACTCAGCAAGTAAAGAAAAAACGTATCACTTAATATACGGTTTCTAAGCATTAGCTCCGTAAGCCTGTTTGTGAGCTGAGTCCTGGCAGTAAAAAACAAACTTTGGTCCAAGTTCTAGTGAACACCAACTCAAATTAAAAGGAGGAGAGAAAATGAGATCTGCCTAAGAGGCGCACCTGCAGTTGTGTTGTAAAGAGGTGCCGGTTTGGGGCAGCGGGGGAGATTTCTTTTGCTTTGTCTGCCCAGCAAGGAGAAGCTCCTCTGCAACTCTGTCCAATATTTTGAGAAAAATATTCCTGTGCTCCTTTGGAGATTCATCAAGGTAAATCCAAAACCAAAACCACCTTCTTTATTTTCCCCTTCAAGTTTTCTTTGTCCTAAGACTTTACTTTTGTAATCCCAGAGCAGCTGGTTTAAAAACAAAGCAACCCCCCCCCCGTTCTCTTAAATCTGAGGTGAGAGAATTGACAAGAAGTGCTTTTAAAAAAGACTCAGGTCAATATGGAAGGAATTAAAATACAATGAGCCAAGAGGCAAGGGAAAGAGGGATTCTAATCTATGTACTCAGCATTTAATTAAAAAGGTATTTGTTTCCCACCCACTTTAGCAGGTAGCCCCCTTGAGAGTTGGCTAAGGGTCAATGAGGTCCTTGGCCTGAAAAAGGTTAGCCACTGCTGACTTAAGGGAACAATCCTATATTGTAGTTCCTCTGGCTGGGGGTTTACAAGATTTGGTGGAAGCCCAGCATGAAAAATGGCTGCAATGTAGGCATCCTTTCCAAAGCAGCCCGATTGGTGGACTGTAGCACCAAGGAATGCCGAGGGAGCTCGTCATTTTTTTGGTTATCTGGTTGTGCTTCTCCCCATCCCAGTTCCAGACCAAATACTCACAGGATACCACAGCTGCTCAGCTAGCATAGTAGCTGTGCATCTTGTCTCCCTGCCTACTTCCCAGTAACATAAAAACTATACAGCAGGGGTGGTCAGAAGGTGGACTGGGATCTACTGGTAGATCTTTGGGGGGGTTGCAGTAGATTAACAATTGGGAATGAAATTCTTGGTGAGCAAAAGAAAAACCTTCTTGTTTTCCAAAACGAAACAAAGAAAGTGGTGGGCTGGAGGAATGGATTTTTCAGCAGAACGAAAGCAAGCTCAGGTTCTGGCATTGAAAACGAATTCCTGGGCACCAACGTATGCCCTGTTCCTTAACTCTAAGGATATACCTGCTCCACTTTCTAAGGCAGTACTTTGCACATGGTTCCAGTTTGCAGATAGCAGGATTACAGGAAAAAAGCAGATCCCACAAGCTTGAAGTCTGACCAGCCCTAGATAGGATTGGTTTACCCGAGATGTAAGCTTTATTAATCATTACATACCCAGGTCTTCAATTCACCACACTGGAGAGCTTTCATTATCAACATGAAGCACTTCACCAATTCTTCATATGAAGTGACATCTTTTTTGGGGGGGGAGCAAAGCATTAAATAAAACCAGTGTTAATTAAAAGTAGCTCAAATGAAAAACAAACAAATAAGCAGGACAGTGCATAAACCTTCAGTCATTTCTCTTACAGGCTAAAAATCTTAAAATAAAAGATACCTAGGGTCATCTAGAAGCATACTTACTCTTCCATATTTTACACCAGAACTGCTCAACAAAATCAATGTCTCTTCTCCTGCTAAAATGTGTTTTCATGGTGCCATAAACTGCAGCAGTGTCATCCTGGAGATTCGGAAAATAATTTTTAAAATCATCCTTCATAATAAAGGCATGGATTTAATATTATTTTAGTTATTTATATCTTGCTCTTCAAATAAATCTATCACCGGGCATTTACAATAAAGAAGCAAAAAACACTACACCTTTTTTTAAACCAACAGCAGTAGCAAATAAAAAGGCCAAATAGTTAAATATGGAAGAGTTCCTTTGGATCACACAATGTTAGGTTGGTAATGGCACCAGGTTGGAGAAGGCTGAACAAAGCGAATCAACAGGAGCAGACATGCCACCCCAAACCCATCAGACTCTGTGTTAGACTAGTTTAATAGGTCCCCATCACTGAAATGAGCTGTACTAGTGCACCCCAGGACCTGAGAAACTGCCCCAATATAGACCTGTAAGGTAACTTTGATCATCTGGAGAAATTCTACTCATTGCATCACGCTCTATTATATTTTTACCATAGCGTGGTGACCTGAAAACAAGCATTTCTGCTACTGCCCATTCGGTGGCATGCCTTTTTCTGTTTGCCCTATGCGAGAGCAGCAGCCATCATATGCTTCTGATGTCTTGTAGAGACATCTTTTTGCCTAGGCTTTTCTTGACCCAGAAGATCAGACTCTTGTTTTATTGTTAGAATTCCCCAATTCCTATTGTATCTGTTTTATATGCTTTTATATTGCTCTTTTTTCATATTTAGATTGCATTTTTAAATGACATTTAGAAATAATTGCACACCACTTAGTGAACACTTTTAAATAAATAAATGGAAGTGGCCGGTGCCAATCTGAATTGCAACAGGATATGACCCAACCATAACAAGGGACTGCTTCAGTATTTTATAAAAATAAAGGTATTTAAGTTTAAAAAGTAACAAAAAGCAGTTGCACTGGAAGAGAGTTTGAATAGCACAGTCCCTCCTATACACACCTATGAGGCGTAAAATCATGTTACCAAACAATGAACAGCCAACACATATCCAGCAACTACAGATTGAAACTGCCCTGGCAATGATGGGCAATGAAAAATTTCACAGCTCTGAATACCTCAGCATCACTACTGTTTGGCATCTTCAAACCGTCCATCATGTCCTTTAAATCTAAAGTGGGAGAGAGGATGACAGTACAGATCTATTGGCAAGGTACACATAAGCAGAGTATCAATACATAATGCAAATGCCATTGATGTAATGCAAATAGTTTTGCTAAAAAGTTTGGCTGCAATGGACATTTACTGAGCACAACAAATTTACCTCTACTTCTATTGGAAGCACAAGAAGTTGCCTTACAACAAGTCTGACAATTGGGTCTATCTAGCTCAGTATTGTCTACACTGACTGGCAGAGGCTCACCAGGCTTTCAGGTAGAGGGCATTCCCAGCTCTACCTGCAAATGTCATAGTTTGAACATGGGACCTTCTGTATGCAAAACAAATGCTCTACAACTGAGCTATGGTCATGTCCAGCTTTTCACAGCAAACATTTCCAGAATACTACAAAGTTACCTTTCAAAAGTTTCTGTACTAGTTCAACAGCTGGTTTCCCCCCCACAAGTTTAGGCCAGTCAGCCATGCCAGTCTTCAAGCTCTCAGCCAAACTCTTGACAGCACCGTGTAAACAAAACAAAAAGATCACTATTCAAGAGCTTTGTATTGGTTATGGTAGGATACACAGGGGTTAAGTTTATGGAACCAAATTGATGGCCCCAATTTTTGGGGGAACCACTGTTTTAAATGTATAGAGGATCTACCCCTAGAAAAACCATGTCTAAATTCTGCCAAGAAACTGTACTCAGGGTAGGATTTTGGTTCAACTAAGAATCAATTATGTTTACCCAGACAAGACCCACTGAGATCATTGACCTTACTCCTTGGTAAGTGTGCTTAGGACTGTACTTGGGACTTCATACTTTGTTCCATTTCTTAAAAAGAAAAGAAATACCACTGGAACTACCATGATCTTTACTGCAAAACATTTTTTTAAAATTTTAAATTGGAGTATTCTTGGTAAAGGTAAGGGGACCCCTGACCATTAGGTCCAATCACAGACGACTCGGGGGTTGCGACGCTCATGTCACTTTATTGGCCGAGGTCATGTGGCCAGCATGACTCTGGCAAACCAGAGCAGCGCACAGAAATGCCGTTTACCTTCCCGCCGGAGCGGTACCTATTTATCTACTTGCACTTTGTGCTTTCAAACTGCTAGGTTGGCAGGAGCTGGGACTCAGCAATGGGAGCTCACCCCGTCGCGGGGATTTGAACTGCCGACCGTCTGATTGGCAAGCCCTAGCATCTGTGGTTTAACCCACAGCGCCACCCGCGTATTCTTACAAATATTTATTTGATTTAAGGGTGCTGTTTAAAACCACACAACCATCCTTGCTACTATATGATCAATAGTTCTCTTCTGAAATGTGATTTTCATACCTATACTTACAAGAAGGAACTGCAGCTCCCTATTCAGTTCATACACAGAACTCAAGGGGCTCCCAGATGCCATCTGAATCTTCTGAAAGTTCAAAAAAAGCATAATTCTTTATGTGGATCCTTGCTAGAGCCCAGGAAGACTAACAAATCATTTAATGCACTATCACGTTAAGCTACCTAACATTAGCTTGTCAATTTACACTATTCATAGTTAAGTCAGCACAGTTTTACTCTGCTACTATAATTTTTTAAGAGAGGTGATTTCCTTACCAATGTGGCAGCTGAAGTCAGGGGAGGGGCCTCCACCATCTTCTTTACAGAGTTCCAAGAAAAATCAGCGAATATATTTCTCTCCAACGGAATAAGGGTGTCCTCCAGTGAGAGGGAGTCTAATGAAGTGGTTTCAAGGAACTTGTAACGGGCAAAACCCTTTATTGTCAACTATAATAATAATAATAAAATATTTATACCCTGCCCATCTGGCTGAGTTTCCCCGGCCATTCTGGACAGCTCTCAACAGAACACTAAAAACAGAATAAAACATCAGACATTAAAAACTTTCCTAAACAGGGCTGCCTTCAGATGTCTTCTAAAAGTCAGATAGTTATTTATTTCCTTGACATCTGATGGGAGGGCGTTCCACAGGGCGGGTGCCACTAGCAAGCAGGCCCTCTGCCTGGTTCCCTGTAACCTCACTTCTCGCAGTGAGGGAGCCGCCAGAAGGCCCTCGGCCCTGGACCTCTGTGTCCAGGCTGAACGATGGGGTGGAGACGCTGCTTCAGGTATACTGGGCCAAGGCTGTTAACTAGAATTAACAGTTTACAGTTGCAGAATGCTGTTGCAAAGGTGACCTCCCAGAGCATATTTCTGAGGCAGAAGGGACTTGGGGGGGGGCAGGTAAGGAAGGGGAAGTCTGCTTGTCTAACATTGGATGTCACCCATAGTTTAGAACAAGAAAAACACCCAATTAAAAAGTGGTTACCATAAAAATCCCATTAAGGCTTAAATCCCAAACAAGAGCTAGACCCAGATTGTTTAGGCTCTAGCCTTACAGAGGCCATGTCCTAAGCCTAAATATCAGTATTTTAGGGGTCTAGGCAGTAAGTGACTTGAGGTTTCGCCAGTTGTGTGCATGTGAAAATTAAAGTAGTTCCAATATTTGTATAGGTGTGAATAATAATAATAATAATAAACTAGAGAAACCTACGTCAGAAGAGTGATTCCTCATTCTGTGAGTATCTTTTAGTTCTTGCAAGTCTGCTGAATAATTTTTATTTGATATTGGACCTGGATTAAAAATAAACTGAATTTAGTAGAAGTCTTCTAACTTTTGAAGAACAACATGTCAGTTTCCTCTTGGGATCTGCTTGCATCAGAAGATTCCCCTCATATCAGTATCCTACTGCCTCTCCCAACACTGATAAGCTATGAAAAGAATCTAGATTATGGGTTTCTCCGAGACAAAAATTATTACTGGGAACCAGTAATACACACCCACTTGTCTACATCTCTTTAAAACAGCAAGTAAAGTACACCCACCAGACCATCAAGATTAAATAGGTACATTTCCAGGTAACACCATCTGAATTAAGAAAAACCCAACTTGTTTACTGTACTACATGCTGTATTAACCAATATAGCCAACAACCACTTTCTGAAAAACATCTTCAGGAGTAGAGGTGATGAACTAACACTTTGATTATGGACCAGAAATGCAGACACTGTATTTTAAAGACTAAAAAAAAAGGGGAGTTACATTAATAGTCTTAACATCTCTACTTCCTCTCACTCAGATTCAACGAAGAGGTTGTTGACAAGTAAGGTATCCAAGGGAAAATCTTACCATTGCAGGTAACTGTGTATAGATGGATTCCCGTAATCTTGTTTCCAGTGCAGAAAGGTTCAGCTCCTAGCCAGACAGTTTGTTTGGGGTCGGAGTGATCACATCGCACCCACAGAGGAGGAAGTGGTGCTGACTCGTTTATGTTGGGGTGGGCCATATTTGGATTTTGAGACATTGTGTAGAATGAAATCAACTGCCTGGAAACAAACTTAAAGACATCAGAAATGTTCAATAACTGTCAGAAGTGTATTATGAGGGGGATAATGCTTAATTCCTTTCTATGCCACAGTAGCCTGATTTAGAAGATAACCTCTTCACTTAATAAACCAAGAAATGCACGTGCTATTCTAAGAAAACACAACAATAAAAGCATTAAAACACCACAGAGTACAGAATAAATGATAAACACTGACTCAAATTAATTCTCTCAAAATGCTTAGCGAAGCAGAACTGTTTTCAGCAGGTGATGAAACATCAAAACTGCAGGTGCCTGACTTGATAGGAAGGAACATCTGCTCTGTTCCTGGCTCAACCCTTCTTCCTTTTTGCTGGCATGCTGTGGCACATCTTAAATTAACTGCAGTTTCCTGCAATGTCCAAACTGGGAAGCTATAGTTACTGGTATGACTACCAGATTCAGAATGAGCAAGCATCTTAAACCAACTTCAAACCATGAAATGTAATTATAGTTACCTTGTTCAGACATCATTGGAAATGATGATTAACTGAAGACTTCCTGGCTTATCACATTGCATTGAGAAAGGGGAGCATAAGGATGGGGTTGACAGGGGAAGTCTAGTACACATCTCAACTTAAGAAGTTGAGATATGACAATCCAAACCAAGCCACTAGCTTCTGGGCTGGATCATTTGATCTTACAATTCAGCATGCAATAGCAAGCTATCCCAAATCAAAGAAAGCTAATTTATGTCTCACGTGTAATAAAAGCTATTATCTTCATGCAAATTTAACATAGGCTCCTCTTAGAGGAGTTACAGGTGGTTGCCTACTAAGGCCATCATGAAACATTTGTTTCCAGCATTTCTCAGAAGTTTACACATTCAATTACAGTAGTTGACCTGCATAATAAACAATTAGTCTTCTGTTAGTTGTTAAGAAAGTGCATTCTTTTCAATAAAAATATAAAAATTAGGATTCACACACCTTGCTCTTGGAAGGGGTAAAGCAAGTGCTGAAGAATTCTCTTTCGGGAAAGTCCTAGAAATAGAAGGGTCACCTATCTGCTGCTCTTCCAGCTCTTGCCTTTCTTCACAAGGTCTCTATAAGAATAAGCAATTGTGTTAGAATGATTACCACTCAGACAAAAACAAGCTCAATGTTTTTTTTTAAAATAAAGACACTAAACATACTACTTTCTCCATAATGAACATTGTATCATTCCTGTCCCAGAAGCTCTCCAAGGGATTTATACATCCTTCCTGAATCAAATAGACTTGCACATCAGCCTGGAAGAACAAACAGTTTAATTTCTGCAGCACAGCTTTGGGAAGCATTTAAATGACACTTGAGGAATAGAACATTATCTGCTATAATTAACTTAGAGCATCAATACATGAAGCAAATCTATATGAAGTGACACTAAGAATGAGTTTTCTTCTGTGGTGATCCAGAGTTGGACTTTTCACATTTGATGAAGGTTATCTCCTACTGAACTACATTGCAGCCTTAATCTACACAGCAGCGTACACATACTTTAAAATTAGGCTGATCAATGTCAAGGAAGCATCTCTTTAAGGCAAAAGCACCAAAGCTACATCAAAAATCTTGAGATAATGGTCTACGATATGGCAAAAATGAGAGATCTATATTTTCCTTACAAAAAACTGTTAAGAGTTCATTACAACATCTCAACTTCCAAGGCACAGAATGAAATTTACTCAATAGCTGTTCTTATAGCATGAGTTGATTTGCCATTTCAAATCAATCAGATGAATTTCTCAGATTCAGAAATACTACAATTTTAAAGTTTGTCAATCAGATTAATCCATAGATTTCTCCTCCTCCTCCTTTTCTGAATGTAGCTCTAAATTAGGACCCCCACAAGTGCAGAACTATACATTTTCATCTACTGTTGTAAAACACAATGGGTGTTTTTGGGAGAAATTATACATTCTTACCTCAAAGGTAAGTGGTCCTTGGTTGATATTCTTTTTTCCTTCCTCATATACTCTGTAACATAAGTAATTTATAGTATTTGGTTTTCTGAATTAATGAACAGACTTCAACAGAAATATTTTGCAGGCCAACCCTAATAATCTTCTGGTAACACTGTCAGTAAACTGTACAAATACTGCTAAAATCACCATCTGTCTTAAGGTTGCTATTCCACTCCCACCTCCAATCATTAAACATTAATTAAGCAGCAGTAGAAAAATGCTCACATCCATTTAATTTTTGCCTGTCAAGCTGTTACTAAAAGTTCAGGACAAGACTCCTTGCCAACAGTATCTCCAAGCGAGTGCAGCATTTTGCAGTTTCCCTTAAGCCAGAATGGCACCCATCCACAGCAGGAGAAAATAAAAGGAAGCATTTGGCACAGTTAAACTATGGAACTCACTCCCACAGGAGGCAGTGATGGCCAGCAATCTAGATGGCATTAAAACAGGATTAGAATAAATTGTGGAGTACAAGGCTACCAATGGCTACTAGCCACAATGGCTACATTTTACCTCCATTGAAGGTTCTTCACAGTAGAACCTCCACAGAACACCTCTGAATGCCAGTTGCTGAGAATTGCTGTTGAGCTCATATTCAGCTTGCGGGTTCCCCATAGGCATCTGGGTGGCCACTGTGAAACCAGGATGTTGGACTAGATGGGTCATTGGCCTGATCCAGCTGGCTCTTCTATGTTCTCATGGCAGCATTGTGTGGGCTCCCACTGACTAAGAATCAAGCTTGTTTTGCACAGCCTTATCCCTTTGTGGGCCTGACCCCAACCCGTGCCTTGTATCTTGGTTAATTAGGGGCAAGCAGGAGGTAGAAAGAGCCAGACGTTAATTTCTAGGGAACCACCTGCAGGTTCCAAGGAACTGTCACAGGTATCGCAGAAGGCCCATTCCACAGAAGGAACTTGCAACAAAATTAAATGTTGTAAGCTTATTTGATAAGTTGCAGACCTGGTAGCAATATACAATAGATACATTTATATTTATATTAAGCAGTGTACTGTATCATCCTTGGTGCGCGATTACGATGACAAAGCCTTGACACCTGCCCATGCCTGCCCTTCTTCCACCCTTGTCCTAGTGCTAGACTTTAGCCAGAGAGCTCCAGGTTCCAATTCTCACTCATTGCTTGGCCCAAAACCAGCACTCTGGAGCAGATTCACCTGTTCCTTATTTAACTTGCAACCATAACTGCAAGAGGCAAATTTTTAAAAAGTAATGCATTACCAGGGCATTATTTTTCATTATTTTTAAAACCCAAAGTTTCTGCACCACTCGACATTAAGAAATGCACCACAGTAGCCCCAAAACGGAAAATGAGCGAGGTCTCAACTAAAGAAGAATGGCAACTTAAACTGATGGAATATGTGCAGCTTGCGGACCTAACATATAGAATGAGAACAAGAAGAACATCCGTTTAAAGAAGATTGGAAAATGTTTATTGAATATATGGGGGGAAACTCTGCACACTTGAAAACACTGGCAGCATTAAGATAAACTGTTTTGATGCATGTATTAATGGAATACTGAATGGTTTAGTTTATGTAAAATATACAGGGATTTATGATATGCAAATTGAACTACAGAAAGAGAAGAATGGAAGTCATTGACATTTTAAGGTTATTTAATGAATATTTTAAATTGTAAAACAGAAAACTTAATAAATATACACACACACAAAGAAATGCACCACAGAATGACATAAGAACATTCAATTATTTATTGCACCCCCACCTTTCCTCCAAGGAGAGATACGTACTGGATTCTTGTCTCATTACATATCCTAAAGCTAATTTTTTTGTCATCTGCATACTATCCCTTGCTTTTTCCTGTAGTACTAAATTCAGTAGTCGTCAACGGGTTTACCATACCCATTGAGTCACCCACCCCTCTCCTACTACCCTTTTTTGAAAAACCCCACCCCACCCTCCCATTATATATAAGGGTCTGGCTTCAGTATATCTGAAGAAGTGTGAATGCACAAGAAAGCTTATACCCAGAACAAACTTAGTTGGTCTCTAAAGTGCTACTGGACAATTCTTTAATTTTTTTCAAGGTGAAGCCCATTACATAGGTCTCTTTCTCCTCATTTCCTCCTCGCTCCTGCGAGAGGCTGTGGTTGGCCAGTAGACTTCATAGTTGTCTCCTTGCGAATGGTGCAAAAGCGAATTACAACAACTGGACAAAGTGTCCCCATAATAACTTATATGCAGAATTCATCATGCGAAAGGCTGGGCTGGATGAATCCCAGAAGAAATATCAACAACCTCAGATATGCAGATGACACAACCTTGATGGCAGAAAGTGAGGAGGAATTAAAGAACCTTTTAATGAGAGTGAAAGAGGAGAGCACAAAATATGGTCTGAAGCTCAGCATCAAAAAAACGAAGATCATGGCTCTGGTCCCATCACCTCCTAGCAAATAGAAGGGGAAGAAATGGAGGCAGTGAGATTTTACTTTCTTGGGCTCCATGATCACTGCAGATGGTGACAGCAGCCACGAAATTAAAAGACGCCTGCTTCTTGGGAGAAAAGCAATGACAAACCTAGACAGCATCTTAAAAAGCAGAGACATCAGCTTGCCAACAAAGGTACATATAGTTAAAGCTATGGTTTTCCCAGTAGTGATGTATGGAAGTGAGAGCTGGGCTATAAAGAAGGCTGATCGCAGAAGAATCGATGCTTTTGAATTACGGTGCTGGAGGAGACTCTTGAGAGTCCCACGGACTGCAAGAAGATCAAACCTATCCATTCTGAAGGAAATCAGCCCTGAGTGCTCACTGGAAGGACAGATCCTGAAGCTGAGGCTCCAATACTTTGGCCACCTGATGAGAAGAGAAGACTCCCTGGAAAAGACCCTGATGTTGGGAAAGATTAAGGGCACAAGGAGAAGGGGGCGGCAGAGGACGAGATGGTTGGACAGTGTTCTCGAAGCTACCAGCATGAGTTTGACCAAACTGCGGGAGGCAGTGGAAGACAGGAGTGCCTGGCGTGCTCTGGTCCATGGGGTCACGAAGAGTCGGACACGACTAAACAACAACAAGATCACCACGCGTTCCTTGTGCTGGAAACTATTACTCTGCAGCAGCCCTACCTTGCAGGGTTGTCGTGAAGGTAAGTGGCGAAGGCACCTCCCGCCCTCAAGACACTTGCAGCGTGTCATGAGGGGCACATGGGGGAGAGAGAAGTCAAAGGAAAAAGGTGTGGAGAGGAAAACACTCACCGCAGGAGGAGGCTGTGGAACCGAAGGAGCGACTCCTGCCTCTGCCGGGAGCCCATCGCCGGTTCTCTCGGGCCACTCCCGTAAAAGCGCAGCAGCCCCCGCCGCTTCCTTTCACTCGCGCGACAAACGAACTGCGCGCCAGAACTTCTTCCTTACAAATCGGCCTCGGACAAGTCTCCGGTAGGAATCCCTCCGCCGAAGTGAAGAGGTTTCCTCTCCGCCGCCGCCGGCACACACTAAAATAATCCCTAGCATTTCTGAGGCGAACTCATGAAAAGAAAGGGAAGCGAAGGCGCTCTTTCCTCAGTTTTCATCAAAGAAAGCGGCAGCGAGGAGATTTACGCCCAGGGAAGAAAAAAGAGGGCGCCGAGAGTTCAATCCGCTGGGCGGGGGGGGGGGGAGGGCGGAGCTGTGAGCGGAAAGCTGCGCAAGAAGCAAAAGAGGAGCGGCCGCGAGCAGTCCTTCCTTTTCCGGCCGGGGCCGAGTTGGTGAGAGAAGCCAGCGTGAGGGGCTCCTCCGCTAGTCGCCATCATGGTGAGCAGGGAAGGGGCCGGGGGCTCTGCCGGAGGTGAGGCTGGGGAGGCAGAGTGGTCGCGGGGAGGCCGCCATGGCGGGCGGAAAGGAGGAGGAAGAGAAGGAGAATGGGAATGAGCCGGGCGGTGCGGAGGGGAGAAGAGGCGTTACAGGCCGGCCGGGCGCCATTTTGGAGCGGAGAAGCCGCCGCGTGGAGGCCTGGCTGACTCGGGAGGGCAGGCCCAGTGCCCGCTCCTGCGGCTGCCTGGCTCGCTTGTCTTCCTCCCCGCTCGCACCGACCGCGACCTGAGGGAGGCCTTTAGCTAGGAAAGAGGGACGCAGCCTGGAGCCGATAGCGCTGGGGATGCGGAGGCCTGGAAGGGAAATCCCCCCCTTGGCTCCTCGTTTTTCCCTCTCTCCCATCCACCGCTCATTGGATTGAGTGACTTTAATTTTAAGTCACACAAGGGAAGAGTCAGTGGCCGGCCTAGTCCGGCATCCTGTTCCCACAGCGGAAAACTCGCGATCAGTACCCGAGTGCAAGAGACGTGGCCTTCATCGCTTAAAGATGCGCGGCAAGGCGGGTCTACAGCAGCAGAAGAGGGTCGTGCTGGGGTCCTAACCATTCACCACATTGGCTGGGATTTGGGGCCCAGCAGTAACTGGAGAGGGGCACATTCCGCCCCCTCCCGTCTGCTGTAGACATATATACAGTATTTCTAGTCCCAAGGTGCTTCTGAGCTCCCCAAAGGTGGTGCCGTCTTCGTGAGAGGACTGTTTCAGTAATGCATTTTTTTAACTCTGAAATTTCTGGGTTTTATATCAATTTACAACCACCACCACCCGCTTTTCAGATGATAAGTTATCCTATGCTTGTAGGATAGAGTGCAGCAGGTTTCCATTAAGACCCTGAGTATTTTGCTGGAAATTTGCATTTACCAAGCCAGCATGTGTATACTTGGGCTTTCATTCTATATGTGTTTACCTGTGAGTAAACTGCACTAAATCCAATAAATATGCATAGAATTGCTACATGCTTTCATTATAAATATGTCAGACAGCATATAAAATTAATTGCACTGAGTTACATATGACACATTGTAGTTGAAACAGTAAAATAAGTATTGCCTATGTTCCAGTTTTCCCAAAACCTTTCCATTTTTCTAACTTTCCCATTGGCCTCATAATGTCTAGAAACCATACACGTAACTTACAATGATGTAAATATTAAAATGGTTAATAGCAACAATAGTATAGAGCTTCCAAGTTCAGCTGATGTTGAGAGTGTTGCAGCTTTCCTAAGACTACTTAGTGAGTTGAGAGCAGAAACAAGATTTGCACCAGGACTCCATAGTTCAGTCTCTTTGCTGCTGCTCTACATTACCTATTAGAGGCTAAAAGAGTTAGATTAATTCATGCAAAATGGGCTTATCAATGCTGTGTGTTAAATACCTATATTCTTGATGACTAAATTGAACATGTTCAGACAGAATATGCCCCTGAATACCAGTTGCATGTGGCAGGGCAGGATAAAAAGTGCAGTAGCTGTTTTTTAACCTTGTTTGTCAGGCTTTCAGAGATGCATTTGGCAACTGAGGGAAACTGGATGCTGAAATTATAATAGAAAACTTTTTTAAAAGATTAAAAACAAACCACAAATAGTCTAAAACTACAAAATGATTATATCATAAATAACCTTTAAAAATCAGATGAGAAAACAAGATGATCCATGGCAGCTTGACTTTTGTTTGTTCAAAGTAGTATACGTACTTGGAATGTGGAGGAAAGTTGCCTACAGACAGTGTCTTCTATAACTTGCTTGCTTAAGTGGTCAGCAGATCCAACAGTTTCATGGCAGTCCAGTAGAAGACCTGAGTAGTGGACAGGAATTGCATTGTATGGACGATATAGAGGACTGCAGGTTCTCAATTCCTGACATCTGAGAGTCTAAAAAATAAGCCAAAATACTTGTATGTTCATTCTTTATTTAACATAACAAGCATTTTATGCTAGGTGCAAGAATGCATTACATTGCGTGAGTGCACATATTGCTGTGATGTTGTAATTTGCGTCCTATCCGGTCTTCAGGGGCAGTAGCCTGCTGTCCACTTGCTGTTGCCGTTGAGCTGACGACTTTCTGAAACTGAGCAATATTTGTGCTGTCACTGAACTGCAATAACACCAGTTGCTTGTATTTGAGAATTTGCTTCTCTCCCCATCCCCAGGCTTGTACTCGTCCTTTGGTTTCGGTATATTCCGAAAAGGGGGAAGTTTCGGGTAAAAATGTCACTATGCCTGCTGTGTTCAAAGCTCCAATTCGTCCAGATATTGTGAACTTCGTTCATACCAACTTGCGGAAAAACAACAGGCAACCATATGCTGTCAGCGAGCTTGCAGGTAAGAGTTGTACCAATACCACTGGGGATTGAAAATTTAACATACACATCTTTAAAAAAGCTTTTTGGATATAATTTCTGAAAACCTGACTGAATAAAAGTCTTGGCTTGTTACTTCAAGTCAGTTTTAAAAGTCATCCATATGGCATAAAAATAAATATATACCTTGCTGAAATGATGAAATTCCACTTCATTGGTCCGTGTTTTTGAGCTCTGTGATATCAGTGGAAGTTCTGATGTTGGCTGTTAACAATTTCAGGAAAATGACATAGAACATGGTGATCAGTAATTATTTAATGTCATGCTGCTTTTCTTTTCAGGTCATCAGACCAGTGCTGAATCTTGGGGTACTGGAAGAGCTGTTGCTCGTATCCCAAGGGTTCGTGGAGGTGGAACTCATCGATCTGGCCAGGGTGCTTTTGGCAATGTATCCTTGACTCTGGCTGCCCTTTCTGATTATGTCCTCAAAAGCAAAGCTAATCAATTGAAATATAATGATTTATTAACAGCATTGTGATAGAATATATTGTGTGTCTAGAAACTAGTTAGGAATAGAGGGATCGTACTTGCCATGATGTCGTAATTTGCGCCTTACTCTGTATACAGTGACAGTTGCCTGCTGTCATCAGGCTGGTACAGATGGTTGATGATCAGCTAACTCTGAGCAAGACTGAAAGAGGGGGTGGATCTTCCACAAGAATATACTTTGGTTCCATCCTTTACACTTGACAAATAGATGTGTCGTGGAGGTCGCATGTTTGCCCCAACCAAGACTTGGCGACGCTGGCATCGTAGGGTGAACGTACCTCAGAAGCGCTATGCCATCTGCTCTGCTCTGGCAGCTTCATCCCTTCCGGCACTTGTTCTGTCCAAAGGCAAGTATGTTGTTTTATGTAGGGCCATTAATGTACTTATTAAATGTGACATAGTTGTAATTGTGGGACAGTTTCTAGCCCACGTTTATAGGAAGCAGAGCACCTTTTACAGAGCATGTAACTCCAGATGTTGCAGACCACCAACTCCAGTCGGCCTCAGCCAACACGGCCAGTGGTCAGGAATGATGACTTGTAGTCCAACAACTTTTGCAGTTTAACCACCCTGGGAATAGAAGGTGACTGATGAGTCTGGAGGACAGTTTAGAGTACTTACGGAGACATTGGGGTGTTATAAGTGGGTTTTCAGGTGAACAGGCTTAGAGTGCAGGTTTTTTGCTATCCTGGTGTTCATTAATGAACCCAGACATTTAGTGGTGCTGGTTGTTTATTTGCCATTGTAGTCAGTGTGCACTAAAATCTAAAATGTGCTATCTTAACAGGCCATCGCATTGAGGAGATTCCAGAACTTCCTCTGGTGGTTGAAGACAAAGTCGAGGGCTACAAGAAAACAAAGGAAGCTGTTCTACTGCTTAAGAAGCTGAAGGCCTGGAACGATATCAAAAAGGTGTGCTGAGTGTTGACTGCAAAAATCAGGGGTGGTAGAGGAGTGTGTGTGTGTTTAACTAATCCAAGAACTTTTTATATATATATATAAAAAGCTTCATATAGATAAAAGCATTTAGCAATCTGATTACTGTTGCTTCTGCAAAATGATGAATTTTTCACTGGTCCGTGTTTCGGATGAACACTGATGATTGTGAAGTTCTGAGTTGCAGAAGCACAGTTGTTAACCCTGAAAGTGGTTACTTGGTTTTTACACAAAATGTTTGTTTCCACCCAGGTCTATGCCTCCCAGCGTATGCGTGCAGGCAAGGGAAAAATGAGGAACCGCCGTCGCATCCAGCGCAGGGGACCCTGCATTATTTACAACGAGGACAATGGCATCATAAAAGCTTTCAGGAACATCCCAGGTAGCTTTTGAATTACTATGCAAGATGCATGAGGGAGGTTGTAGGCTGGAGGGGTGTAAAAAATGATGATATTCCACTTCATTGGTCCGTGTTTATGAAACACATGATTTGGTGGAGGTTCTGACTAAATACCCAGATTGGGGTGAATGTTTAGGTGGGAATATGGTTAAGAGCCGCATCGTGTTCCCTTTTATCTTCTAGGCAGTAAGAAAACAATTCATTAATGAGAATAGTGAACATGTGTACTTAAAATACGTACACTGTGCTCTTATCTAACAGGGATTACCCTTCTTGATGTCAACAAGTTGAACCTTTTAAGACTTGCTCCTGGTGGCCATGTTGGACGTTTCTGCATTTGGACTGAAAGTGCTTTCCGCAAGTTGGATGACTTGTATGGCACCTGGCGTAAGCCAGCCACCCTGAAGAGTAACTACAAGTAAGCTTGTTTTTAGGTTCTGGTTGGGTTTGCTTAGCCTCACTAGGGGTTAGAAGTGTTAATTGCCCTACAAATAAATTAGGAGTTTCAGGTATTGTAGTGGGCTTGGTGACTGTTCGGTATGCTCACTGGAAAATCCCATAATAGTTGCCATTCCTCCTTAATGCCTCCTTTTCAGGCTGAAAAACACCTTATCAAGGAGGAGAGGGTGGCAGACAGTGGATGGCTCCCACTTCTCCAAGGCATTGGCTTGGGTGAGGAAGGGCTGTAGGAAATAGTGGAAATGGGTTCAAATCCCAGTTGGGGCAGGGGACGGTAGAAGCATGGTTGTGCGTGACTGAGGTTGCCCTATTTGAATGAGAAATTGTCACATTTTGTACTCTGCCATTTGGAATTCTGCCCAGGCCTACTTAATGACAAATGGAAGGGTGCTCATGTAAATACTTGTAATATCTATCATCAATAACTAAAAGGAGATGAAATGTATTTGTGTGTGAGAGTTCAGTGCTAAAACTGTAACATGCCTGTATTTAAATGCAGCCTGCCAATGCACAAGATGACCAATACAGATCTTGGAAGAATCTTGAAAAGCCCAGAGATCCAGAAGGCCCTCCGTGCACCAAAGTTAGTGTTTGTTTTAAATTTTCAACTTAAAATAGTAGTCCTTAAGTAGTGCTATAAGTGAGATACACTGGATGTTTTCTGGAACACAGATAAGGGGAAATGAAGCTTCAAGTGGGAATTTTAGATTTGAATCTTGAATTTCTGTCATATTGTGTAGCAGTATTTTTCTAGTTGCACACAGATTCTCTCCCTAGTATCTGTGTTTGGCATCCTAACAGAGCTTAGGAATTCCTTTTTTCCCCCTTCTTCTTTTTGTTGTTGTTGTTGTTGTTGTTGTTGTTGTTATTGAGCTGTATATAATCTAACCCATCTGCACTGCATGATGGTGATGACTAGGCTATAAATAAAAGGGCTATGTACTCATCCAACCACCTTCTGCAGGAAAAAGATTCACCGCAGAGTTCTTAAGAAGAATCCACTGAAGAATTTGAGAGTTATGATTAAACTGAATCCATATGCCAAGACTATGAGACGCAACACCATTTTGCGCCATGCTAAGAATGTAAGTGGGGTAAAAATTGGATTGAAATTAGATTTCCTGTTTTCAAAGCACTGCGGAGTATAACCATCTTAATTTTTCCCTACAGCACAAGCTCAGAGAAGAGAAAGCAGCAAAGGGCAAAGCAAAGGTTGAGGCTGCAGCTGCAGCTAAAAAGACAGAAATTGCAGCTAAAAAGAAGGAAACTGCAGCTAAAAAGACGGAAACTGCAGCTAAAAAAAAGGAAACTGCAGCATAAATAAGACAAGCATTGGCACTTCTCTGCTTCAGTGCTGAAAAGGGCTGTACTGTGGATTACAGTTAATAAAAAACAAATCTATCCAGAGTGCTGTCTTTACTAATCATTTGCACTGATGCCCTTCAGTCCTGAAAGAATGGAATGGAAATTCAGGAGCCAGTAAATACATTTTTATGGAATGGTTTAGCCAGAGACCTAAGATTATTTGCATGTGTTATAAAGACATATCAAAACATTTTTTTTGGATACCATGTTATTTATAGTACCCCATAAACTACTCTGAAGTGGAGTGATAGGACTTGTGAGTTACTCTTCAGAAGAATTCTGACACACAAAACCAAGTTATAACAGATAGAATTTGGAGTCGGAACAAAATTAGAGGGGAAGGAGAGATGGAAGTTTTGAGGTGATGGATTTAATTAGGATGCAAACTCATTAAAACTTTCATCAGTAATGTGGAATGGGCATTGGAGGGAGTTCTAGGGATAAAATATTGAAAAGGGCTTTTAAATGGGCATAAGTGGAAATACAACTTGCAGTTAATGTGATATCACAAAACACTTGACTAAAGACTTTCAAAGTTGCTGATTCTGCATCAGATTTCCTCTTATGTACATGATGCAGAGCGGGTTGCAGTTGACATGCAGTTTTGATTCTGCATGTTCTGGGAATAATTGTAGATAGCCCCTGACCACTGAATATATAGAATGGAAGAATGGCCTATAAATCCTTTTTAAAGTTAAGTGAGGAGAGGTCATTGCTATAGAAATAGTACCAATAGTAAATATGAAGGAATACACAAAGTAGTTAAACACTCAGCCAGTTGTGGGATTTTTTTCTGGTTGAGGTTCAGCGTGCAACTTCTGACATGCCCAATCTTTTGTACTGCTGCTTAGAAAGTGCAGAAGGGTAGCTATGCAGTCCCAGCAAAAGCATGCCTGTACCTTAAGCCAAGAGGCAGTGCTCAACTATGGAAACTTGTGGCTACAGAAGAATGGAGGTGGTGCAGTGGGGTAGGAGAGCTGAAAATAATGCCAATATATTTCACATCTGGCATCGAGGTGTAGTTTGGTCAGAATTGAGTATACACTAAATACATTACATCTGGTAAAAACCACCATAGCCACTAGAGGGGCATGAAAAATTGTGCCGGGATTTTTAGACTATCCAAGTACTATCTGAAACCAAATGGGCACATTGGTTGCCAGATGTGAAATAAATTGGTAATACCGTATTTTTCGCCCTATAGGATGCACTTTTTCCCCTCCAAAAATGAAGGGGAAATGTGTGTGTGTCCTATGGGGCGAATGCAGGCTTTTGCTGAAGCCTTGAGAGCGAGAGGGGTCGGTGTGCACTGACCCCTCGCTCTCCAGGCTTCAGGAAGCTATCTGCAAGCCTTGGGAGCCCAGCGGGAACTCCCTGTTCTGGGGGCCTGTTCTGGGGGCTGGGGGTCGGGGGAAGCTCGGGCTTCCCTTGCCCCAGCCCCGCGCCTGGGGGGGAAATTTTTCCCCCCTTTATTTCACCCCCCCCCAAAAAAAAACTAGGTGCGCCCTATAGAGTGAAAAATGCGGTATATTCAGCTCTTCTACCCCACTAGCAGACCCTGATCTACATAAGGGCTACTACAACTGCAGGTTTGCTATTTTAAATACAACAAAGAGGAAAGCAGAATTGGAAACGTTCTAGCTAAATCTCTTCCGTTATGCGGTACCTCTCATCCTGATGCAGGAGAGGATCCAGAAAAGAAATTTCTTTCCCTCGCTTCCCTTTGAAATGAGAAAATAGGCCGCTGCAATGGGTAGACCGGTCCGCTAAAGTAGAAGCAGACGTGACTCCCTGCCCGTGCCCTCCCCGAACTGCAGAATGGGAGATCCCGTAGGCGGGCCTCCCTTTTCTGTCGGAAAGCGGAGCGGCCAATAGAAAGGGGTCGGCGAAAAGGATTGCCGCGCCAGCCATCCGGCGGAACTTTGAGCACTTCCGCCCTCAAGCAAGATGGCGCTGCCTCCTTCCGGGTAGGCGAGCGGCCGCAACAAAGGTAGCGTCATCACTCCACGCGACCTGAAGTGGTGGCGGCGGCGGCAGCAGAAGCAGGATGCTGAGCCGCCTGCAGGAGCTGCGCAAGGAGGAGGAGACGCTGCTGCGGGTCAAGGCGGCACTGCACGATCAGCTCAACCGGCTCAAGGTCCGCGGGGGGGGGGGCGGTTTGAAAGAATAGCGGGGAGAGGCTTTCTGGGCCCGTCTCTATGGATGGGGTGGGGAAGGGGGTTCATTTGCATATGCAATTTAGGCCGTTGGGTGTGTGCGTCTGCAGGTGCACGTGTGCACGCGTTCCCTCAACCCGTGTTTGAGTTGCGCTTGGTGCAAACGTCTGGCGAGTGCAGCCCGTCAGCAGGGGTGAAGGGACGTGCTGTCAGCGAGTTCAGGGCGGTGGGTTTTTTGATCCCCCCCATGCAAAATGAGGCTTATTTGGGGACCACGGCTGTGGGTTTGCAGGCAGAACCCAGGCTTTGGTTGCAACGGGTCAGCGCCGTGGTAGAGGATCTGCCTTGTAGCGTCCTTTATTACCCTTGGGTGCAGCCCATCAGGTCCCGGAAATTTACTGTAGCTAGGTGTTCCCTTAACACCTCTTTTCCTATCTTGAGCTGCAGCTCCCTCCTTAACAATGCTCATTTGGTTATCACCTGGTTAGGCACTGCTTTCCTTTTGGGTGGAAAATATATTAGATTTTATTATGCATCTTACTGGAATTATTTCAGGTCCGGGGTGGGGAATATGTAGTCCTCCCAGATGTTGGATGTCCCCATCAGCCCCAGCCATTGTGGCCGATGGTCAGGGATGGTGTGAGGTGAAGGCTGATGTCAGCTGGGAGGTTGCAGTTCTCCATCCCTAGGCTAGACAGTACAGTACTGAGCTGGAGAGGCCCAGCGCCTGGTTCTATATAAGGCAGCCTCCTATGTCACAGAGGATCCCATGCTTGAGAAAGTTGCCGTCTACACAACTGGAGGGCACCAAATTGGCATATGCTGGGTTAGGTGGAGGTTCTTGGGCTAACATAGGAGGGCTCTTTATTTGTTTTTATATGGGTCCATTTTATGTTCCTGGATGTTCTCATTTGCCTCTGCAGCATGCATGTGTTTATGCAAATAAGGGAATATCCACACCATACATTTCAGGTACATGGCTTCCCCCAAAGAATCATGGGAATTTACAGAGCTACAATTCCTAGTGCCCTTAAAATATAGTTCCCAAGATTATTTGGGAGAAGTCATGTGCTTGAAATGTACAGTGTGGATGTGACTTAAGAATCAAACCTTTTCCTTCCTCTTCTCTTCTCCTCAGCTGTTTTCACAATAGTAGGCCTCTATTTTTCCCTCATTTCGATAGAGCCCTTAGGCCTGCCTTCTCCTCAGCTCTTGTGCACTATCCATCCTCTTCCTGCAACAATTCCTTTTTGTCATACTCAAGAGTAGACCCATTGAAATGAATGAACTTGAGTTCCTTAGGTTCACTGATTTCTGTGGATCTATTTTGTGTACAGCTCACATTGAATATCACTCATTCTCTCTCCCACCTGAAGCTCACTCTTCAAAGAAAATTCCCATATTGCTCAATATGACTTGCTAGGCAATATTGGCATTTGAATGGGTCCTATCCAACATTACACCTATTCACAGCAGACCTCACTTAGCCTGACTCAACTGGAGATCACCCAATATGAAAAAATAACAGCCATATCAGAAACCTGTATTGGCATACATAATAATTTAGACATTTACATGTTTATATCCTGTCTTTCAGTCTCTCAAAGAGCCCCAAGAGGGCAGGGGGTGGGGGAAGAAAGAAAAACACTAATATTCATCTTAAGCTCCCCCAAAGAAGAAATCCTATAAGGAAGTTGCTGTAAATTTGGCAGCCTTGCTCCTTACAGTAACCAACCTAACATCAAAAGATAGGAGGAACTTGGATCACAGCTTCCCTCAAAGCTCTGAACACACAGCTTTGTGTGCGTAGCCCAGGAAGCTTTGACTCTCCAGATGTTCCTGGGGAGGGAGGGCCATAGCTTTGTGGTAGAATTCTGCATTCAGGTTCAATCCCCAGTATCTCCAGGTAGGACTGAGAGAGACTCCTGGCTATTGGCCATGCTAGCCAGGGCTGATGGGAGTTGTAGTCCAACAGCAGCTGGAGGGCTACAGGTTTCCCCAAACCTGGTGTAGTCTTTTAAGCCCCTTGAGCTTTTCCTCGATCTTCCAAACAAAGGTCAGATGAAGAGTGCTTATTCAAAGGTGCAATTTCTCCATAGACCAAGCAGTTTGCTTCCTCTTCTGCAACCTCTATCTATAAAAGGGCTCGGCCAGTGTTGCACCAGAGGGGTTGTTTGCAGTGTTTTGCTTTAAATGCCACAAGGTTTTGGGAGCATTAGTACAGCTTTCAGCTGGGTGCTAAGGCTCTGGTTTGGAGAAGGGAAAAAACAACAACAACAACACACACACACACACACGCACACACACACGGCAGTGTTATAAATAGAAAGCTAGGGAATGCACTTTCCGGAAGAGATTAGAGCTTAAGCTTCCTGGCATGTGCAGAGTGCTAGATGCTATGCTGATGCTTGCTCGCCATTGTTTTGGCACCGACAGAGCTGGCTTCATTCCATGTGCCTGTTAAGTGTGCCTCGCAAGCATGGAATTCAGCTTTCTTTTAAAAGTAATTATTTTTAAACACTACAATTCTACGGCCCTAAATTTCTAATCCTTGTGATGTGGTAATTTTGTAAATCTGGGCAATGCTGTCTCCACATCCATCCCTGTGGACTTTTTAAAAAAATAAATGAAACTCGAATGCTTTTGAAGTGGGAATCTTAATTTTGTTTACAGCTACCTGTCTTCCTGTTATCTCAGTTCGTTCCTGTTCGAGCTCTTTCTCCTCCACCTGCTGTAATCCACTACTTCTGTTCTTCATTCTAACATGTCAACATGATTTTATATTCAAAAGAGCAGGACTAACTAATTCTGTGCACCTGAATATGTTTGCTGTAAGCTGCTTCTTGTTCTGCTGTTTCTTGACAATCCTGCCTTCTAGTGAATCCAGCCAAGTTGCTTTTTTATTGGGGTGGGGAATTGCGTGATTTACCCACAGGGAAATGGGCTGTAGCTCACTGGTAGAACATCTGCTTTGCATGCAGAAGGTTCCAGGTACAGCTGGGAAAGACTCCTTACCTGAAATTCTGGAGTGCCGCTGCCATTCTGTGTAGGCAATACTGAGGTAGGTGGACCAATGGTCTGACTTGGTGTAAGGCAGCTTTTTACACTCCCGAGAGCTTAGAGGATTTGAATTTTGGTGTTCATAGAATATCATAGATTTGTAGAGTTGGAAAGGACCACGAGGGCCATCTAGTTCAACCCCCTGCAATGCAGGAATCTTTTGGCTAATGTGTGGTTTGAACCCACAACCCTGAGTTTAGGAGTCTCATGCTCTACCGACTGAGCTATGTCACCAGCATCATGCTATTTTCCCCTGACATTGGGTGGTGAATGAGAACAGACTTTGCCATCCTGGTGCCCTCCAGATGTTTTGGACTCCCAACTTCTATTGGTGCCAGCTGGAGAGAGCGCCAGATTGCCGAAGGGTGAACTTATCAGTTTTAATATTTTGGCTGTGCTGCTTTAACTGTTCTTTAAAACGTTTCTAGGTGGAAGAGTTGGCCCTTCAGTCCATGATCAGTGCCAGGGAAGGAAAAATGACCGTACCTCCTGACACCGAGATGGAGGAACATCAGAACGTAAGTTCCCGCTCCCCGCTGTTCTCTTTTGGGAGGAAGGCAGTGTCAGGTTGCCAAGAGAGACAACTGGCCCTGATCGAATGCTGGTGAGGAGGTGCAACATACCATCCGCTAATCCTTTTAGTGTTTATTTCCCCCTGCCTGGAAAGGAGGCTGCCTCCTGTGCCAAAATGGATTTGAGCCAGCTGAATGGTCCCCGTAGCATTGCTGACACGCTAAGAGTGGGGGGTGGGGATAGCACCAGGAGAGAGGCAGGAAAAACATGTCATTTTCTTTAAAGAACTGTCCCTTTTCAATTTCTGCCATCCCCTGGCCACCCCAGGGAGTCAAAGGTAGTCATTGCTGCCACACAAAACAAGTGTGGAACGAGTGTTTTGTGGCACCAGTGTCTGTTCCATAAATCGAAACAGCCAAGCAGGAACCTATGAGCTTTGGCAACCCTGCAAGTAAACTAGAAAGATGTATTTGGGGGTGTTTATGCATGTTGTTGCATCTCTCAAATAGAAGGGCGCTTCTGGTTTGTGTTCTTTGTCCCAAAGTAACTGGGTTTTTTATTTTATGCATGCTCATGGGACAGATGGACAACGAAGCTGCTATCAATCAAACTAAATTGCAGTTGCAAATGCATGTCAGTGAAGAGGAAGAGGAGGAGGAGGAAGAGGAGGAGGAATCCGATTCATGAAGTGGAGCAGCAGTCTGACAGCCTTTTCCTCCCAAACTCAGGAACCTCCCTGTCCACCACCATTCAAGCAATTTAGTTCATTGGACTTTGCTTGGTGCTACAGAGACCAAACAGTATTCACAAGTGCATCTGGGTTTCCCAAAGGCTTCCAGAGGTGGTGATGAACTGTGGCGGGTGTTGGGAGAATGCAGTGTTGATGCATCACTATGTAGCATGATACCTTTTAAACACAAACACACTCTTTGAGCCAAGTAGCATTTGGGAAAAGTCCAACACGCAACTCCTCCCAAAGCAATAATCTACCCTTGGCAGCACCTGCTGCTGGTGAAAATAAGATGAAAAAGCATCAAGTCTAAGCCAATGGCACTATCCAACCTCAAATACTACAAACGGAAACGGTACTTTGGGACTTTTCTTGCATGTAGCATTTGCTGTGGCATTCACAAAAAGCAACAATTTCCTTTGATTCCAACCCATGGTATGAAACTTTGAACATTTTATGTATTGTCTACAAGTAATAATGGGGAACATTTTGAGACAGGAGCTTTTACTTCTGAAGTGGGCACATGGAACGGTGTTCCTTTCAGCAAAAGTCAGCGGATCGTATTTGTGTACAAAATAGAGAGGAGTCTGTTGATCGCCCTAAAATCAGGGGTTTCTTGCCTTGAATGAGGTGCCCAAGTATCCCTCCCCCTTACTGCTTAGTTTAGCTACCACAGGCTTGATTGCAACAAGCCCATCTTCTGGAGTGTGTCTAAAATACCTTGGGCTTCTACCTAAGGGTTTTTAAGATAGGTCCTGCTGGAAACAAGTGCTGTACTTGTGATCAAGGGTGCTGAGTGCCTGCAGTGGCTGCTGGTCCTCAGAGCTGAAGTGCTTCTCTTTCTAGCCTCCCTTAGCTCTGTGCTGCTATGGCAGAAGAAGCTGATTCTTCCTACCTGCCAACCCAGCAGTGCTGCTTCCTCTTAGGGAAGTGAAGCTGGTTGTGCTCCTGGATGTTTTTCTTCTAAGTCCTTTTCAGCCCCAGGTGCTTTCCCCTGCTCTTCCTCTTCCCAGGTGCAGGCAAAAAAGTGGGCTTAGGCAAGACCAGTGAGGGGCCTGAGGGGTTTTGGTTCTCTGTTTCATGTGTCTGTGATCCAGTGTCAGGATTTCACATGTGCTGCTTTACGGTGTAATAGCTGAACATCACCCAAGGGAGTGGGGCTAAACCCAGATGTATGACCATACAGATGTGTGCAAATAGCTGGGGGGGGGGTCTCCTTATCTGTCACAGGCTTTGAGGTGGAGTGAACAACTGCAAGCAGCACATATACTCCCAACTAATAGTCGGGTGAGTGGGTGTGTAGCTTTATAAATTGCCCCACTCTCCCCGCTTGCAATTGCTAGTCACTGGCATGCACGGATACTGGGAGTTGTAATATATTACCATTGTGGCTGATAAGACATTGATAGCCTTATCCTACATGAATTTGTCTAATCCTCTTTTCAAGCCACCCAAGTCAGTGGTGATTGCTACATCTTGCGGTAGTGAATTCTATCGCTTAGCTATGTGCTGAAGAGGTTAGCTTGATGTGCCACGAGGAAGAATGGAAGGAAATCTACAAATTGAATGCGTGACAATGTGCCCAGGAGGAGGAGGGTGTGCAGATCTCAAAGGGCAGCATTGGAGTAGCAAACCTCTCCTCCCCCCCCCCCTTTTGCCCAAACGCCTTGAATACGTCTTGATACCAACGAACCACAACTAATAACCCACTCCCTGAAGTAATTTCATGACATTTATTAGTGTAAGATGAAACACCTGAAATAATAAAAATGATTAAAAGAATTTTCAAACACTTAAGTATGCACAATTTGTCATATCAAACATCAGCTGACCTAGAAGGGAAACCATTCTGATGTGTATTATTATTATCATAATCATTTATTACTCATTCTTCAAAAAGTCTTTGATTCTGGCTGAGAGAAATGGTTCTTTCATCACCTGTTCTCAAAAAACAGATACAGACAGTCCCCCCATTTACACGGGGGTTATGTTCCGAGGCACCGTGCGCATCAGTGAAATTGCGCATAATCGAAACCCATTGAAAAAGCCCACAAACACCGTTCTGCCCTTTTTAAATGATGTTTCAGTGGTGTCTTTAGGACATTTCCAGGTCACTTCCAGGTTTGGTCTCACACATACTGAATGTGCATAAACGGGCAGCTGCCTGTACCAAATTAACCGGAAGGGGACAGATGTATACCACTAAGCAAATCCCAAACATATGCAACAAGACACTTAAAAATAAATAGAAGTGCCAACAGATTTCTATGTGTTGACCTGGGGGAGGGTGGCAGCAGTCTACGGCACGGGGTCCTACTCACATTTACCAAGAGTCTGTTATACAAACCAAAATATCAGAGCCATTATTCATAACTTCAATCTCAGATTAGCAGCAGCAAAGACATGCTTCAGGGGAGGCTGGACTTGGGGCATCTCTGAACTGTTCTGCCCGCAACACTGGCTAAGCAAGGCTTGGGGGAAAGTACCACCAAAGTCACAAAAGGCTCACGGTCAAAACAACCCAGCAGAGGTGAGAAGGAAGCAGCTCCAGCAGGATTTCCTACTTGTTGAAAGGATATCCCAACATCCAGTGCCAAATTTGCCATATCGCTATCACTTAAAGCATCACATGTTTGGTCAGTTAACAAATAAGGAATCAAACACAACAGCTGTTAATTTAGAACCCTAAAGAGGAAATAAAAGAGACGGGGAGTGGGGGGGGGGGGAGAATTTGGCACATGCTAAAATTAGGGAGACACTTTTAAAGGGGAAGTTTATGGGCTGGGGAATAGACTTCTTTTTTAGTAGACAGAAGCTCTGAGAAACAGGACCAAAACAGCTTTAAACAGTTGGAACAGGAAGTAGCTTGGAACACAAATCCACCAGGCGCCATTCCAGTTTGCTTTCAGTGGGTCTTGCAGGGGGAAGTCCTGGTCAGACTCCACTTGGAATGAAGGTGGCGCGGGAAGAGCAGGAGCAGAAGGAATCGGCCGCAGGAGCTCTTGGTGTGTTGTTTGCCCTGGAGACTCCAAATTCAGACTCCTCCCACATGGGTCGGGGTGCTAGGCTGATTAAGGCCTATGGTGGCACACAGCCAGCCTGCAAAATCCACTTCCTCGGCTTCTGATCTCTTTATGAATGTGTGGACCTAGAGGATGCAAAAGGGGGGGGGGGGTTACAACAAAGAAGGCCCAACTTTGAGGCTTCCATGGGGGTTGTTACATAATTAGCATGGAGCAGATTAAGGCAGCAAAATGTATTTTCATTGCACGGGTAGAGGCCAGAGGGGACTCTTTTTATACCAGCTTCCTTAGACCGTGACTTCTATCCAGCCTCCAGATATCAAAAGCTGGCAGAAGGCATCTTGGAAAGCCCCAGAATACTGTTAGCAGAGAAAGGAGTTTCCACTCACCACCAGCTGCTTCAGATCTGCCCTCTCTGCTGGATTCTTGACCAAGCTGCATAAAAGGAAAGAGTGTCATACTCCTCTTGCCACTTCAATACACTCTGCATCACAGAACGGACAATGCCAATCATTGCTAACCATTTGGCCGGCTTTAGATGGTGATACGGCACCAAATGACAACTCTTGTGCGGCTCCTGAATATTTCAACAGGGCTTGTGCAAGAGAACTTCACCCTGGCTTGTGCTGTGGGCTGAATCTGAGGTGGGGAACTGGATCCTGACCAGTGGAGCAGATCCTTCACACACCCACAGGCCAGGCTTGACAACTGGGAGTCAAATGACCTGTTTTTGCCACGCTGCTGGAAACCAAACCGTGAGGGGAAAGAAGTATGTACAGCATTTCCCTTCTGCCGACAATCAGCTGACTGCTAGCGCTAGGTTCTGTGTGCAGCTCTACCCAAGCAGCAACAATCAGCTGATAGCCAGCGCTTGGGAAACATGGCGCAAAGTGCTTTGCAGCCACAGCTGAATACAGGCATTGCCTAAGTCCTTTTTGTCCATGCCCTGCCTTTACCGGTCCAACAGCTGATGTCATATACGGTGGCAGGGGGGTATGGTTTGGCAAAAATGGCCTCATGGGTCAAATGTGGGTGGGTCTTGGGAGGGCCTCATTAGGCCTACAGCCAGAGGTTCCCCACCCATGTTAAATTAAGGGGAAAGAGGACTGGCATTTGGGAGACCCAGAAGCATTTTGACCCCGTCTGCTTAGGATCCTTTCCAAAAAGCAAAGCCATACTTTTTATTTACTAGTGTACCCAAAACAGACTTTGAAAAACACACGTAAAAAACATTTCCTCTGAAAATAAGCTGCTCAAGAACTGAACTCACCACTTGTTCACAAAGTCCTGGAATTCTGGACTGAAGACTCCACTGGGAAGCTTTGGAGGAGGCTGGGGGGGGGATGTGGCAAAGAGATGAAAGCAAAAAAGAATAAACATTGCAACAGTGTAACACCTGAAACTTGCAGTTTATTTAATGGTTCTTTAGGAAGGCATAAAAAGGATGCAATTGAGTTGAAGGGGTTTTAAGCACTCTCTTGACAAATAAGGCATTCACATGTGACATCAGAGAAAGGTCCAAGCGGCATCTTGCATGGTGTGAAGGGGCTGACAGAATCAGTTTGTTCAAAACTTCACCCACATACAAACATTAGCTGCCTTTTGAGACCGGAAGCACAGATTTAGTGTTGGCAGGCAAACGGGGGGGGTGGGGGGTGTTTTTTTGGGGCCGTGTAGAAATGTTGACAATGTCAAAGGATATGATCATGGCAGCAAGTGTCTAAAAGACAGGGTTTTAGTTTTAAATTGAACACCAGAGCACATTTGTGAGTCACCAAAAGAAGTGAATAAAAGCTTTGTGTGCATCATGCAATGTGTACAGTGACTCCAAGCCCCAGAGTCTCAGTGCTGGAAATCAGGGCTCTGAAAGGGGGAATAAAACACTGATCCGAATGCAGTGGTGCTTTTGCATGACAAGGTATTAAAATAAGCAAGGGCAATGTACAGCCCTCTCGCATTTGCAATCCCTGGGATGGTCTCTCTTGGATGCTGCATCCTGTTTCAATATCTTGCAGCCCTTGCTTTGTTTCAGGCTCACCAAATGATCGTGGGTCCGAAAGTGCAATCTTTTAGGCTCCACATGACTCGAGCGTGTTAGGCTTGGGATTGGCACCCTCCCTTCTTCCCCAGGGGAAATGGAAGAGCACCACAACTGGAGGAGGAGGATGGAGGATCAGGTGAGAGCCTTCCTGCAAAGGGTTCCCTCTCGGCCCCCAAATTGGCACAGATTGCAGGGAAGAAGCCCCCGCAAGCAGCTTGTCTCACTTGAGTTAGCTGGATTCTAAAGCAGGGGTGGGGAAACCTGTTCAGCCAGAGGGCCACATTCACTTCTGGGCAATCTCCTGAGGGCCACATTAGAGTGAAGGGCAGGGCAAAAGTGGGCAGAGCAACAGATGTGGAGTTTGGCCAGGTATGGGCAGGCAAGCGAGAAGTATAATTGGAGTTCAAGGACACATCCCAGCAGGGCAAGAACACCCAGCATGTGAAGTAGAGCCCAGATATGAGTGGGGCCTATGGCCTGGAGAGTTCCAAGGGCCAGATAGAATGGCTTGGGGACCACATTTGGCCCCTGAGCCTGACCTTCCCCCCCTCTTGTCCTAACATGTTGCTTGAACTGTGCACAGTGCAGGGGAGTTTGCACCCACCCCACCCACATCCAGGGTGAGACAAGCTACCTTTACATTTTGAAGGATCCATATGCTGGAATGGGGTGAAGTCTAAACCCTCCTTACAGCACATTTCCTCCTTGCAAAACTCACCAAAACGCAAAATACAGAGTGATAGCAGCTGGCTTACCTCATTGACAATATAGTCTAGGAGTTCAAATATAGCCATTGGTGGTCTGCTGTCTGAGCCATAAGCTGAAAAGTCGCAACAGAGGTTGGAAGTTAATGGGACAACTCATTTCTCATTCTTACTTTTTGTTGTTGTTCCTACCTTTTCTAGTAAGTTCTGTTACCCCCAAAGCCATCTCTAAATGGTGGTTTTCAAATGCTCACATGAAGTCCAGATATTCACATGCTTACAAAATGCCCACTGAGGTTTTGTTACTCATTGCTGCTTTATTTCTTTTTAAAAAACAAAAAAACACCAATGCTGTCTGGCAGAAACATTTGGCAGTAGCTAGGTACCTCATTTGCTAGGTACCTCATTACCTCATCAGCCTTCTCCAACCTTATGCCTTGCAGCTTTTCTGGAACTACAACTCCCATCAACCCAAGCCAGCATTTGCTGGCTGAGGACGATGGGTGTTATAGCCCAAAACAGCTGGAGGGCACCAGGTTGGAGAAGGCTGCTTTAGTTACAGTGAGCCCCTTGTGAAATGGGAAGCGGTCAGGAAAGAGGTTCAGTCAATAATCTGAAAATAACCATGTCTGCAGAAGCAGCTCTGAATTGAAAAAAGTCTTCCAAGCGCCTCATTTTGTCATAATTACTCTTGTGGAGAAGTTTGTGCAGTTTTTGCAGCCTCAATTTATTTATTTATGTCTATTTACCTAACAAGGTTTATATACAGCTTGGACAACTAAAACCAGCTTAACATGAAGCAATGCAAAATACTGACTTAAAAAATACTGATAAAAACCCAGCGTTAAGAACAAGCAGGCATAAAATTTATCTAAGTAAATAGATAAAACACTTTTAAAATAAAAAATATACATACATAATAATGGGTAGGTTTGCCTTAAAAGGGGGGGCAGGCGCTGAAAATAACAAGGCACCGAGCTAGGAAGCTGCATGATGACGGGTTGCTGAACCACCATCCAGCCGAAGAAAATTATTCCCCAAAGGTGTATTCAATTCGCCATCGCATAAATGGCTACTTTATAAATGAGTCTCAACTCCTACCCTGAGGAGAATATAATTACACTTTGGGGAAGGGCCATAGCTCAGTGGTAGAGCATTTGCCTTGCATGCAGAAGGTCCCAGGTTCAATCCCAAATAGCAGCTCCAGGCAGGACTGGGAAGTGTCCCCACCTGCAATCCCGGAGAGCCACTGCCAGTCAGTGTAGACTGAGTTAGCTGGACCCATTGTCTGATGCAGTATAAGCAGTTTCCTTTATTCCTAGGTATATTGTCTTCATCAAGCCCAAGAAGGCCTCTGTACAGAGACCAGCTCTGGGACGGCATCATACGTCTTTGCTGACATGGTCCTCCTCCCTGTGTTAAACTGGACAACCTACACCATGGGCACGAAGAGGGCAAGTTTGCTACAGAAAGCAGGATTTTGGGTTCAGAGAGGAAAAGGCAGCATAAATGACACCGACTTGCTGACCACAAGACTGCCGCATTGTGAAGTCTCCTATTGCCTTTGTAGAGCTTTCCCTATAGGCAGCAGAACCTTGGAATTTGGGTGGGTTTAGGCAGATTTCCAGGCCCTGGGCACAGAATGCATCAGCCAATACAGTGGTACCTCTAGTTGCGGACATGATCCGTTCCGGGGTGCCGTTTGCACCCCGAAAAGTCCGCAACTAGAGCAGCGCTTCTGCACAAGCGCGGAGTGCTATAGAGCGCTTTTGCGCGTGCAGCGATTGCAACCCAAAAAGTCACAACTTGGAGCAAACGCAACAAGATTTATGACTATTATCTTACCGCTCATTGGCCGGTTGGGTGTTCTTTGCCTTGGGGATGCCTCAGAGACAGGCGAGTCGCCCCCTATGGGGCAACCGAACATGAGTTCCAGCTCCTTCGAATCAGGTGGGGGGATCGGATACCGGCCGATGGCCATCTCGACCAGGGAGAGTCCCATGCTCCAGATGTCTGACTGGACCGAATAGTGAGTCCCTTGTAGTCTTTCTGGCTACATGCACAAAAAAACCACAAAAGATAGAACAGAAATAAATCTAAAAGCCCGAGACAGCAGAAATTTGCAATGTAAAAGAGAGCAAACCCCTGGCGAGTGTGGCGAAGAAAACAAAATGGAAGAAGGCGTTTTAATTCTGCTTAGTCAGGCTGGCCCCTTTTCTTTTGCTTTCCTTTCCCCTACAGCAGGAGAATTTGTAAGCCTGTGGGACCTTCAGAAGCCTTCAGGAATGCTGCACTGCTGAAGCCTTCATAAATATCAAAGAGAACTGCCAATTTTTAGCTGTAGTTCGTGCTGCTCAGCCTGCGATCTGTTGTTAAGCCTCTATGCCACAGGAAATTACGTGGCGCTCAACTTGAAATGACCACGGCTCCTCCACTAGCCCTCTCTGAAGCTCATCCTGGGAATAACACCAACCACAAGTAATGGGAGAGGCAAGTCAGGTCCAGCTCTGAGGAAAGGGTCAAGTTCCTTAAAATCCTGCCCCAACTGCATCTGAAGTTCATGAGCCACAAAATCCTGGCAAGGTTTGATTCTAGCAACGTCTGTCGTAACTGCATCCCTTTCCAGCAATGCAAACACGTAATTCTGTGGCAGGTACACAACTGCAAAGCACACCAACGGGCAACTGTCACACATGGTAAAAAGCACACCACATGAGGACATGGAAGCGCTCTCAGCACATGGCCATTTTGTCCTGAGTAAACTGGACCATCACAGTTTCATCATCATCATCGTTGTCTGTACTTACGGACATGTAGGACCTTGTGCCCACAAAGGAGTTAGCCATTGAATCTATCAGCTGTCCACTGACACCAAAATCACAAAGCTTGATCTCCCCTCTAGAGTTTACCAAAATGTTGGATGGCTTAACATCTGGGAGGGGAAAAAAAAAGATGAATGGACGATATTTTAATTACTTGTTTTCATTCAGGCATTTCTGCCTTGCTTTTTTAATCTCTGGTGCTCAGTATGTATTAAAATGAAATGAGAGGGTGGTTCAAAAACAGATCATGAAAGTAACAAACCAAAAAGTGAAAGGGAGAAATGCTTCCTTAATGCAGTCCTTTCCTTTTTATAACGCAACAGAAAAAATTAATAATAATTCCTTCGGTAGGCCTTCTATTTACCTCATGACATACAGGAGACAAGGTACTTTGACCTTCCACACCAGCCGTCCCCAACCGGGTGCCCTCCAAATGTTTTGGACAACAATTCCTGTCAGCCCTAGCTCACATGACTATGCCAGCTGGGACCGTTGGGAGTTGTAGCCCAAGTCTTCTGGAGGGCACCAGGTTGGTGAAACACCAGCTGCGGTTGCAAGTTGTCCAATTCAGAGTTCACTGGCTTGTCCAATTCAGAGTTCACTCCCATTCCATTCCAGGGGCCGCATGCCAGTGGTGGGCAGGGCCAGAAGCAACAGTGGGCGAGGCAACCAATGACATTTTACCTTTGTACTGTAGTTTCATTTCTACATGCACTCACAACACCCATCTCATCCTTCATCCAGACAAGCAAGAGGCATCATCACATTTCAAGGGCACTTTCCAGTCAGGCAAAAAGAGGGCCAAGTGTCTCGGGGGCAGTTCCAAGGGCTGGATAGAGAGCCCTGAAGCCCCCCATTTGGCTGGCAGGTCTGAGTTTTCCCTTCCCTGATTTACATGGTTAGGAGTTTTGCTACCGACCAAGAACGTTCCTGGGGTGGTGCAAGCTGATCTGGTCCAAGCATATCCCAAACTCAGTCCAATTATAAGGCTCCTTGTGGATTGCTGCAAGGATGACTGAACCCAAACAGCTTATTCATGTAAAGAAGAAACACGACTTTGAAAAGAGCATCCTGTGGCATTTTGCAGACCAACAGTCAGATCACAAAGGACTTGGCTTCTACAGAATTTTATCTGTTTATCTAAACTTGTACTGTCCAATCAGAGCTGGAGTGGCAGCAGAGAGGAAGATGCTTTCTCTGGTCCTGGGACTTGACAGCCTTTGTATGGGAGATCCCAAGGGCTGAGCAGAGGGGGTCTTCTGCAAACAATGCCAAGTGTTCCACACAAACACTACACACACACACACACACACACACACACACACAGTCCCGGACTCTCTGCCCATGGCACCCCACTGACATAAGCATTTGCAAGCTACAGCTGCTTAAACAGATGGCACAGTCAGGACACAGAATACGTCCTCCAAAACGCCAGCCTCACTGCCTGTTCTCTGCCTGTCAACAGACTTCCTCTACTCATGAGGCTTCACATGTTTTCATTCCCTCCCAAACAGTTTCCCTGGATCAAAAGCAAGAATTCCCAGCTGAATTCCTACAGTCTTTTATCATGCAGGCATGCATGGGGGGACAAGGCTCTTTGATTTCACAACCCCAGAGTGGTGTTATGGGACAAAAGTCACAACCTCAGAATATCACTCAACTGGCGTTTGCAACCCTGTTGAGCCACACAGCTTCTCTCTTTCTCTCTGTCTAAGCTACCCCACAAGGATGCTGTGAAAGGACTAAGGGAGAGAAATTATGTATGCTTGCCTAAGGTCTTTGGAGGAAAGGTGGAATTAAAAAACAGGGTTGTATTCAACCAGATGGGCGGGATATAAATAATAAAAGTATTGATAATATCATAAGTCACTAGATGAGTAGAATGACTTCCTTGAATTCAATGTAACTCCTGTCTCTCTTCTTTCTGGGTGCTCCCCAACTCTGTTCTGGGGGTTCCTCCAACCCTCTGGGGCAGATATGGGGTGGCGCAGGGAGAGGGAGAAGTTCTGTTGCACTTTTGGAAGCCGTTCCACACATACAACGATTCTGCTGGATTCAACGAACAATAAAGCAGGGACTGTTTGCATACCAACAGGCAGGTGGCGAGATTATGGTCAACCACCTCCCACTTCAAATTCAGTCTTGATCTACCTTTCAGCATACACAAAGCATCAAAAGTAGAGGAAACTACACCCTGATCTACCTGGCATATGGATGGCTGAGTCAACAGTGGTAGTAAATAAATGTCAGATGGACTCTGGAAAACTTGGGCCCCCCCCCCCCACTGCACAAATAAGTGATAAAACTTTTGCAAAACACCAAGTTATGGGATGAAAAAGCAAAACTTGATTGTGCAAAGGGATCCAAAGCAAGAAGCTCTTCAAGCCATCATCTTTGGACAAAAATCAGAAAACATGGTGGCTGCTGGAGCCCATCGCTCATTGGACCTCTTCAGCCCACTTTGATCCACCACACTTTTCCAACAAAACCATAAGAACTGAAAGCAATCAATGAGTCTTTTGGTTTTGCAGAAATCAAGGCTCGCTGGAGAAAAACATGGTTGTCTGAACCAAGCCACCACCAGCTTACATATGCAGCCCTGCTTCCTTAAATAAAGGCTGTCTGTAACTAGGCAACTGAAAACTATTTATGAATGCTCAGGCACTGGAAGCGATTCTTTTCATCTTTTCTGCTGTAGGCGGAGGACACCACTGTAGAATAGAGCACTTATCCAGTCATTAGCAATGCATTAAGCCTCATGAAATAAGCAGGCATCTCTGCAATCAATTCTTCTGGTAAGGAGGAAAAATGGAGCAGCCGAAAAGTGGTGGAGGTTCAAGGATGCAGCAGCAGCCTTTCACGATTTCTACTTGCAGGGTGGGGAAAGACAAGGGCCCAGAGTTCCTTCCTCAGTTCTTCTTTTAAGAAACCTTACAGTGGATAAGAGAAAACATCAATGATGTTTCCAGTGGGTTAGCTGTGCTAAGTCTTTTGCATCTACTGGGCTTCTATGGTGGATGGGAAAACAGTAAACCTCCTGAGTCAAAGCCCATCTCCGTGGTATAGTTGCCACATAGGAACATCTATGTATGTTAAACCTATGTGGATGTTCATACTCATTGAGTGGTGGGAGACTGGGATCACGCCAGCTCACCCTGATCCCTTTGGCGCACCACCAAACCTTTTAATCCTCAACTAATTTGCACATTTCAGCACAAAGGACTCCCGCCCTCATTGGACATCAATGTCTCGTGCTACCGTTATCTAGTGCTGAGTAACACACTTCCAGGGAAGTATAGCGCTCTCTCTCTCTCTCTGTGTGTGTGTGTGTTCTTCCGCTATGGCCTCACTCCCTGTGACACTGGATGGAAGGAGGAGTTTCCACATTCCTCCAGCACTTCCAACAGCCTCACCTGCCACCTGGAGTTCTGAGAGCCAGAACATCATTTGCCCAAGGAGCCCCTCAAGAAAGGGTACAGATGAAAACAGACCTGCATGTTTTGCACACCTTGGGTGATACTCAGAGCAGAAATCAGTAGATGTAAGTCCATTCGTTTCAGTGGATCTAATCAGAGTACTGACTGCACAGGCTATCGCTCCTTGAGTTCTCAGGGCACAGAAAGCTGATTTGCTCCCTGAAACATATAGGACTTATACAAACGGTAACTCTAACATGTGAAGCACAGATGAAGCCGGTGGTGGGGTGGGTGCCCGATATGGCTGGGCTGGCTTGGTCCATTCCCTTACTGTACAGGAAGTTGCTGTGTCAGCCTGCTTCATCATAATATTGCGGTTCTCCATGACACCACTGCATGTTCCTGCATGTTCTGGGACCAGAATGGAGACTTCCCACAATGGAGCAGTAGGGCCAAACCATCATGTGGGAAGACTTAAAAATTATACGACCTCTGAGCCAAGGAGATAAGTAGCTATACAACCTTTAGAAGTCATCTGAAGGCAGCCATGTATAGGGAAGTTTTTAAATGTTTGATGTTTCATTACATTTTTATATATGTTGTAAGTTATATATATGTTGTAAGCTGCCCAGAGTTGCTGGGGCAATCCAGTCAGATGGGCAAGGTAAAAATATATTATTATTATTATTATTATTACTACTACTACTATGGAATACGTCATCCCTATTTTCATCGGATAAATGTTGGAGGATATGATAGAATGTTTGATGCGTACAGCAGCTCTCACCCTTAGCTTTCAAAGGAATCTCAGGAAGCACCCAGCTGCAATCTCTTATCTCCACTGGTCTGGTCCGTCTTGAAGCTTTCATCTGAATGGTCATTACAGCCAAGAGAAGAGGCAGCCCTCTTGATCATGGTAGATCTTCACCGGTACAGTCTGCATCTACGCCCTCCCGGATAAAATATTTAGCACCTGCTTCTCCGAACCTCACGTCCCTGCATCTTGGCTGCCATAACAACCCAGTGCTTTACAGCTGCAGAAGGAGCCAGCTAAGAGCCTAAGTAAATGCAGTCAATTAGAGTAATGCAAGGGTACAGCGCTAGTTCTTTATCACTCCCTTGCCAGCACCAGGACCCAAAGGCTCTTCAGCATATTTAAGTCAGGATCTCCAGTCCTCTGCCGTGCCTTTCCCTTTGCGGGGGTGGGCAAGTCATTCCCCCTAAGGGAAGGGCCATAGTTTGTGGTAGAGAGTCTGCTTTGCATGCAGAAGGTCTCAAGTTTGATTCCCAGCACCTCCAAGTAGGACTGGAAAAGACTCCTGTCTGAAAGTCTAGAGCAGGGTTTCCCAAACTTGGGTCTGCAGCTGTTTTTGGACTATAAGACCCATCATGCCTAGCTAGCAGGACCAGAGGTCAAGAATGATGCAAACTGTAGTCCAAAACCAGCAGGAAACCCCCATCTAGAGAGTCACTGTCAGTCAGAGTGGATGATACTGAGCAAAATGGACCAATAGGCTGACTCTGAATTAGGCAGCTTCTAATGTTCACCATTTTGTTTTCATGTTAGGGGGTGTCTGAGTGAAACACACCACACTTAGAAAATGTGAACTGCATTATCCTATATTCTAGGATATCAAAATGAGTGTCTTGCCCCTTATATTCATAACTGGGCTTTATAGGATACCATCTCACCAGAAGGTCCACGCAGGAATTGGACCTTTAATGGGGTGGCACCTCCCTTTTGAAACTCCCTCCCATTAAAAGGTAAAAAGGTAAAGGACCCCTGGATGGCTAAGTCCAGTCAAACTGGTTAAGTCCAGTTATTGTCTTTTCAGTGCCTACTGAAGACTTCCAGTGTCGACTGCTAGGAGCTTGTAGCCCAACAAAATCCAGAGGGCAAAAGGTTGGCCAAGGCTGGGTTTCCTGCACCGTCAACCAGTGGTTGTAACAAGGTGAAAAGAAAACAGAATAAAAACCTACAAATTCCAGTTTCTTTGGGGGCAGAATGCACAGAATCACCCCCCACCCCCCGCCAGCTGGGTATGTGTCCTGCATGGGCAGCCTAATTCACAGGAAAGTGGTGAGGAATTGTACTTTCCTGCAGTAGCTCCCCGTTTGTGAAATGCTCTCCCCAGGGAGGCCCACCTTTAGGTGCCAGGTGAAAGCATTCAACTTCAGCCAGGCCTTTGGCTGACTGACATCCTGCATCCTTTTAAATGTGTTTGCGGGGAGATGGAAAGAAGAAGGAATCCCTACCAGAGAGGAATGGCAAATCAAGCTCTTGGACTATGCCAAAATGGCAAAACTGACCGGAAAGCTCAGGGACCAAGAAGTCAAAAACTTCAAGAAAGAAGTAAGCAGATGAAAACACTAGCAGGATTTTAATCTCACTTGTAATGTAACAAATACTATGGACAACATGGATAGATATAAAATATAGGCTATGATATAATATGCAGTTGAAAACATTGACATTAGGACCCATGGAGGGGATGGGGGGAAGTCTCAAGAGTCAGAAAAATTTCTTTATATGGATATGTATTTGGTTTTGTTATAAATTTATATCTGTAAAATCAAATAAAAATGATTAAATAATAATAATGTGTTTGCGGGGGGGAAGGGGAGTTATTGATTTATTTTGGTTTTCTTCTTGTTTTTATTATGTATTTTGTGTTTTTATCTTGTGTTTTTATTCTGTGAACCGCCCTGAGATATTTGAATGACGGGCGGCATACAAATTTAATAAGTACCGGTAAATAAATGCAAAGATCATCTCAGGGTAAAGATGATCAGGGTAAAGGCCCTGCTGACCAGAATCAAGCAGCCCAACATGACTGTTCTAGCAGTTTCATACAATTCTCTTTTCTTAGCTTTTTAATCTCCTATTTATCTGAGCTCTCTGGTTTTATTGATTTCCACCATCCAAACATCCAATAATGTCTGTCAGGAAGAGAAAAAGTTGACACAAACACACCTTTGGAATATTGGCTTTTGCAAGCAGCCTCCTCCAGGTTTATAAACCCCCCAGGGGTGCTTGGCTGCAGAGGATCTATGGAAGGAGGGGTTATGTTGGGACACGGACACTATTAAGGAACTGGGCAGCGGCTGGGGAGCTGACAAAGGAGGCAAAATTCACACGGCATTTGAAGGTGAGAATTGGTTTTTTAAAATGCGTACATTGTACAGTAGGTACCTTTTTAACCTTTTTAACCAAGGCTGAAGCAGCAAGTTGGCCTTGGAAATAATAAAATGATGCAAAGCCCCAGTCTCCTCACCCCCTCCACTGACCATGCAAACAACTCTGCAAACAAGTGTTTCTGGAACAATCTGCACTATGCATTTAAAGCACTATCATAGAGACTTCAAAGAGCCATGCTTCCCCCCAAAGAATGATGGGAATAGTAGTTTGCTAAGGGTGTAAGAGTTGGTTCAGAGACCCCTCAAAGAGCAGCAATTCCCAGAGTTCCCTGGGAAGAGGGATTGATTGTTGAACCACTCTAGGGATGGTAGCTCTGTGAGGGGAGTTAGGTAAAGGTAAAGGGACCCCTGACAGTTTGATCCAGTCGCAGACGACTCTGGGGTTGCACGCTCATCTTGCTCTATAGGCCGAGGGAGCCGGCGTACAGCTTCCGGGTCACGTGGCCAGCATGACTAAGCTGCTTCTGGTGAACCAGAGCAGTGCACGGAAACGCCATTTACCTTCCCGCCAGAGTGGTACCTATTTATCTACTTGCACTCTACGGGCTTTCAAACTGCTAGGTGGGCAGCAGCTGGGACCAAGCAACGGGAGCTCACCCCGTTGCAGGGATCTGAACGGTCAACCTTCTGATTGGCAAGCCCTAGGCTCTGTGGTTTAGACCACAGCGCCACCCGCGTGAGGGATGTTAGGGGTCCCCTAATAACTGACCATTCCCCTACAGTTCCCAGGATCCTTTCAGGGAAGCCATGATGGTTTAATAATGTGGTATAATAGTGATCTAAGCATATGGTGCAAATGGGGCCTAAAGTATGTCCTCACAATTTGTAACTGGGATTCAAGAGCAGCCCTGCTGGGGCCAGGCACAAAGTCCAACAGGCTGTTTCAAACCTCAAGCAGTTGGCCGACTCCAGGGACCTCGAAATCAAGTTTAATTTTGCTTATTTATTATGCTTGTGCCCTGCCTTTTTCTCCAAGGGATCAGGCATAGCTCTCCCTCCCCACCCCAGCCCAATTTTATTCTCACAACAACTCCGTCAGGCAGTCTTCCCCAAAGTTGTGCCCCATCCAGGTTTCCTTGGCCAGCACCCACAACTCTAGCCATGACATACCACACTGGGTTCCCTATCAGTAGGAGAAAACAACAGAGGCCAACCAGAGTATATTGAGAAGTAAAGCGGCTAGTAAGCCTCATCTTTATTAAAGGAACTGCTGCAACATGGTCCCCACTCGCCACATGCAGGAAGGTGGTGAACCCTGAACAATGGTGTGCAAGGCCTTATATAGGCTTTTGAAGTTGCCCACCCTGTAGCCCAAGACCACCCCCCCAAAAACATCATACATACATCCCAGAAAGAGGAGGTCTACAGCAGGAATCCTGTCTGCCAGGATATCTAATAATGGTCACTGATTGCATTACCTGGGCAATCTGGCCATTCTTTTGTGATGGTTAATACTTTAGTTCCTGAATCCAGGTCACAGGCTCATCCTATTCATACACAAAAACATCCTTAAGACGGGATTTGTAAGCAAAAAGACAATGGGAAGGCTTTCCATATTTGCCTCTCTTACTGCAGGTTTGAGGTTATTGGGAGAGTCAAAATGGCTTCAGGATTGCTTTCCCATACTATTTCAGACACATAGTTCATATATTTAGATACGTGTGTGTTTATGAATATTTATTCTATATTTGAGACCTTAAAATTCTTTTAACACTCCTCCGAATGGGCTGAGCTCAACCCTAGTTGTCCTCAGAGTAGACCCACTGAAAATTAATGGGCCTTACTTAGTCATGTTCATTAATTTCAGTGGGTCTTCTCTTAGGCGAGTATCATCCTATGAGCTGACCTCACAGACACCTACAGGTAAATGCAGCTAAAATGCATAGACAAAGGAACACAGAATATGCTTGATTGTGAAGAAGGAAGGTTGCATTCTTACCTCTGTGCATGATCTTATGCTTCTCTCTCAAGTATGTTAGACCTTTTATGACCTGCATCCAAAACCAAAAGTTTAAATTAAAACCAAAAAAATAGCAACAGAAATGAAAAGCCATATTTGTATAAAATACAAGCGGAAATGGCATTATTTCTCCTTCACTGGGGAGCAGCAATGCTCTTCCTCCATGTACGAATTGTGCTTTAAATGAATTTAGAATTGCAGGACAACTCCTCAAATTTGGCTCTACTTGCTTGTAGAATACAGCAGAATTTAATTAAAAATTTTAACTTAATTTTTTAAAAAGCAACACGCACACCCCAATTTAAAATCACACAAGTTAAGAAGTTGTTAAAAACCAGTTGAAAACGTTTTAAACAAGTAGGGCAACAATAATAGCAACGGAACCTCCTAAACAATACCCCAACCCAAAAATCTGTTCAGCCACCTTGGCTTTCGTAGATTAAATCAGTCAGGGCCCTGCCCTCCCAGGCCAGGTGGAAAGGAAGCAGGCAGCAAGTGGTGTTTGGATGAAGGGCGGTATACAAATTTAATCAATAAATAAGAATAAGCAAAATAAACTTTAGCGGGGTTTGGGAAGCTGTTTTATTAAGTGGGTTGGTAACATCCAAGGTTGAAGTGGAGGAGGCAGATGCAAAGACAGCAAGGAGGAAGGGGAGGGTCTCTCCTTGCATCACATACTTCTCTCTCCCATCTGCCTACCCTCTGACCCCAAGTTGCATCACATGCTGGGGAACAGGAAGGGCATACTAGACCACAACAAACGAGTTCTCTGTGGGTGCCTGTAGTGGCTGTCCCACCCAAAAGCTGCAGCAGTCAACTAAAGGCTTCTGGTGACAATGGGACTTCTATATGGGCTATATTTCCTGTGCCAAGTGTGTCTTTCTAAAGACAGTCTATTTAAAAGGGGGGAAGCAATACATTTAGAAGCACGAGTCATAGCTGTCCATCTCATTTCAGTTTGCCTCAAGCAGAAACTTTCAACCAGCTGTCTCTGCCTTCTGGACTTGACCTGCCATCACCAACTACATTTCGATTCCACTTGCTTGAATGCCAAAGCAACATACTTACAGCAATGCTAACTTTGCCCAGAATCTGTTCGGGGATTCTGCCAGCCTTTTTCAGGACTTGATCCAAGGAGCCGCCGTCCTATTAAGAAAAAAAAAACATGTTTAAACATTCAGAGCGTTAATCATGTTTATCCTCAAAGTGTCAAAGACACTCTGAAAGGCCCAAAGGGGGCAGGAAAAAAGGCAGCTTGACATCTGATAGCAGAAAAGGAACAGCTGGACCATGTTTTTGATGAAATCAAATGGCAAATCGTTCTGCAAAAGGAGAGAACAAAGGAAGGCCACACAGAGCAATTTCTTGCCCACAACTTGAGGATGTAAAGGGCACACAACTTCCTGTAACCCTTGAATTCAGATGACACATTTAAGGTTCATAAGTGGTGATGGCAGGCTGAGAAACCCCTTCCCACCAGCATGTTTCTGTGCCATGAAGCCATTATTTACCCAAGTGTGGACATTGGCAGGTGTGTCCCTCTTGTTACCCGCACACCCTCTAGAATTTGCACTGCATAAGATTACAGCTGAATTAACAACACATTATCTTACTTCCACATTTCAAAACAAATTAATCAGCAGGTTACTGGTCATCACACAGCTTGAGAATGCAAGAGCCCTGCTGAATCAAAATGGGGCAGGGGCCTAACATCCTCTAACATCCTTTTCCCAACAGCATGCCAGCCTGTTGGGCTTTCCAGAGGCAGGGGCACCGACTTGCCCCCCACCCCTGAGGTGGTGCCATCGCGCTTGCTTGTCCCAGCCCTGGGTCGGCTCCTGAGTTGCCGGGCGGGGGCTGTGGCTGGGGCATGTGGAAGGGTGCCCAGCGGCAGTGGTTGAGGGGTTGGCCCCCGCAAAATGGGGGGTGCAGCCCCCTGCCCCCAAATATTGGGGGACTGGAGCCCCTTGAGCCCCATAGACCTGGCACTCCTGTCCAGAGGTCCAAGCAGGTCACAAAAGCAGGAGCCCTTCCCCACTGGTCCTCAGCATTTCCAGGGTATACTGCCTTTGAACATGGAAGTTCTATACAGCTGTGAGCAGAGCACACCTTTTTCCGTCAGGCAGAATTAGTTAGGTAAGGAGTGGGACACCCATGACCTGACAAAACATGGGGTTTTTTGGGGGGTGGGTGGAGCAAGGAAGGCAAGCAAGACATAACCAAGCAGCACAGAAAGCCTGCTACCCTTAGACATCAGTCTTTAAAAGAAAATATCTTCCCTTGCTTATCGGGGCCTGTTACAGAACACAAACACACCCTTTCCAAGTTAAATATATACTGCTGTTGCTAAGAGCTGGAGGCAGAAGGGGAGAGGAACGGTGTAAGTCACATTAATATATTTATTTTTTGCAAAGCACAACCACTTTGAGGAAAGAACAGGCTTTAAAAAGAGCCCACCTCCCTTCCAAAACACAAAAAAACCCCAATCAAAATCTTTATTTTAATTGTTTTCACAAATAGAGCAGGGAAGCGTCTGTTTCCAGGGTGGTAGAGAGGTTCGTGGTGTTCCAGACTTCCTGAAGTGCTTGATTAACAAGGGACAAACAGTCTCTGCAGTTAATTTATTTACTAACCCTCTAACTTTCCTCTAAGGAAGAGACAGTGTGGGTGAGACGCAGGGATAAAAAAAGGCTGCCCAAGCAAGGAGCAAGCTGGGTGGTCTGGGACACTTTAAAGCTCCTCATCTGGATAGTGTCATTGTGAACGGAATGGTAAAGTTATTTCATAGAACAGAATCACAGAATTGTAGAGTTGAAGGGACCCCATCATCATCATCATCATCATTATTATTATTCTGCAATACTAGATATGCTTTTTATATCGTTTTAATTTCATGGCTAGTTTAATTACTTAATAAGCTTTTTATGCTTTTAGCTATGTTTCTTTCATGTGTATTTGTTTTAATTTTTGTAAGCCCACTTGAGTCCTGGCTCTGGGAAAAAAGGTAGGATATAGATAAGGCCAGGGTTTTCTAAACTTGGGTCTCCAGCTGTTTTTGGACTACAGTTCCCACCATCCCTGACCACTGCTCCTGCTAGCTAAGGGATGATGGGAGTTGTAGTCCAATGACAGCTGGAGACTCATGTTTGGGAAACCCTAAGTAGATAGGTAGCTGTAGGATACATCTGCAACCCCCCCCCCAAAAAAAACCCCACCAGCCTGAAAGGGTCCTTTTTACCTCCTGCCCTCTTTCTCATATACCTCTACAGTGGTACCTCTGGATGCGAATGGGATCCGTTCCGGATCCCCGTTTGCATCCTGAGTGGAACGCAACACGCGACTGCGAATTTGCATGTTTCGCCGCTTCTGCGCATGCGCGTGACGTCATTTTGAGCGTCTACGCATGCGCAAGCGGCAAAACCCGGAAGTAACGCGTTCCGTTACTTCTGGGTCGCCGCGGAGTGTAACCTGAAAACGCTCAACCTTAAGCATATTTAACCCGAGGTATGACTGTATTTTAAGTTATTCACTGCTCTTCCTGTAGAGTACATTTTCTGTGAATATAGAATAAAAAAACAACTCATGTCCTTCTCATTTCATAAGAAACATTAGCAACAGAAAGGGCAAATAAAACAAAGACTTCTGTTAAGAATAGGACAGAAATAACGATGCATCGTGGTGCTCAGAATGCCAGCTATTTTTGTAGGCACCATTTCATTTAGCCCCAAAGCTGGGACTTTGGCTTTTTTGGGGAGGGAGGGGGGGTATTGCACAACAACATTTGGTCACACATGTGAAATTGTTCAACACCTCCGCTGGGGTTGAAGAAAGGGAGGGTTTTGACTGACCTTTAATTGGGGGGGGGGACTAGTGCTCTAAAACTAGGGGTTCCATCTGGCTCGACAAAGGCTGACAGATGTCGAGAGCAAAGTGTCATATTTTTCTCTCTATCAGAGTGAAAATAAATGTTAAATCATGTTAAACCTGAAACATTAGGGGGAAAGAGAGAGGGAGGGAGAGAGAGAGAGAGAGAGAGAGAGAGAGAGAGAGAGAGAGAATGGAGGGAGAACTTTCTAGTTTTGTTAAAAAATGGAAGATGGGAGCAACCCCAGGCAGCCCATAAAGGTAAAGGGACCCCTGACCATTAGGTCCAGTTGTGACCGACTCTGGGGTTGTGGCGCTCATCTCGCTTTATTGGCCAAGGGAGCCGGCGTACAGCTTCCGGGTCATGTGGCCAGCATGACTAAGCCGCTTCTGGCGAACCAGAGCAGTGCACGGAAATGCTGTTTACCTTCCCGCTGGAGCGGTACCTATTTATCTACTTGCACTTTGACGTGCTTTCGAACTGCTAGGTTGGCAGGAGCAGGGACCGAACAACAGGCGCTCACCCCGTGGCGGGGATTCGAACTGCCGACCTTCGGATTGGCAAGTCCTAGGCTCTGTGGTTTAACCCACAGCGCCACCTGCGTCCCCAGGCAGCCCATGCTCACTGTTTATTTCCCTATAGGTGAGAACGGCAAATGCAGCAGTGAATACCAAATAAAAATACGAGGTGAAGTGGAGCAGTATGGAAGAGATACTACGTAGATTTGTATTTAGGATGAAGCTCATACTTTATTATTTCTCAGTTTGGGTAGGGCACACACAAGGAAGAACTCATCTTAGAAAAAGCAGTAAATCCTACAACTGTCTCTACAGGAGGGGCCCTAGCTCAGTAACAGAGCACTTGCACTCTGGTTCAATCCCCAGCATCCCCAGGGAGGGCAGGAGGAGACTCATGTCTGAAACTCCGGAGAATAGCTGCCAATCAGAGCTGACAACACTGAGGTAAGAAGGACCAATGGCCTGAGTCAGATTCCTGTATTCCTACTTCTTAGTCACAGGTCCTTCCATATACAAGCTGTGCTTCCGTCCAATAGCCACCAAGAGATTTGATGAAGCTCTTGAGCAGGACACACAGTTAAAGCACTCCTTGGATGACTTTCAGAAGTGATTAGACAAATCCATGGAAAAGGAAGTTTTAGGGATGCACCCAGTGCTAGCCCTACTCAAGAGCAGATCCTGACATTCATCCCCCCCCAAGTTTGTCATGTTAATTCATTTCAATGGGTCTATGCTGAGTAGGTCTAGCAGTGGATATGGCCTACAAGTCATGATGGCTCTGTTCCATCTCTACTGTCAGGAACATACACCAAATGCTGGCATTCACTAGTTGGGGAAATGCTGTTGCACTTGGATCCTGTTTGTCTGCTTCGCTTTGGGGTATCTGGTTGACCACTGCAAGAACTGGATTCTGGGCTAGGTGAGCCTCCTTGGACCTGATCCAGCAGGGCTGTTCTTACCTGCCTCTGATTAACCAAAGCCGTTCGGTGTTTGGTGTAAATGAGTTCTATGAGTTAATCACTCAAAGCACCATGTTGTGTGCCTTAACCTTGCCTCGTGAGGACCCAAAATTCTGGTACTTTGAGAATGCACAAATAGCTTTTCTGTATTGTACAGTTGGAAGGGACCACGAGGGTCATTCAAGTCCAATGCCCTGCAATGCAGGAATCTTTCGCCCAATGTGGGGCTCAAACCCACGACCCTGAGCTTAAAGAGTCTCATGCTTTACCAACTGAGCTATCCAACTCTCCATGAAGACACACAATGGGGAAGCCGTAATCAGGGAACAAACCCAAAGGCAGGGAGTGGGGGGAGGAGAAAAGGCATACTTACCATGTGTTCCATGCAGATGCTGATCTCACCGTCGCTGTAAAATGCTCCATAAAAGCCCACAATATAGGGAGAATTACATTCATGCAAGACTTGTAGCTCACGGATGATCTGGTTCCGGATTGCCGGCTTGATCTCCAGGTGAATTAACTGCAAAATGATAATTGCCATAAGTTTCAGGGGCGTTTAAAAGAAAATAAGACTACCCCAGATGCAGGGTGTGCTGCAGAAAAGTCATGACATACCAAACACAGATTGACCCTAAGAGCTACAAAGCTGCGATTCATGGAGGAATCCCTTGCGAAGTCTGAATGTTAGAAGCCACAGAGGATAACACCTGTGATCTGAACATCCTCCTCCCAGAATTACGGGCTGTACTGACTGATCTCTGTGGATGCGTACCAAAAACATACTAGACTTTTACTCAAGAATTTGCTAGCTGGTAGAAACTGGCTATGGCAACTATGAAATAAATAACTATGTGGGTATTTGATTGCTCTTTACATGCATTTATTTTATTTTATTGAATAATAATAATAATAAATGTTTTGATATATTGCTGCCCCGGGTTCCTTTGGGATTCCTAGTTTTTATTTGTTTCATTTCCCCAAATTCCCGATTTTATTTGGTTTAAACTAAATTTGTACTACTGTTTTACTGGTTTTATGTTGTATTTTTGTTTTAGTCATACTGTTTATTGCTTTTATACGTTACTTAGAGATTTTTAAATATTAATCAGTTTATACGTAGGTGCTTTTAAATAAAATAAATTATAAATAAGACTACAGAATGGGTCAACAGGGAGAGACACAGGGCGAATTTGTCAATGGGAAGCTAGCCAAAACAGCTTTCCTCATCCTGTGCTGGCTATGCTGGGACTGATGGGATCTGTAGTCCAAAAACAGTTGGAGGGCACCAGGTTGGGGAAGGGCTGGCCTATAAGGTCAGTAACAATGCTCACCTTCCTTGCCATAATGAGGCCAGAAGGTTTGTGCGAGACTTTGAAGACCACCCCGCCATTTCCTGCACCCAGCTCGCTTATTTTCTCAAAATCATCGTCCTTTAGCTCCCCAACTTTTTGTTTCTGGGTAAGGAAGGCCTCAAGGCGTTTCCGCTGCTGCTCATCAAGTTCTAACTCTTCCAACTTTTTTTGGAGGGCTTCCAAATTTGTCCTGGAAGGAGAAAGAGAGAGAAAGCAAAGAAATAGCCATTAACTGAACTCGAGTCACATTCACAGACAGTGCTAAATGATAAAGTGGAGAAGGAGGAGCCAACGCAATTCAGCAGGGCCAGCTCTACCATTAGGAAGAGTGAGGCAATTGCCTGTGGTGGCAGTTGCTGTAGAACAGAAGCATTAGCAGTACCCCCTGATCTGTGGCTCAGAATCAATCCCACTCCTCCTTAGCACAGTATTGCAAAATATACACTGCACCAGTTTCAGAATGGTTCGGGGAAATGATGAGGTTGGGACTTGGATGAATCCCCATTTCAAGGGAAAGACACTCCACAATTGTGGCACAGCCACAGAAAAGGCATTCCAAGAGCCCAGGGCTCCAACTGTTTAGGATTTCTAAGTCAAAATGAGAGCTGTGTAGATTCCTTGCTAGAAACATCAACATTCTAAGCCAGGTCATCTGAATTCTGCACCACAGGAAGTGCAATTCTGTTTCTCTCGTTACGTGTGCCATGGAAATCAGTATAATTTTTCTGATTTTATACATTTGTTACTCAGTTTTACTGTTTTGCAGAATGTATTGTGGTTTTGCTAGTCACAGGGAGGGGCAAATATCTTAGCGGGATACTGAAAACACACACATTCTAGAAATCCTCTTTAGTCACCTCACTCCCTGCAAGTTTCAGAGATTTCGGAAGCTCTTGCCAACGCGCTTCCAAGCACCTATCTGCAACCATAAGACCCAGACACTTTACCTCTCTTTTTAACCGAAAGCTGAAATTGTCAGGAATCTGAAAACCAGCTGAACCCAATACCGCATTCTGCTTGCCTCCTTTCCCCTCCCCAGAACTGGAGGACATGCAGAACTTGCATGTTTGGTGGTGGCGGATGCAACATGAACAGGAAAAGGAAATGTCTGTGCATAAGAACATCTAGGTGGATTCAAGCCAGTCACCCCTTTGGGACAGGAAACCGAGTTAATCTTTGACTCAACACTTCCATTGTCCATGTAGCCCCGTTGACTCAGGAGTGCTAACTCATGTTCCAGTGAGCAATCACTACCTCTGCAGAAAGGATTCTCGGATTGAGTGAGGGGGACGGATAGAACGTGCAATCATACCCTGCAGAGCTTGTGTAAATATTTCAGATGCGTATCTGTGCCAATTCAAAGGCAATTACATAACCATGGGCACGCTGCATGGAAGCTTCTTGCTTGCGCTTCTCCCTCGCCCACCCTTCCCACATAAATAAAACGGGTCTGTTCACTGAAAGGAAAGGAAAACCAAGGAAACACAAGAGGGCAGCTTCCCTTCCAGAGTCCACACCGATCGCTGATACCTCTGGTTGCTTCAAGTCATTTCCTGCCGAATTTGAACTGACTCCCTTTTACCAAGTACAACACTGATCTAAAAGCCACTTGATTTGCTAAGCACCCAAGTGAGTCCTACCAGCAACGAAACAGCGGCCAGCTTGCATTTCCCTTCCTCCATGAAGCTTGGAGGATGTATCAACAAAGAACTATGCTCAAATGAAGAGGATGTGGCTAAGCAAGGGCTGAATCTGTCTACACATGCAGAACTATCAGTGTTAGAAACTCAGGTATATAAGCTAATTGCCAAAAGGCATTTTAAACCTGGGTTAAGGCCACCAGAATGGAATGTCTAGGCGCCATTTATTTTTACAATGAAATATGATTGTTCTTGTTGTTGTTATCATCACCATTATTATTATTAATTTCATTTCTATACCGCTTTATGTTTTAAAGAAAAAATCTCAAAGTGGTTTACAACACACTAAAACATCAGATAAAACAATCCAGAATAAAACAAATTCCAGCTTCAAGGAAAATATTTCAGATCCTTCTCTAAGTGACATTTTGCTTTCCCCATATTTCATTACCTACTTAATTGATATAGCTGCTCCATAGCAAAAGTACTATGGGAAGCCAATGTGGTGTAGTGGTTAGAGTGTCGGACTAGGACCTGGGAGATCAGGGTTCAAATCCCCATTTAGGAAGCTCACTGGGTGGCCTTGGAGTCAGTCACAGCCTCTTAATCTACCTTCTAGATCAAGCCAAAGCCCATCTAGTCCAGCATCCTGTTCCTACAGTGGCCAACCAGATGCCCCAATGGGAGAAACCTGCAGGCAGGACCAGAGTCCAACAGCATTCTCCCCAATTGTGAAACCCAGCAAATGGGCTTCCTCACTGTGGTCTGCAAGAGAGCTTCTCCTTTTTGTAAGCTGCTTTGAGGTTTTATTACAGGTTGTGAAATAAAATAAATAAATAAAAGTCCCAAAGATCTCAGAAACCCGATCCACAATAACTCCGAGCAGGGCTTTCAGTGTGGCTGTCCCTGTTCAGTTGTCATGACTAGTAGCTAGCTAACTTCTGATCAGAAGCATAGCTGTCAACCGTCCCTTATTTGGCGGGAAAGTCCCTTATCCCAGCGCCATGTCCCGCTGGTGTCCCTTATTGATGTCCCTTAATTTCCCCGGGTTTCATGCTCGCCCAGCTCGGGGTCCTCCGCCGCGTGAGAGAGCGCGCGCACGAGCTGCCGCGTCTCTGTCTCTCCCTTTTCCCCCTCAGGGGCGCATCGTGAGGAGCCCGGTAAGCAAAATCCCTTATTTGGGCTGCTGATCCCTTATTTTCGAGGCTGCTGGTCCCTTATTTTCAAATCTGTAAGTTGACAGCTATGGTCAGAAGTGAACCCAGTAGCAGCAAATCGGTTGTAAGCTACAATGGCCAACATGTGTTTCCCAAGTTTGCAGACCAGCACATTTCACAAACAAAAAGGGAGTAATTGCATTCTACGCAATGGCATAGAATGGTAAGGTTTATGCAACATATATGAAATGCCTATAATAGCCTTGTTCCACCTGCCACATGCTTCTCCTCCTGTTACAACAGAAACATCTCCTGAAACAGGAAATCTGCATCTGTTTCAGGCCTGGGACACAAAGAATGCAAGAGGATTGTGTTTTCCTAGCCAACCCCCCCCCCCATTAAAACAAAGAAACAGAGTTCCTCTCACACAGCCCCTGCAAAACAACTGATGCATCAGCTAAAAACAAGAAGAGGCACAGGTGGAAACAGCTGCCTTCTGCCCCTTTATGCCAACAGTGGGAAAACAAAATTAGAAGCTGCTCTCATTAAGAGGAGGAGCAGAGCACTTGCCTTATCGCAGGGCAGTAAATATTTGCATGTCAGTGCAATCTGATTATTCACTTCCTGCCCTGGAAGTTTTCTGACAGGGCAGGAGAGCAGAATAAGCAGCTCACGCTTCTGAAAGAGCATCCGCTGGCAGGGCCCACCTGGTCAGCTGAACTCCTTGGCTCAGAGCCAGCTAAGCTAGGACCCGGGAGCTTCCACAGCAAAAGATCAGGTGGTGCCAGAGACAGAATATCCTGGACAAATGACAAGAGCCATGCAAGAAAAATTGCCAGCACCATTAGCAATTCCAGGTCAGAATGTGAATTTATTTACAGATAATATGTGCACTTATGAAATCAAACAAACTGTAAGTTATTGGGGGGGCGGGGGACAGCCACATAGTTCTTGTGCTGAACCTGCATTCCACAAATTCCGCAATTAAACAAACCCTTCTAAGGGCCTAAGCAGATTACTGCCCACCCGCTCCAGATAAGAAGCAAAACAGGCCTTTCCCATTTATGCCTTTTTTATTCAACAGTTAGAACAACATTCTAGGCCATGGGTGGGGACCCTCAGGGATCAAATCCTTGTCCCTAGAACTCTCTCTGGACCACACTTCTCCCTAACCACAAACCCTTTCCCCTGGCTTCCATAAGATATCCTCCTTGAGTGGCCATACAAGCAGGTGGCCATCACTGCCTCTTGTGGTCAATTTTACATCATGCCTGCAGTTTGCTCTTTAAAGATACGGTATATATAACCATTGTCATGGTTAATTGCATGAATCGTATCATGTCTAGCTGCGTTTCACATCTACTGACACAGATTCGGGGGTACAGGCGCAAAGGCACGAGTGCTCATCTAAAGCACCTACGCACCTGTCTGTTTTTGAAAAGGTAGGAGGTGTTTGACAGTACAATTTGCATGAACAATTGCAACTGGGGAAATTGCTGGTGCAGGAGAGTGAAAACTGAAATTCTGCAGACAGCTCCATACATCTTGAAAAGCAATACATGCTCGCTTCCACACGGTGGCTGAAACAAGAGGGCAAAGTAATTTTTTTAATTGCTTTTCAAGAGCAGCATCTCAAGAAATAACAGAAGGCAGCTCAGCCTTGAGGAGCCTGGGAAACTCCTTTATACCAGGGTACTATCTGACTGGCAGCAGCCCTCAAGGATCTCAGATACAGATGGATCTTTCGCTTCCTGGTCCTCTTCACTGGCATTCCTGGCACCCTTGACAAGGAGCTGTACTGGCACCACTACCTGAAAAGAATCACTTTACAGAATAGCCACCAGCTAGGCAAGTCCCACATAAGCACCAAGGCTCTGCTGGGACCACCTCCTTCTCCTCCTCCTCCAGGGTCCTCTCCTCCCATCCATCTGGGTGCACACAGCAGCAACGCAGCTCCCTAGGCTGTGCTATCACCTAGAAGCAAGCAGGGGCAGGCAGGCAGGCAAGCAGGGCCTAGTCAGGCTCTGACATTTGTGATGCTAGTGCAGTACAGTGGTACCTCAGGTTAAGTACTTAATTCGTTCCAGAGGTCCGTTCTTAACCAGAAACTGTTCTTAACCTGAAGCACCACTTTAGCTAATGTGGCCTCCTGCTGCCGCCGTGCCGCCGGAGCACGATTTTTGTTCTTATCCTGATGCAAAGTTCTTAACCTATTTCTGGGTACTATTTCTGGGTTAACGGATTCTGTAACCTGAAGCGTATGTAACCCGAGGTACCACTGTATTGATGAACACATTGATAGGTTTAAAGACTGTCTCAAGGCAAATCTAAAAAAATGTAGTATAAACACTGACAACTGGGAAAAACTGGCCTGCGAGCGCTCCAGTTGGAAAACAGCCTTTACCAAAGGTGTCATGGACTTTGAAGACACTCAAACTCAGAACGCAAGGGAGAAATGTGCTAATAGGAAGATACGCTTGGCAAATCCACACCGTGATCAGCTCCCACCTGGAAACCAATGTCCCTACTGTGGAAGGATGTGTGGGTCCAGAATTGGCCTCCACAGTCACTTATGGACTCATTGTTAAAACCGTGTTTATGGAAGACAATCTTACTCAGCTACGAGTAATCACCAAAGAAGAAGAAGAAGACCTGTAAAAAGACTGTGTGAAAGGATATTGTTAGGAGAATCTGCTTATTGTAAGTGTCAAGAAGGTTTGTGCAGGAAAAATCTCAAGGCTTGGACCAGCTTGATAGAAAGCAGACACTGAATCTTTCTGCTGAATCAGGCACCCAAGCTCTGATAATGCAGGCATGCTTTCCCTCCAAGAATATTGCTTAATTTCTACACCTGCATCAAGCTAAGGCAAGGGAATGGAATGCCTCTATATGAGCCTTTATAAATTATAGGCCTGTGGACTCAACTCTTGTTGATTCCCCAGCAACCACTGTTGCGACCAAATAAAAGCTGTCTTGAACATTACCATCTGGACAGCTCCGTTGGTTAGAGCGTGGTGCTGATAACGCCAAGGTTGCAGGTTCGGTCCCGGCTGCATATTCCTACATTGCCGGGGACTGGACTAGACAATCCTCAGGATCCCTTCCAACTCTACAATTCTATCACAACTGTAGTGTTTAACTGCAGAAAATCCACTACACTAGCATGGAAGCATTTAAATGTCTTCTCTGACGATATACAGCTGACTCTTTAACGTTTTCATTTTGGTTCCTAGGAATTTGAAGCATTTCCCCCCCAGACCTGTTTTGCAGGAGAATCTCCTCCAGAGATTGAAGATTAAGCTAATCATCTTCTTGGAGCCCTCCTTGCCCCTGACATTAGTGCGTGCGCACACACACTCCTGATGGAATGTCTAAGAAGTGATGAAATCTCTCAGAGAGGCCATAAATCGTGTCACAGTCACTGAGGAATGCCAGCCAACAACGTTCCAAAGGAATTTGCTCTTTTCCTGTTCAGACAGGGCTGTGAGTAGGAGAGAGACCTTCCGTCCATCCGAGAGCAGATGTTTGCTAAAAATTTCTGAGCGGCAAATGGTCCCTTTCCCCCTTCGAACAGCTGCTGCTTTGCTGCAGGGTAACAGCCAGCAAAGACTTTTGGCATGCGGTTCTCGGAGTCAACGTGTCCTCGGATGCAACCCTTTTGCGGCTGGGGGGAGGAAGGAAGGGAAATTTGCCCGCTTGGAAAGCAGGGGGAAAGTTCACCATTCAGTTCCAATAATAACATTAATCGGAAAGCACTTGCACAAGGAATGATTCCCTTCCTGACAGACTCAGCCAAAGTTTTTGGTGCTGCCTTTTGCCAACCTGGTGCCCCCCAGGTGTTTGGGATGACAACTCCCATCCGCCCCAAACATCTGAGGGGCACCAGGTTGGCAAGGCTGCCTTAGCATGTCAATAAAAACGGAACGGAATCTTCGGGAGCCGACAGAAGCCAGCACCGCAGAAGAGGTTTTGCCAAAGGAAAGTGGTTTCTGGCCAGAGAAATTAGCCACAAGAGAAACCAAAGCATACCAGATGTCAGGAAAATACCACCAGCAATGGGGAGGTTGCTGCTTTGGGGTCCTGCTGTGGAGTTTCCAGAAACATCTGTCTGTCTGCTGCCAGGAGTGGAAGAGAATGCTGGGTGAAGGCAATCTTTTACCCACTGCAGAAAGACTTCCCTCACACTTATCAGTCACTTTCCCTGGGCTGGAAGTGGGTAGAGCAGCCTGGACCTACCACACTCTGTGTATATGTGTGTGTGTGTGTGTGTGTGTGTGTGTGTGTTATGTGTGAGTAAAAAAAAATGACAACAAAGATGCACACTGCAGGATTGCACTTGCAACTTTCTGCAGCTGCCCACACCTGCAACACTCTTTAAAAACTCTAAATGTGCCCTCACATCCCTGGAGGGTCAGCTGACCCCTGCTCTTTGCACTGCCTCATCCTGAGTCAAACTGTTTTGCTACCTGGCCCAGCACTGCCTACACTGGCCCTTCAAGGGTTCAGACCTTCCCAGTCCTACCTGGAGATACTGGGGTGAAATCTCACGAATGCAAAGCATGTGCTATATCAGGATGCTCCGACGCTTCCTAAAAGGTCCTCAGCAATGTTCAAAACTCCCATTGTTCTAGGCGTATTTTGCGACAGGGAATTTCATTAGCTCAAGCAGTTTCTGAGCTCTGGGCGCAGTACTGCGCCTAAGATTTCAGATAAAAACTGCAGAGTGGAAGGAAAGGAGGATCTTTTTTCTGCTCCCCATTTCCAGCTACTCTGAAGACTGGAGAAGGGACCCTCATAATAATATAAGGGGGTGGGGCAGGGGAAGAACTAGACCATGTGAAAAATGAACATAATATTTCAGTTGCAGTTCATTCATTTTCAGCTTTGCATTCTTGTTATAAAAAAAGTGTGCCTAGACATTCCGTTGCTGCACCCATAAACTAGGTTTAAGGTGCCATTTAGCTCCTAGCTTTCATATCTCAGTTTCTAACACTGGTCCTCTGTATCTAAAAATGTGCACTTATCTCCCATCAGTGGATTTCCTTCCAGTGCAATTTAACAACATGAAAACACATCAAAACGGTTCGTGTTATCACACAGCATCATTTTATATCCAAATATCAAAACACAAATCTTTTCTCAGTCTGTACAGCGTGAGACACTTAATCTCAGGGTCATGGGTTCGAGCCCTGGGTAAAAGATTCCTGCACTGCAGGGGGTTGGACTAGATGACCCTTGTGGTCCCTTCCAAATCTACAACTCAATTATTCCATGAATGGCCTTGCCTGCAGGTTGAACACAGGAACCCTTGCACCCAAGGGAAGCAACATGCTCCCAGAATCCAGAACTTGTCTTAGAGGTTACCTTGGTGAATGATGCCTGGAGGTGATTCCCCCTCCTTTTTTCTTTTCTTTTCTTTTTTTGCATCATCACCAACATACAGTAATTAATTGCTCATAAATTTCATTTTTAAAGACTCTCATGTGGCAACACATACAAGGGTTAAGAAACGCTGCCTACACACTTTCCCTTGTACATTTCTACATAGCTCTTTATAATTAAAATGGACACTGATGAGAGTATTTTATTTCTCCTGGGGGTAGATTGGAAAGCTGGCCTGCCAATCTGTGCTTGGAACTGAATAGGGATTTAAGGTGGATTTGAAAAGTGCATTTAATAACAAACAGTTCCACCATTAGCTTGGAATTATGCTAAATTCATAATGCCCTGCTCGCAAAGTACACCCTTTCACAACCAGGGTGGACTGGTTAACATATTATCAGTAGGGAAGGGAAAAGGAGACTGTTTTAAACAAACTAGATGGATTTCCCCCCCAAAGCAATAAGCACTTAGAAGACAAAAACGTAAGTGAGGCCATTTTAGAGACAGGAGATGTAAAAAGAGAGAGACTGTCATTTTACTAAATGGACTCATTTGGCACCTGAAGAATTAACCAAAGTATTATAAGCATAAGCTTTCTATGAACTAAAGTACATTCTATCAGATGTACGGTGTGTTAACCTCAGGGCAGTTATCTCTCTCTCTCTCTCTCTCTCTCCCCTCCCCTCACTAGGGATTAAGAAGACCCATGTTCACACAGCCACAAAGCCCACTAAGCAGCTATAGCAGCTATGGGTGGGTCACAATCTCTCAGCATGTCCAGCCTCACAGGGGTGTTGTGAGGATAAAAAGCTAAGGGAACCTTATAGCTGCTTCTTCTTCTTTTAAAAAAACAACAACTGCGTTGATGCTACTTAGGAGGATTTGTATGCTGGCATAAATAACTGTGATAAAATGATTTGTACTTTTCTGGAGGAAAGACACAATATAAATGAAAGATACACATACATACATAATTGCCTATATATATCGTTATCAGTGCACAAAAGGACAGGTCAGTGCCCCAAGGGGATTACAGTCTAGAAACAGACACAACGGACAAAACAGGGAGGAAATGGAGGCAGGGCATAAACAGAGTGAGAATGTGTGGCTATTGCAGTTATACAGGCTTTGTTACAGTATGAGGGGTGATGCCCAAGGCTTTGCACACAAACGTGGGTTTTCAGGGTAGATTTGAAGAAAGTGAATTGACAGCCTCAGAGAGGCATTCCAGAGGAGGAGCTGCATTAATAGATCATTGGAACAATGCTTTATGCCGAAGTAGCGAAAGCTGTGTTCACTAGATGTAACTCAACCGCGATTCCCATCAGCACAAGCCACCTTCCCAGGGGCAGGAGCTAACCCACAGCTCAGTGACAGAGTGTCTGCTTTGCAAGCAGAAGGTCCCTGGTTCAATCCTCACCATTTCCAGATAAAACTGGGAGTGTCTCCTGCCTGAAACCCTGGAGAGATGCTGCCAGTCAGTGTGTATGCTACTGAGCTAGATCAGGTACCGTATCACCAACCTTTTCATACCCAGGACCCACTTTTAACCCATATCTTAATCTTCTACCATGTACTCACAGGGAGGTAGTGTGCTCTTGTTGTGATCCGGCTGGGAACAAGTTGCAACCAATGTTTTAAATTAGCCAGGTGACGGGTGACTAACATGGGTCCAGTTGCAACCATGTGGAGATCTCTGGATGCCAGGTTTGCGACTGACATCTCCATCTGGCTTATTTATTGCATTGATAGCCCACCTTTTTTTCCAAGGAGTACATGGTTCACTCCCCTCCTCAGTTAATCCCTACAACGACCCTGTGAGGTAGGTTAAGGGGCTGTGACTGACTCCAAGGTCACCCAGTGAGCTTCCAGACTGAGTGGGGATTTGAACCCTGATCTCCCAGGTCCTAGTACGACACACTAACCACTACACCACATTGGCTTCCCATTGCACTTCTGCTATGGGGCAGCTATATAAATTAAGTAGGTAACAAAATATGGGGAAAGCAAAATGTCATTTAGAGAAGGATCTGAAATATTTTCCTTGAACCTTGAATTTGTTTTGTTCTGGATTGTTTCATTTGATGTTTCAATGTGTTGTGAACTGCTTTGAGATGTTTTTCTTTAAAGTATAAAGCAGTACAGAAATGAAATAAATAAATATAATAAATTTCATTGTGAAAATAAATGGCACCTAGACATTCTGCTTTGGCAAATGTAACCCAGGTTTAAGGTGCCTGTTGGCAATTAGCTTATATATTTGAGTTTCTAACACTGATTGCAACCAACTAGTGGGTCCAGACCCACCAGCTGAAGACCAATGAGCTAGACTGACCAGTGATCTGACCTGGCAGAAAACAACTTCTTATAGTCCTATGTACCATGGTTAGTAGGGACGCGGGTGGTGCTGTGGGTTAAACCACAGAGCCTAGGACTTGCTGATCAGAAGGTCGGCGGTTCGAATCCCCGCGATGGGGTGAGCTCCCGTTGCTCGGTCCCTGCTCCTGCCAACCTAGCAGTTCGAAAGCACATCAAAGTGCAAGTAGATAAATAGGTACCGCTCTGGCGGGAAGGTAAACGGCGTTTCCGTGCGCTGCTCTGGTTCGCCAGAAGCGGCTTAGTCATGCTGGCCACATGACCCGGAAGCTGTACACCGGCTCCCTCGGCCAATAAAGCGAGATGAGCGCAGCAACCCCAGAGTCGGCCACGACTGGACCTAATGGTCAGGGGTCCCTTTATCTTTACCTTACCATGGTTAGCGGTCCAAGATGCTTGGAATTGCAGCCCAATTACATCTGGAAGGCAGAAGGTTGGCCACCTTGCTTACACCCAAGTCCCCTGCCCTTCGCCGGAAGCACAAGGCCTCTTCTAAAGTAATAGCTGCCTCTCTGAGAGCTGCTTGCAAGGCACATAATTCCCATCTAAGACAAAATTATATTTATGGAGGAACAGAAGAACAGACGTGCATAGCAAAAGCATTAAGAACAAAATGATGTTGAAAGCAACAACAAAAAGGTTATATAATAGAGCAGTACCAACACAGAAAGGAGACGTTAGGAGCTGGCCTCGTTTTATCTCTGGCGTTACCAACTCTGAGTTGCATAATTAAAGCTCTCCAAATAAAATCAACATATTCCTGCTAAGCAGCCTTCCCCAACCTGGTGCCCTTCAGACACTTTGGACTACAACTCCTCAGCAGCCCGCTGTACACCAAATTGGGAAAGGCTGGTTTAAAGAACGAAAAATACTTTCTTTCCCTCCTGAATGAAGCATACCGTGAAAATGATTTTTAAAAGGCAGCATTGGTGTGGCGGTCACAAATTTGGCAAGTTAAAATGCAGGGCCAGCCCTCCAGCATCTTCACACCAGTAGCAAAATAGCATTTACCTCCTCTGATTGTTAACCTGGCACTGGCTAATTTTATCAGCTAGGAAAGGTAGGGATCCAACAAGCAAGCACGATGTCTCAACCCTCTAAGCAACTTATCAACATCCTCAGGCTGTTCCAGCTAAAAATAATTCATAACAGGGCCAGACAGTGTTCTAGCAGTATCTTTCTCAGATTCTGTCAAAACTATGCCAGAGCTGACATGAGTGATCTCATCCGCAGAAGGCACCTATGGGCCTTTGAGAGTTAAACAGGTTGATCCACTGGGCCTCTGCAGCACAGGCCTTTCACCACTGAGAAGAGCTGCATTTGCTGGCATTGTGCAGAATCAATGGTGGTGGTGAAGTGAGCTTTCTTCACAACAGTAGTATAAGCTCTAAAATGGGCTCCAATCTGTGCTTGATCATATTCCCTTTGAGTTTTCCACCATCTGCTCTCCAACAGTCAACCTTGCAGTTTCATTGATATGGTGCAGAGCTAAAACCCAAAAAGCTAAATTGACTCTATGGCTTGGCCAATAACATTAGGAAGCAGTCATCTCAATGGCCCAGGTCACCTCCTGATTCAGGGGTAGGCTACAGCCTCGGTAAGACTGCTGGCCAAATCTGTGGGAAGTTCTGAGGGTCTACCAGTCGTCTTCAAGGTCAAACCATCAAAACTGGTCCTCCACATCTATGGAGCTTAATTGCAGCAGACAGCCCAGACCTGATCTAATAGTGATTTGTCCATGACAACAGTCATTACTAGTACCCACAGACTGCCACGCCTGATAGGGACGCGGAAAAGGGCTTTCTTGGTGGCTGCTCCCAGACTCTGGAACTAGAGAGTCCTGCAAAAGCTAGACTGGCTCCCTCCTTGTTCTCCTTCCACCAGCAAGTGAAAACCTCCTTGTTCCCACAGACTTTTGGAACTGACTGCTTTTAATGAAACGGCTTCTGACGAGCTATTTTTATTGTAACCGTTTGTAAGTTCTAATCACAATTTTATATATGTACGGTATATAGTTTTAATTCTATTATTAATTACTTTTTAATGATTGTTTTCCTATGTTTTTAGTGACTCTACCTTTTATCCCCCCATCAGGGGGAAAGGTGGGGTACAAATAAATATGTAACAACGACGACAGTTACAGACACTCAGAACCAAACATTTCCTGAAGTGGGTATCCAACAAAGGAGATGGGCTACAGAAACCCCACCTCTTCAACACTCAAACAAAGGCTCATGTGGCACCCCAATCTGAGAGGCTCAGCCTGAACCCCTTAAACAAACCAGGTCTCTGTTATACATTCTGCACCAGCATTTTCCAGGTAGACATAACACATTATATGAAGAATTTTTTTAAAAGATACTATATATCAGCAATGTCCAACCGGTTGGCCGCGATCAACAGGTAGATCGCAGGATATTTGAAAGTGTTCACCCGGTTGCTCCTGAGCGATCTCCACCACCACCACCACCCCAACCCTAATTAGCATCGCTGCTGAGACAGCTTATTTCTTTGGTCAACAAGTGTGGTATTCCCCTCCTAAAAAAAACTCAACAACTCTGGTCCCCCCCCCAAAAAAAGCTCAAGAACTATTGGCAATGACAATGGGTAGATCACTGCCAGTTTTACTACACTGGGAGTAGATTGCATTCTCTAGAGAGTTGGACGTGCCTGCTATATATGCTATACATCATTTGCACTGGGTGGCTACAAGTTCTAAAGTTCTGAGAAATTGAGAAAAGTGTTTCTCTATCCACTCCATGTCTATCCTACGCAATACATCATTTTATAAACCTCTCTTATTACTTCTGTTTAGTTTCCCCTCAAATTAATATGTCCAACATTATTTAGCCCTTCTGCATTGGAAAAGTGCTCCAACCTCTTGATGGTGTTGGTTGCCCTCTTTTCCACCTTTTTCTAGAACTAAGGTACCCCTTTTGAGAGCAGGCAACCAGAACTGAACACAGAATTCCGAACACAGCTGCGCCATAGATTTACATCAAGGCAGAATGACACCGGGTGTGTTTTCATCCCGCTTCCTAATACTTCCCAGCACAGAATTTGTCTCACTCATTTCAGCCGGGTACCAAATTGACACTCACACTGAGCTATCCACCGTGTCCCCAATATCTCTTTCAAGGTCAGGCACCACCAGAGCCCATCAGTGTATCTGAACGCGCATCACTTTGCAATTAACTTACACTTAACCTCATTTGCCATTTTGTTACCCACTCATACAATATAGGCAGATCATCCTGGAGCTTTCCAGATTCCGCTTGGGTTTTCACCATCCTGAACAATTTGCTGACATTTGCAAACTTGGCCATCCCAAACACCTCCCATGACTACAGACCATTTAAGAATGTTAAATTAGCACCAGCTTCTTACAGAAGCTCAGCACTTCCTTCCTTCATTGTGAAACCTACTTTTGCCTTCTACTTCCTCATCCTACCCTAGCAACTAACTGATAAGAGGTCCTAGCCTTTTTACCTCAGGTCTGCTAAGCTTACTTAGCAGCCTGAGTTTGCACACGCGTTGAACCTATGTTCAATTCTCAATAGCATTTGACCATTTCCAGAAGACTGATTCATTGTTCCATTGACCTTAGCACAATTTTTGCCACTGCGATTGCTTGTGGAAGTATTCTGAAGGGAGAAATGGCACACCAGAAAAGGTCTGTCCATCCATCCATGTGGATTTTTAAAGTAAATATTGTTATTTGCAGCAGTTTAATTTTTATTTTGAATAGCCAGTCACCTTGATGAATCTCTCTCTCTCTCTTATTTTAAAATGATATTGTATGTTTTCACATTGAAAAATGCCTGGATAGTTTATGATATGGTGATAGAGATGGACCTTTACAAATAAATAAATAAGAAAGAAAGAAAATCTACCCTGCCTTTTTGAGGGGAGGCTCTCATTTCAAAGATTCGTGTGGATATCCAATGGCAAACATTTTTCTACATATACAGGAATCATTAAAAAATGGACTCGTGAACGTAAAAACATTATGTGGGTGGTTATGCCCAACAACAATTCATGTACACGTATGAAAAATGGAAAAGGATTACAGGACCCTGACAAACCAACAGCAGAACTCTCACTTTAGGAAAAGAAGAATCAATCCATTTCTGGGCAGTGTCACTTTTGCATGGTTCTGTTGTGTACGGTTTCTACATCAATCTGCGATTAAGAAAAACTAAAGGAAAACTGTATAAAAGTACATACTTTCAAAATTGCGTTTTTACTTTTAACCTTGCATTTCTAAATGTAGGTTCATAAGCTTTTTGACCCTGGGACTATGAGAGAGCATTCCGAAAGTACAAAAGTCAGCTGATAAATTCCAATTAGCACTCCCCCCAAAATTTCCTGTCAGTCCTGAAAGTGTCAGTTTGTATCTGACTTTGGAAATACAATATCGGATTCCATGAATTCCATTGTGTACATCTCAGCATTGCAATGGAGAGGAAATTAGGGACCTGCTTGTACTATTCATCCCCCCACCCTTCACTAGGCAGAAGGCTTCAATATAGAACTTTCCAGGCACTTAGAGTTGTCAATTCACAGGTAATCCTGACGATCAAAGGCAATCATTTTGATTAATGCAAACATCTTGGTACCATTTCAAATGAGAGCCTAAGGCAATGAGCTGCTTGCTGTTTCATCCCGCACTCCACCCTTCATCCCCAGCGCCCGGATTGTGATGTGCAAACAGAAGAACATCTTCAGTTCTGTTATCTGGAGATGTCAGAGAACATCCACTTTGCTGGAATAGCCTGTAGTCAGCATAGCAACAGCACAGTATGGCGATTCCGTGGGGTTATGCAAACATGTTATTGCAGGTGTCTTACTTGCGCGTTTAAGTAGCATTTCCTGCAAACAATTAATGCAGTTTTGGCAGCCACAAAACTGTCACTGCAGATTGGAGCTGGAGGGTGCGGAAAGGCTCTGCCAACTCACAAATAATTTTTTTTAAGTGTCTCTTTTTCACAGGCGCTGCTTTTAGCGATGCAGCAGCTACAAAACATTCGGGGAAGTCCTCTACAATGGTCTTCAGCAGAGAAACCTGTAGCTAGCGAGTCCTTGCACTAGGGCAGTTTACAACTTAACCTCCAGCCATAATTTTATCTTTGGCGGGGAGAAGTGGTTTAATAAGCGCAGATTCCGAGTCTCAGTAGTCCATTCACTCAGTAGTCCATTCACTCAGTAGTCCATTCACTCATTTCCTCCCTTTCTTTGAAAAGACCCCTACACACGAGCCTGAACCCACAAGAATATTCCTGTGCTCTTCAGCTACAGTTTCGAACAACCACTTTAAAAGCAACTAAGAATGCGAAGAATTGATGCTTTTGAATTCTGGTGCTGGAGGAGACTCTTGAGAGTCCCATGGACTGCAAGAAGATCAAACCTATCCATTCTGAAGGAAATCAGCCCTGAGCTGAAATCAGCCCTGACTGGAAGGACAGATCCTGAAGCTGAGGCTCTAGTACTTTGGCCACCTCATGAGAAGAGAAGACTCCCTGGAAAAGAACCTGATGTTGGGAAAGATGGAGGGCACAAGGAGAAGGGGACGACAGAGGACGAGATGGTTGGATAGTGTTTTCGAAGCGACCAGCATGAGTTTGAACAAACTGCGGGAGGCAGTGGAAGACAGGAGTGCCTGGCGTGCTCTGGTCCATGGAGTCAAGAAGAGTCGGACACGACTAAACGACTAAACAACAACAACAACAAAGGGGAACGAGGGGCTCCTGGATTTGCGCCGGGCGTCTTTTCCCACCCCTCCAAGTCCCCCCCCCCGCGCCCCCATCTTCCCCCGAAGTCCGGGGAAAGAAGTCCTGCGCTCCGAGGGCAGGAAAGCACCAGGGCGGCCCGGCGAGGGACCCCAGCGCGGCCCCGCTCCGCTTGCCTCCCCCTCCGTCCCTACCGCCTGACTCACTCGGCCGCGCTGGTCCCGTTGATGGCGGAGCCGTCGGGCGCGGGGTGGAGCTGGATGGGCATGGGCTTCTTCTTCGGCATGGTCTCTCTGGCGCGCTCCGAGGAGGCTGCCCGCCAAAGCGCCGCGCTGCCTCCGCCCGCCGAGCCCCGCGCTCTGCCCTCTCGCCCTGCGGCGCTGGGCGCGCTCCCTCCTCGAAGCTCGGAAGCCGAGCGGAGGAGCCCGGGGCGAAGCAGGCGCCGGCTCGCTTTGCGCCTTCCGGGCTCCGCCTGGGCGCTCCGCCACCTTCTGGGCGGCGTTTACTGCGGCTGCTGCTGCTGCTCCTGTGCCGAGGCGAGCTCTCGCCTCCTGCGCGCTTTAAAGAACAAGGCGGGGAGAGAAGCGCCTCAGCGGCGCGAAAGGGCGGAGGGTCCTCCCCCCAACAAGCGAAGGGGTCCGGCTTAGCGCAGGGCGCATGTGCTCAGAACCGCGCGCATGGACGTTGTGGAGGGATGAAGCCTCCGCCAAGCTTCCCTGCCCTTACTTTGCCCGGAATGCGTGGGAAATTGCGGCAGGGAGGGGCCGCGAAAGGCGCGCTCCGGGGCCAGAGCAGCCCGGGAAGAGCCGGTGCAGCTGAGCGGCAGATCTCGCATTCAAAACGGGGCACAGGTTCAATTCCCTCCCCATCCCCATCTCCTGGGGTGCTTCCTATCGTTCCCAGGAATCAGCGTTGACAATACTGAGTTAATGAAAAATGAATGAATGAATGTATACTGAGTTACAAGCAACTTGTTTCTGGGACAAGAACAGCGGCACAAAGTCTCAGGTTCAATCCCCGGCGTGCCCAGGAAGGGTTTGGAAAACCCTAGTGCCTGAAACCCTAGAGCAGCGGTTCTCAACCTGTGGGTCCCCCGATGTTGTTGGACTACAACTCCCATCATTGCTGAGCTCTGGCCTTGCGAGCTAGCGGTGATGGGAGTTGTAGTTTGACAAGATCTGGGGACCCGCAGGTTGAGAAAGGCTGCCCTAAAGTTATCTGCCAGCCAGTCTAGACAGTACTGCGCTGTATGGACCACTGATCTGCTCGTTTCTCAGGCAGATTCCTGGGTTCCTATAATTTCCTTTATTATAGGAGACTTAAAGGAAGGCGCATCAGCTGTGCTTCTTTGCTGTTGTGTCGTCTTCGGTGGCACAAATTGACTTGGCACCACTCACAGCTCCAGAACATTACATGGACTCGGGGCCAGATTTAGATGAAGAGAGGCCACTTGTGAGGCTCCTCCCCACCCCCCACCCTCACAACTAGAAGAAAATGGAAGAGTGTTATGAACAAAATTGAGTGAAGCCAAGGATGATGACAGGTGTTTAAAATTCTACAGTTCACAATTTCTCCTCTAAAGGACATAAAATATTATTGTTAAATACCCTGGGCAGGCCGCAGGCCAGGTCGTCCTCTTATATACCTGCTGGGATTGACATGGCATCTGACCCTCCCCTGAATCTCATTAGCATCACATGTCATGTTCATGGAAGTTGCCGAACAAATTAATCAACTTGAAGGATTACTGTTAATAGCACCAGTTTTCCTATAACTTGATATTGCTGGATAGTTTTTATGAACTGCAAAAGCATTTTTAGTTTGCTTTCTGTTGCCACCCTGGAACTTTTCTTTATTAGTGCCACTTTGTTTTGTACGATTCCTTGCAAATGAAGGAAAACAACTTTTCTCCCTCCTTGTGTTATCCTCACAAAAATCCTGTAAAGTAGATTAGGATGAGAGACAGTCACCGGCCCAAGGCCAGCCAGTGAACTTCATAACCAAATGGAGATTGAACCCTGGTCTCCCAAGTCCTAGTCCAACACTCTTAACCAGTATATTGCTGTAAGCTGCCTTGACCCTATAGGATACAGCAATGTGTGTGCACCTGAACGTATAGGACAGAGTGTGTGTAGATATGTAAGAGTGGGTGCTCTTACATATACTTCTTTTTCCAGTACTTCTTTTTCCAATGTTTTCTAACGTGAAACTTTTTGTTTAATATTTGGTATACAGTGGTACCTCGGGTTACATATGTTTCAGGTTACATACGCTTCAGGTTACAGACTCCGCTAACCCAGAAATAGTACCTCGGGTTAAGAACTTTGCTTCAGGATGAGAACAGAAATCGTGCTCTGGCAGCGCAGCGGCAGCTGGAGACCCCAATCGCTAAAGTGGTGCTTCAGTTTAAGAACAGTTTCAGGTTAAGAACAGACCTCCGGAACGAATTACCGGTAAGTACTTAACCCGAGGTACCACTGTACCTACTTTTTAACTACAAAAAGCATAATGAACTGCAGAAATTTGATATAAGATTTAGGATGAGCATTGCTTTTCTATTTTCTAGATTAATCTTGACAATAAATAAAGGTCCCATAAAAGCATCAACCTAATTAAATTAAAAACATTGCACAAATGCTAGAAGCAAATTGTGATTGCTGTGGAAGTTTTGCAGTAGCGTCCTATCCAGAGCCAAATGTAATGCCAGAACAATTAAGAAGGAAGAGAAGTAATGAAAGTAGCTGGGAGAACCTCAAAGGAACAAATTCAGACTGCGTGCGTATTTCTGTTTACTCTGCATCCAGTGTGCTCCCACTGCTGGTCTGGAAAGTGGTGCACACATTATATAAGCTACAATCCGTGTCTATATTGCATCCTGTTCTCTTGGGTTTTTTTTTTTTTTTTTTAATATATACCAGTATACTGCATTTTGCTGCATTTCCCCCTCAAACCAGCTTCAATCCAAATTGAGGAAAAAGAGCAACCTAACTAGCTGAGTTTTAACCTGGTAATGTGTATAAAGCCAGTGTAATAAGGAATATAGGCACTTGTCTCTCATGGTATAATTCACTTTGCACTCTGGAGGCCAAATTGGGTGAACAGATTCTTGGAATGATTGCTCCTCTTGAGTCGTGCTGATCCTGAATCTTGTCGTAGATAATTTCTGCCTGCCATGGACTTTTTAAAAGACACAAGCTCCCTGCCAATAAAAGAGGGGGGGGGAGTAGAAACTGTGTGTTGTATTTACTCCAAGTAAAAGAGGTGCGACAGAGCAAAAGTGAGGACTTGTGGGTCAGAAATGGCAGTCCCTGGACTTGCACAGCTTGAGCCCAAAGCGTACAGTCTGACAGCCGCAATCCTAACTCCACTTACACGTAAGTAAACCACAACAAATAAAATAAGATTTGCTTCTGAGGAGACTCCTGCACTCAGCACTTAGGTAAACTACAGAATTTGCTTGGATGGTATTAAGAAGATTAGACAAATTCATGGGGAATAAGGTTATCAATAGCCATGAGCCATTATTACATTTATATCTCATACTTTTTTCCACATTATTATTATTATTAGTAGTAGTAGAAGTATACTGCCCTATACCTGCAGGTCTCAGTTTTACAACATAAAATCACAATATAAAAACACAAAATACATAATAAGAATAAAAACAACCTGCTAAACCCCCCTCCTCAACCCAACACATTTTAAAAGGGTATTGGAGGTAGGTTGGGCTGAGATGCAGTGGCTGGTCCAAAAACACCCTGTGAGCTTCGTGGCTGAGAGGGGATTCGAACCCTGGTCTCCCAGGTCCTAGCCCAGCACTCTAACCACAACAGAACACTACCTCCGCTGTTATATATGTGCTCCAGGATCTTCTGCAACATTCTTGAAAGGCAATAAGGCTAACAATGGCTATTGTACTTCTCTTGTCTGAATGCCAGATGCTGGGAAACACAGATGAGGAGAGGGCTGTCGCATAGGGCTGAGCAATGTCTGGTTTTCAACATCGTGATATATCACAATATATTGATAATTCATGATGTCTGAAATAAGGATGGAACGATGTAGAGTGAACAGGGTAATGCCCTGGCAACTGCTACTACTTTGGGATCTTAAAAGAAAACATTTTTACTTATATTTTCCATATTGTTATAACTGTTGCTCTATAGTACAGAACAACGGGGATGGCAGGAATCTTCACAGAAGCGATGACCAGCTTCACGGGTTTTCCCACATCACAATTTTTTACATAGCACACACACACATCACGATTCTCGACATAGCACCACGTCGAATATTAGGAAACCGTGACCTCGATGTGGATTTCAAACCGATTTTGGACGATGTATCGATACATCGTCCAGCCCGACTGTTGTGCTCATGTGCCGCTTTTGACTAAATAGGCCTTTGCCCTGGTCTAACGGGGCCCTTGTTGTGTTCTGGGGATTCTGGGGCACAAATTCAAGACTGCACAACACAACCATGCAATGGGAAGTACAGTGGAACCTTGGTTAGTTGACGAACAAATAGGCTCCCAAACGAAAACCCGAAAGTAAGTGTTCTAGTTTTCAAACATTTTTCAGAAGTCAAATGTCTGATGCGACTGTCAGCTATTGCTTCTGGGGCACCTGCGCCAATCGGAAGCCACGCCTTGTTTTTTGAACGTTTCAGTAGGTGAACGGACTTCCAGAATGGATTACATTCGAGAACCAAGGTACCACTGTATCAAAATACTTACTGTAATCCAGGGCAAAGCCCTCACACTGAAATCTGAACTCCTACCTATGCCATTTATTTAATTACTTGTTACGTTCATCATACCTGGGTCTCCATCCACTCCTGTTTTATCCTCGCAACAACCCTATGAGGTAGGTTAAACTGAAAAAATGGCTGGTCCAATTCAGCCAGTGAGCTTCATGGCTGTGTGGAAATTTTAACCCTGGTCTCCTAACTAACCACTACACCACACTGGCTTTCATATTGTTCAATTTTCTAATGTTCATCACAAGATATAATGATTATTCATTAAATTTGCGTGTCACTTAGCACACAAAGGTAAGCGACTTACATATATGTGTATGTGTATACTTCAATCAACTTATATTGTTTAAATGTAGCTATCCTTTTCCATATATTAAGAATGGAAATTTTTATTATATTTATGAACAATGTCATCCTGTAAAAGATTATCTAAAAGAAAATAACAATACTTCAAATAATATAATGCATATAAATATCTGGACATCAGATGGCACAATTTATACTGGGGGGGGGGGGTTAGAGGAGAAAGGGTTGGTGCAACTGTGTTCAGGTTACAATTATTCTTATTTTTTGACTATTAGTTTCCTCTCAGGCACAGTTTACCACTAGTTGGCCACTGGGGTAAAAGCGTGCTCTAAGCAACTGCCTAGCAACAACAGAAGGGGGCCAAAGTAACAGGTATTAAAGAATCCAAATGAGGCGACAAAGTATGTGTGTGCAGACAAATGGGTAAGGTGGAGCAAAGCAAGTACCCTTACTCAGTACAGGAGATATTGTGGGTTTGTTTCCAGACCACTGCAATTAAGCAAATAATCGCAGGAAATTAAGTCACATTTTTTTTTTGTTTCAGAGTGCATATAAAACTTACGTTAACACTATACTGTAGTCTACTAAGTGTGCAATACAGTGGTACCTCGGGTTAAGTACTTAATTCGTTCTGGAAGTCCGTACTTAACCTGAATCTGTTCTTAACCTGAAGCACCACTTTAGCTAATGGGGCCTCCTGCTCCCGCCGTGCCGCCGGAGTACGATTTCTGTTCTCATCCTGAAGCAACGTTCTTAACCTGAAGCACTATTTCTGGGTTAGCGGAGTCTGTAACCTGAAGCGTATGTAACCTGAAGCGTATGTAACCTGAGGTACCACTGTAGTGTTGTTGTTGTTTTTTTAAATAAAACAAACATCAATGTACATACCTTAATTAAAAAATACTTTATTGCTAAAAAATGCTAACCATCATCTGAGCCTTCAGTGAGTCGTAATCTTTTTGCTGGTGGAGGGTCTTGCCTCAATGTTGATGGTTGCTGACGGATCACCTTGGTGATCACTGAAGGTTGGGGTGGCTGTGGCAATTTCTTAAAATAAGACAACAATGAAGTTTGCTGCATTGATTGACTCTTCCTTTCATGAAAGATTTCTCTGTAGCATGTGATGCTGTTTGATAGCATTTTACCCACAGTAGAACTTCTTTCAAAATTGGAGTCAATCCTCTCAAACCCTGCTGCTGCTTTATCAACTAAGTTTATGTAATATTCTAAATCCTTTGTTGTCATTTCAACAATGTTCACAGCATCTTTGCCAGGGGGAGATTTCATCTCAAGGAACCCCTTTCTTTGCTCACCCGTAAGGAGCAACTCCTGTTGTTTGGCGTCGCCACCTCCATCCATAATCTTAGCTAGATCTTCTGGATAACTTGCTGCAGCTTCTACATCAGCACTTGCTGCTTCACCTTGCACTTTTATGTTATGGAGATGGCTTCTTTCCTTAAACCTCATGAACCAACCTCTGCTAGCTTCAAACTTTTCTTCTGCAGCTTCCTCACCTCTCTCAGCCTTCATAGAATTGAAGAGAGTTAGGGCCTTGCTCTGGATTAGGCTTTGGCTTAAGGGAATGTTGTGGCTGGTTTGATCTTCTATCCAGACCACTAAAACTTTCTCCATATCAGCAATAAGGCTGTTTTGCTTTCTTATCACTCGCGTGTTCACCGGGGTAGCACTTTTAATTTCCTTCAAGAACTTTTCCTTTGCATTCACAACTTGGCTGACCGTTTGGCGCAAGAGGCCTAGTCTTCGGCCGATCTCGGCTTTCGACATGCCTTCCTCGCTCAGCTTAATCATTTCTAGCTTTTGGTGCAAAGTGAGGGACGTGCGACTCTTCCTTTCACTTGAATGCTTGGAGGCCATCGTAGGGCTATTAAGTGATTTCAATATTATGGTGTCTCAGGGAACTCAGACTCCCAAGGAAAGGGTGGAAGAGGGTCTAGGGGCTTAGTCCATCCCCTGGCCCTCTTGGCTGCAGGGGCAAGAGGGGGGAAACCCGGCTCAAGCCCTAGCCAGCTCCACCAGGGCTGCCAGGAGCTGCACCCACGTCAAGGCTCCTGCAGCCTCGTCTGCAACCCAGCAGCAGCAGCTCCTGCAGTTCTTCACATTGTCAAAAACGCAATATCTGCGAAGCGCAACAAAGCGAAGCGCAACAAAGCGAGCCGTGACGTTTACAGTCCTGTGTCGCAATAGGGGGAAAGTAGCGGCGTGGAAAAGGAGGGAAGCGAGAACACAGAGCTAGGACCCTAAGAGGCAGCCCATCGCTTCGCTTGTGTTATAGGCGATTTTCGGGTTCAGATAAAAAAAAGATATTTTAAAGTGCCGCTCCCGGATGGAAAAAGTAAAACCTAGGCGGAGAAATAAACATGGAAATTCAAGGTAATTGGAAGTTGGGCGCAGACTGCTCCCTCGCCCCTCAGAACAGAAGGGCACCAGGAAATTGAGAAGTCCTTGTTTGCTAACTCTTGCTTCTTTTGAAACATTTGATTTAGAGTGCAATCCTGTACGTGTCTACTCAGAAGGAAGCCTCGTCGAGTTTAATGGGGCTTATTTCTGAGCAGAGGCATGCACAGAATTGCATTGCTAATTAGCTCCTGCAGCGTGTTTTTTTAAAATAAAATAAAATAAAAAATAGCCTAACCTATGCAAAATGTCAGTGCCGATATGCTCTACTATCTTCCACAATGGAAACTGGAGCAGTTGAAGAGAGAAGAGAGTTGCGTTCTCAGCCAGGGGCGAGCACGATCGAGCCGGGATTTTTATTGGGGGGGGGGGAGTTGGTTTTTTTTTAGGAAATCAAAGTTGTTTCTTAGGAAATTAAAGTTGGGGAGGCTTCTGCTGGGGGTAGCAGAGCTTTAAATGTTTTTTGAAAATATTTGTGGATCCCCCCCCCACCGCCATGCCATCGACTTCCTTCTTCAGAACCGGGTTGCGCTGTAATGTTGCACGTGGAGGCCGGGTACGGCTCAAGTGGTGGTTTTACAACAGCCCTGCAGCCCCACGATGCCGAGAGGAGTCTCACACAACACCCTTGCCATGGGATCCACCGCCATACTTCATGCCAAAGAGCGCTTGGGTCTCCCATCCCCAAATACCCCAGGTAAATCTATTTTTTTATTCATACCAAGTAAGTCTTATCATCAATCTTTTTTCTTTTCTTTTTCATTTGGGGTGGGAAGAAAATGAAACAAAAAAATGAACCCGGAAACTGCCTCTGCCACCTTCTGCCTGTTAGGTCTATATTGTCTGAAGTCTATGGGAGAGGAGCGCGTGCAGCTGCTCTCGCGAGATGACGCGGCTTCCGCCTCCAAATCCAAACCCCTACCCCCGCATCGCTTTGGCGCGTTTTCTGCTCGGCGGGAGCTGAGAGCCGGTTTCTGAGGGAAGTTGTCCCTGAGGTAAGCGAAGCCATTCCGTTGGTATTGTCCGGTAGGGAGGGGGCTTCCTCTCCTCGGAGGGTTTGCGTGGAGGCGGCTCGAGGCCCAGGTTGGCTGGACTAGGAAGAGGAGCGGCGGCGGCGGCGGCGGCGGTTCCCCTTCACCTGCCCTTCACGAGGACCTGGGCGAGGCCTAGAAAAGGGCTTCCCAAATCATGGTCAAGGGGATGAAGGAGCAGCTTTTCCCCTCTGAGGGAAGGTTGCAGCTTTCAGAAGGAAGGAGGGTAAGAGACGGCATGAAATCACTCGAGGTGGGAGGAAAGCGGAAAGGAATAATATTAATAATAGTTATTATTATTTATACCCCGCCCATCTGGCTGGGTTTCCCCACCACTGGGCGGCTTCCAGCAAAATATTAAAATACAATAAAACATCAAATATTAAAAGCTTCATTAAACAGGGGAAAGAGACCCCCCCCAAACCCTCTAAAGCTCAGGGACATCCCATAAAGTTGAGCGTTAGAAGATTCAGGGCAGATTTTTAAAAAGGAAATCCCTTCACGCAGCGCTGTAGAACCCCCTCCCACAGGATGTTTTTTAATGGCCACCAACTTGGGACGGTTTTAAAAGAGGATAGGGTAAATTCATGGAGGAGAGGGGCTATCCATGGCTGTGAGCGAGGAGGGTTATTTTATTTATTGCCTGCCTTTTGCCCTAAGGTCCCAGGGTGGGTTACAACAGCATTAAAAGCCGTATTTATAACAAACTTGGATGGTTATGCTCTGCCTTCACAGTTGGAGGCGATGATGCTTTTGGATACCAGTTGCTGGAAACCCGAGAGGGTGGAGAGCCATCTTGCTCTCAAATACCGTATTTTTCGCTCCATAGGACGCACTTTTTCCCCTCCAAAAATGAAGGGGAAATGTGTGTGCGTCCTATGGAGCGAATGCAGGCTTTCGCTGAAGCCTGGAGAGCGAGAGGCATCGGTGCGCACCGACCCTCTCGCTCTCCAGGCTTCAGGAAGCTATCCGCAAGCCTTGCAAGCCCGGTGGGAGTTCCCGCGGGCTCACAAGGCTTGCAGGCAGCAGCCTGCAGCCCCGGCGAGTGTCCGCAAGCCTTGCGCGCCCGGCAGGAGGTCCCGCCGAGCGCGCGAGGCTTGGGGCAGCAGCCTGTCGCCCGAAGCACGGGGAGCCCTCGGGAGGGCTCGCTGTGCTTCGGGCGAGTGTCTGCAAGCCTTGCGCGCCCGGCAGGAGGTCCCGCCCGGCGCGCAAGGCTTGGGGCGGCAGCTGTCGCCCGAGCACGGGAGCCCTCCGGAGGGCTCCCCGTGCTTCGGGCGAGTGTCTGCAAGCCTTGCGCGCCCGGCAGGAGGTCCCGCCGAGCGCGCGAGGCTTGGGGCGGCAGCCGCGGCGGGGGGGGGGGAATAATTTTTTTTATTCATTTCCCCCCCCCAAAAAAACGAGGTGCGTCCTATGGGCCGGTGCGCCCTATAGAACGAAAAATACGGTACTAAGTGGACACCCAGAGTCTATTCAACCTGCTGAGAAAGCTCTCTTCAGAACGGAAAAACAAACCACGTCTTCAGTTGTTTCTGCAAAGTGAAGATAGTGTGGTATCTCAACAGGAAAACTGTTCCAATGAACAGGGACGGCCACACTGAAAGCCCTGCTCGGAGTTACTGTGGAGCGGGGTTTCTGAGATCTTTGGGACCTTTTATTTATTTATTTTATTTTACAATGTGTAATAAAAACCTCTGAAGCCCGGTTGCTGGTTTCCAAGTGGGGAGAGTGCTGTCGCACTCTGGTCCTGCCTTGGGGCTTCTGGTTGGCCACTGTAGGAACAGGATGCTGGACTAGATGGGCTTTTCACTTGATTCAGCAGGGCTTTTATTAAGTTCAGCCAGAATGATCAAGGGGGCTGGAGCACCTTCCCTATGAGGAAAGGTTACAGTGCAGTGTTCTTAGGAATATGAGGTGATAATGCACAGCCTTCTGAATGAAAGCTGTGTTGCTCTATACTTGATTCCGAGACAGGCTTGTCATTTTCTAACATATAAAACTTATAACCTATAACTTTTATAATCTGTCTTCTTTGTTGTTGTTACCTCACATCATCTGCTCTTTGTCTGATCGTTATCTATGACTACTTTACTTCTTTATCCCTTGTTCATCTTTTAACCAAAATTTTACAATTTTGCATTGCTACTTTTCCAGGATAGAGTGCTTTGGATCGCAAGATGATAGATCCAATAGATGGCAATTTGTTTGATCTTCCTGATTATGAACAAATCCAGGATGAGACGTTTCTACCTCTACCACCTCCAGACTCTCCAGGAGGAGATGTTGAAGGCAACTTAGTGAATGGAGGTGACTGTTCACTTGAACTAAATGCTCACATTTTGAACCCTGATAGCACAGTCTATGCACGTTTATTTGGATGTAAATCCCACTGTGTTCAGGGTTTTACTCTGAGGTAAGTGTGCATAGCGTTGTGCCCTGAATCCATGAAACTACATTTGCTTCTAATACTAGACTTTATGAGGAGAACTTATTTTATGCACATAGTAGGTTTTTTAAAAAACAACAATAACCCCTATTTAAATTCTATCTGGTGTTTTTGTCTTTTTTTCAAAAAGACTGATTGAAAGTTACTTTGCACACTTATTCCTTAAGGTGGTTTAGCTTTGACACAACAAGCTGTAATATGTAGCATGTGGACTATAGCCTCAGGGTTCTCCCTAGGCCATGCCCCCTCTCCCAAAGTCATGCCCCTTGCCTGCTTTGCTCCAAAGTACTCATTGGGTGCTTTTACCTCTCTGGAATGTGCCCTTGAACTGTAACAGCCACTTATTTGCCAGGATGGGGTCTGGCATGGCAGGAATGTAACCCACCATTCAAAGGTAAGACTCCTAACTTGCCCCTCCCAATTTGTGTTTTGGATTTGCCACTACTGTCATGTATCCCTGGAGGTTTGCCCATGAGGGAATGTGGCCTTGAGGCTGAAGGTTTCCTATCCCTGTTTAGCAGCAGGGGGATAAGACACCAAATTTAAGACACCGTTGCATGAATAAATACCTTTCCTGGAATATGCCTGTGTGACTGTTACAGCATTCATATATGGCATATAAAAATATATGGGAATGTTTATTACTATGGATGTTTCACTCAGGAAATCTAATCACATTCTCAGTTTTAGCATATGTTGTTTTTCATTTTTCAGAATCAGAAGAAAACAAATTGTCACAAGCCAAGGATTCTTCTAGGACTACAAGGCGATCTGTTAAAAGGCCAGTGCCTAAACTAGATGCTGACAGGTATTTAGAAAAAATTTCCTAACCCTCTGTATGCCTCTATTTACTCTGTTGCATATTATTGCTCTTAATCCTTTTAATTGATGCCAAACTTCTAGAATTTGGATCTTTGAGATGCATCCCAATATACATAAGAGTTTTTACCTTTTGTTGACCTGTATGGTGTTCTCCTATGGTTACTAAAGTGGAACTTTGGTTGCTGAGTCCCACCATCCATTGCTATTGTCCTTAGAGATCCTCTTTCGCACAGAGGTCCAGTTGGCTAGAACATGGGACAGTGTCCTTTCAGTTACAGTGTCCAGGTCATGGAACTCTATTTTCAGGACCCCAGGGTGGGTTCCAACCATAAATACATAGTCCCTTCTTTACTGGCACTTCAACATGCTGCCAAAACCTTTTTTTCCCACCGTAGCTTTGGTTTGGTTTGGTTTCCCATTGTCTCTTCAGTGACTTTAGTATCTGGCTTCTGGCATTTAGCCCCAATTTTAGGAAATTTATAGTATGTTAATCATGTGAGCCATCTTATGATGACTGTTGTGAGGGGCCCAAAGGCAGGACATATGAATATTTAAATAAATGAATAAATTGGTGATTTTGTAGATCAGCCTAGGCAATGGGTTGTGCTATACCTTTGCCATTGTTGTGTTGCAGTGTCACATCATTTGCTTGGCAGTGAGTGAGGAGAATAAAATGGAACTGAGCAGAAAACATTTGGAGACTTGCTTAGTCAAGGGCCCTCTTCCCAACACAGTACTCAAATGGGTGTCAAAACCCATCCAAATAATGGCTTGGCAACTCTATTTGTAAATGGTTTGTTTTAAGGAGGTTTAATTCAGTTTTGTTGGCTTAAGAAATATGTATATACTATTGTATATATGTGTGTTTGTGTAGGTATATGTATATATGTATTGTAGATTCTGCTGGAACAAATCGTCTATGGCATGGATAGCCAATATCATGTCCTCCAGACTACAGCTCCCATCACCCCTGACTATTGGCCGTACTGACTCGAGATGAAGGGAATTGTAGTACAAGAACACTATGTTGGCTATCCCTGGAGAGTTTGATAGCATTTTGATACCTCTTCAGAACTGGAAACATTTTCTTACATGGAAATTATGTGCATCATCAAAACCCATAACAGACTGTATACCATGCCTCTTGTACACATTGGCATCGTATTTCAGAGTTTTGGGTGGAATACCTGTTATTGAAAAAGAAAATTTCAAGTAACTGGAGACACTTCTAACATTCACAGGTTAGTTTCAGAGCGAGGACTTCCAGCTTTGCGGAATATGTTTGATAATGTAAAATTCAAAGGTAAAGGTTATGAGGTAAGCAATGCTGAGAAGTCTTCTCTTGATTTTTGTGGCCATTGCATGCATATTATGTGTTCTGGGATATAAGCTGTGTGGAACATACGAACATGAAGTTTTTCAGCAAAGGATTAGATTAAACGTAGGGATTCTAATACTAACATGTTTAGTTTTGTTGATCAGTTGTGAATTACCACTCTGTCATGGTGATGATGGCACAAAATTGACTATTTTGGGTAATTTACATTTAACATTAGCCTTCCTTAATAGTATAAGGGAAGCCAAAGCAAGGAGAAAGATTTGCCTCATTGCTGAAAAGTGTAGGCTCACTTAACTAATACATTCATCAAAACATACCCTTTCCAGACAAGATACTATTTTACAATATCTTAAAAGACTGGAGGGGAGAAGCAATGCAAGTACAATTAAAAACCAGTAGGAATATTTAAAGTGATGGATATGCCATCTCCAGTCTTCAACCACAAATCCACACCTGAATGGACCATCTCAGTTGGTGGAGCTCCTGTTCTTAAACCTCTGGAGACACAAGACTGAGGAACAGTGGTCTACACTGGCTCGCAGTGGCTCTCCAGGATTTTAGACAGGGTCTAAAAACAGTCCCTGCCTTAACCTGGAGATGTAGGTGTTTGCGTGCAGAACAAATGCTCTATAACTGAGCCACAGCAACTCCCCAAGCGTCTTCAAGAAAGGGCCTTTAATCTGTTGTGGGGTTTTTTAGCTAATAACAGTTACGTTTGTCAGTTGGATACACTTTTGCACCCCAAATGTACAACTTCAGTATTTAAGGCTTTGTAAAATAAATCTTCAAATACTTTCTCAATGTGAGCATGCCCAATGTTTAAACTGTATCTTGTTCTTTATGTTCAGGAAGCAGACCTGAAGGCACTTGTGAGGCATATGGAGCACTGGGCTCACAGGCTATTCCCTAAACTTCCATTTGAGGATTTTGTTGACAAAGTAGAGAGTTTAGGAGGTAAACAACCAGTCCAGGTGAGTGTCAACCGATCTGAGTAAAAGTAATGCTTAACTGAAAGCAACAAATACAACTCGGATCTGTAACATATGGCACATTTTCTCATTCTAGGCATGCTTGAAGCGAATTAGACTTGACCTGCCCATGTTGCATGAAGAATTCACAAGTAATGAAGGCATGTATGCATTGAAAATGTTAGCACTGCATCCTTTTCTCTTTTGATGGTCAGACATTTAGGTGCTACTGAGAACTGACAGCAAAATTGATGTCCCTTAGGACTGAGCTGACAAGTCTTGCATGGTCTCATTTTAAAAACTTGAATCCATGTGTCTGCTGCTAAAATGACAATGCCATAGTGCATCGCAGGAAGTCTTTAACAGTTGAGGGATAACTTGTTGGTATTGAGTGCTCCTGAACTTGCATTTTTGCTTAAAGACGTAAGAAGTCCCTTTCTAGATCTAAAGAGCTACCTAATCAAGCACTCTGTGCAGCAGATTCCAGTAGCAGGTCCTAGATGCACTGGAAATTAGCTAGAGAACTACTATGTACTTTCAGCCCCTCCCTAGAACAATGTATTTAATGTCCGTTCCATAAGTTTGTGTATTTGTTGGGATCCATCTGCAGTCCAAACACTGGATTGCACATTGTGCTTAGGACACAATAAGTTCTGTTTCCAGAATACAGGATTTAATCTGAACAGTCTCCTTAAGTGGTGTGCATTTTGCTAAGCCCTTTGATTATACATTAATTGTAAACTTTTGTGGTGTCTTGGGAAGCTTGGACTCATAGAGAGAGGAGCTAGGTAGAAATTTTGGCAATTGCTGCAACAGTGCTGAAGTTTAATGACAATCTTTCCTAAAAGATTAGCAGAAAGGTCACTACTGCCACTGACTTGACTTTAAAAGTGTAAAGCAATTAATATGCTGTTTTGTTTTCCTCTCCTGGGATATCAGAACAATTAGATAATTGTGGATGCAATGAATATTGGCTGCATTTGTTAGCTATACAATGCAGCCCTAGGCAGCCACATATATTAACAAAATGGATCCTGCCGACAGCCTCTGTCCAGTTATCAGATTTCTGTGCGATGGTTCCATACATATATGTTGAGTGACAGACAACAGAGTTTTGGTTTAAGGAAAGGTGAATGACATTTTGTTTCAGGAATTGGATAACGTTTCGATTTTGACTGCTTTCTAATTAATAAGACAGGAATGAACACTTCTGCATTATTGGACAAGTAGCTTTCCTTCTATAATTTGCTACACTATTGAATGAGGGGATATTATTGTAGTTCCAGCAATATGATGATAAATCTGGTATACTTTTTAAAAAGCAGCCTAGCCTAGTGTAGATTTTGCCTGGAAACTTCTGATAGCCTTTTTCCATTCAATGTAGGTGAGGATGGGGGAAGCAATGGACCTAATCCAGTCACTGAAGAATTAGATTTATTTTCTGAAATCCAAAATGCAAAAGAAGACTTCGGTATGCCCCCAAATAGCACACTAACAGAGGAGCAGCTGCAGAGAATTGAAAGGAACAGACAAATAGCCATGGAAAGAAGACAAGCAAAAACACAGTTCAACAGTCAGTCACAAGAAGGTAAATTCTAAAGTATGAATAGAGACTATTCATGGTGATACTTTGGGATAATTGAATTCAAAAATCCTGCTAAAAATCAGCATCTGGTTCTGTTTTGACAATTGCAAATATAAAAATTGAGGTTTTCTTTAAATTTGTTTGTAAATGATTTCTTCCCCTTCAAAACAGTTTCCCTCTCAATAGGTGAGCTGTGGTGTGCACCGTTCAAGGGAATCACATCTACATGGGGGTTAGGTTCCAAAGCCAGTGCATTAGGCAAAATTCATGTATAGTCCAATTTACCTTAAATTACCTCTGGCTTCAAGGCATCACCGCTTATCTGAGGAGTCTCCTTTAGTCCCTGTGCTTTTCCTGAGGAGCTGGATCAGTGGAGGAGGAAGAGGGGCTTTCCAGCCTTCTCCATGCTTGTTGCTGGCCAGCAGGACTGCCTTTCCTCAAATGGCGGGGGGGGGGGCAGGCAGAAAGAGAAAAAAGCTGGAACAAATCTTTATACAGTTGCAGATGGGGTTCTAGTAGCAGCTTTTGCAGGAGCTTGCTGCCGATCATCTATAATTGAATTTGTGTTGTGTGTGTGAGAGAGATGCGATTCCATTATACTTTCAGATTAGCAGGAAGTTCATGTGATGACTGGTTTATTGCTAGTTCTATATATGCACTGCCCTTTTACACTAAAACCTGCCAACTTGACATAAACAGGGAAATTAAATCAAACAGCTGGTCTTTGTCTTCACCTGAACAAGATTCAGGTTACCTTGTTACTAGGTGGATGAGCTACCAAGGATTGCCACAAGAGCGGAATAGTTATTAGCAGGAATTTTTCTTCTTCACCCCCCTTCCTTCAACTTAGTAGTGAGATTTATTGTGGTGGAGATTCACCAAGTGGCCTAAACCACGTTTCTTCATGAAGGTGTACCACACTATGACAAAACCAAAGAGAACGAGAGTTTATGTAGGAACAAATGTCACAATTTGTTCTTTCCATACATTTGATGACTGAACTAGAGTGTCTTCGTCTCTATTACAATATTCTGTGGAAAGCTAGCAGCCAGAACATTCCTCTCCTTGCATTTTGAATTCATGTTTTTCAGTTTTAAATTTAACTATTTCCTTCAACTTGACCCCTGCCTTGTGATAATTGCTTCATTTTTCTTACTAATAAAAGTTTGGTTTAAAGAAATTGATTGCTTCTCTCACCTCATAAAACTTCAAGTTATTGACTGGGCTAGGGAGTATGAGCCTAAGCAATTACATTAGAGGAAATGAGTTAATGCAAGAATGGTGACAGCCAATATTTTTTTGTTTCTAATAGAACTGCAAGTGACCCAGGCAGATTAAGAATGTAGCATCGTTGTGGCTCAGGAACAAGATGACTTGCCTGTGGTGGAAGGAGGAAATGTACCTTTTCAGACTATTGAGAAGAAGGAAATTGGAAGTATAGAAAATAAATGACCTTTAACTTTTGTATCAAGTGACCAAGGACCAACATCTTGAATTTTACGTCACATATTCCTGTTCTTCCTCTTGAAAGTGGTTTTTTAATGATTTTTTTCTACTGGAACAACTGATCATTCTTCCCAGTTCCACTGGTCTCTCTCACATGTAAAGATGAGCCAAACCATGGCTAGGCATGAATGAGCAAGTGTGCTGGTAAGAGGTGGAAACTGTGGCTGCTTGACTCCACCCTTGTAGTGCTATCCATGGTTTGTCTTAAGGTTCTGTGCAAATCTAGATTTGTGGTTTGTCTTCTCCAATCAAACCATGAGCAGTAAGCTAAGAACAAGCTTTAGTTACAGCTTGTGGCTTGTTTCTAGTGAGACATACAAGTCTAGGCTCAAATGGGTTAGTGCTGTAGCAGGACTCAGGGAGGAGTAAAGTGGCTGTGATTTTCACTCTGTGCCACTATGCTTGCTTGCTCACGCTAAGCTATAGTTTGGCTTCATGTTGCATTCTAACTTGGCCTTTCAGTGAGAGTTCTGTAATTCAGATTTTTTATTTTCTTTATCCACCACTTTGGAAATGGTGTTTCTCAGTTTAAAGTGAGACGAGTTGAAGCTTGAATTAAAAGTAATGGCTGCTAATCCTTCAATGAGAAAGCACCATTCTCACAGTAGATGTTATAAAATGTTACATATAGAAAGCAGACCAAAGCAATGATAGTTCTGCCATTAAAATCTTTTATAACTTTCACATTGTGAAATACTTGTGCTATGTGTCCATATTTTACACTGGAAATGAAGATGTTGGAAATCTGCTGTGAAGCAGGAGATTTTGGTCTGCTACCAGAAGCAGCAACTAATATACTGCACAGGTAAATATTGTATAGGTTGATCTCCTAGAACAGAGGTAATGTTCAGTGGCATAGCATGCAAATTAGGGGATATCTATGTGCAAGCTTTTAGACATGCTACTTATAAAAGTAGTGCTCATTAAAGGAGCATAGTTTGGGATATCTGGAAGGTTACTTTGCAGTGTAACAAAATGGCACGATCCAGTGTTAGAATGAGAACCGAGTTGATTCAGATAAGCCTTTCCTGCCACCTCATCCCATCCTGAATTCCTGCACGTAGCTTAAGATGGTTTCCACATGGCAGGTAGGAAACCCTAGTCTGAACTGAGAGGCTGAAGAAAGAAAAATACAAAATCTCAACTAAACTTAGTTCTTATATGCTTCATTGCTAAAGTTGTTACTCAAGAGTTTTGATAATGGTTTCGTAATTCGGAGGTACATTTGAGTACAACTCAGTGGTGGTGAAAACAAAAAACAACCCAAATGCTAAATACTGTATATAAATTAATGGGAAGCGCTTAACATTCTTTTGCTGTATAGTCACTTCCAATATCAGAGAGTAAAATTTTAAAGAGCTACTTGGTTGTCATATCAAATTATTATTTATTCCCTGAGGTGCTTGAAATATTTGCCATTTTATGTACTCAATTCACAGAAGGCAAAGTGCTATTTCATTACCATCCATGGCTACAAGTGTGTTTTAATGTATAGCTGCCTGTTTTCATAGAGATACCGTATTATACCATGTTTTAACAAAAGCCGAGCCAACTGAAATAACGTAACACATTTAGAAATACTAGAATTTTTTTTAGGACAGGCCAAAGGAACAGCAGTTGCACGAGAGCTTTCATGCTCCACTATCTGCAGATACATCCAATAAGGCCAATTCCTTGATTTCCTCCAACAAGTGATAGAGGCTCACACCCTGCGTCTGGCGATACTCCTCATATTCTTCCTCTATCCTCTTTGTTTTGGCCTTGTCATGAGCAAGCTGGGCCTCCTCCACAGTCTTCGTTACTTCCCGTACCAAATCTGTTCTAGATATGTGGGGACTTTGAGACAGTTCCAACTCTGGTGTCTTGTAAGGTTTGCAGCTTGTTATATGCAACTGAATGCGATCAGTATGGCAACGAGAACTCTGTACGGAAATTTTTACCTGTGGGTGGAAAAAGCACACAGTGAGATTCTAGTTTGCCTTCTTGTGTTACAGGAGAGTAATTTCAATGCAGATATGTTACGTACCGCCACATGGTCAAACAGGTTCAGAGTAACAGAATCCTCAGCTGTGGGAGCAGAGATAATTTTGCTAGGAAAGCGCTGGAGACAACCAGGTTTCCATTTGCAGCTCCCATCGGCTTGACAAGATAGGACCAACCCTTCCTTATTTTTCAGATAGGCTGCCCCTTTAATTCCATACCTGTGACAGAAAGAGATTAGGTTCCCAAAAAAGTATCCAGTTGCCAATGAACTTTATCATTAAAAAGCCTGAGGCAATTAATTGATTAAAGTAAGTACCTCTTTTTAGAAAATTCAATAAAACTATTAGTAAAAAACAAAAATAAATAAAATAAGTATCAATTAGTATTACAAAACATGCTTTTTTAACAAATGGGAAGACTAGGCAGTCTCTGTTGCAGGAGAACTTATTCAGTGGAGCTCTGTCCCACCCTATGCCAGAGGCTCAAAGCATTGTCACATGGGGGCTGTATCTAAGTAGTGAGCAGGCTCTGAACAGAGAAGGTCCCAAGTTCAATCCAGTATCTCCAACTGGATTTGGGAAAAACTCCTGTCTGAAACGTTGGAGAGCTGCTACCAGCATTTGGTTAGAAAGACAAGTGGTTTGACTGAATAGGGCAGCTTCCTAGGTTCCTGAATTCAACTTCCCCTCCTCCCAACTTCATTTGAGAAAAATGTCTCCACCAAATCCCACAGGGTTAAATTAAAAGCTGCTATGCTGTAATCCTTCCCGTGGGTTCCAGATTGCCCAGAAATAGGCAACTTGCCATGTGGACTTGCTTGTCTGGCTTCAAGCTACAGTTGCCTTACCTTGGCACAAAGACAAGCACACCATTCGTTCGGATTGAATAGATAATCCCATCTGCTGTGCACTGCTCATCTCCGTCAAGACTCTTATCTCTGAAGTACATACACTGGAAAAGTTCAGTGGACTGCTTCTGGGCATGCTGGGCAGCCTATCCAAAGAAAGCAACTTAGATTAGAAAGGAGGCATTCCACTGTGTTGGTGCCACTACCAAAAAGGCCCTGCCTATGATGTTTTGATCTGGTCATCCAGACAGCATAGCCCAAGACAATGACCTTAAAACCTATGTAGGTTCCTATGGGTGGAGGCAGTTCTTTAGGTCCCAGAACATTTAAGGTTGGGAATGACTTCCTGTCTTGTCCATTCTCTTCCTTTATGTTCTTTAGGTTAACGTAATTAAATATTTGCATTGTGATTTATTTGCACTGGCCTGCTTCCAAAGCAAGTGGGATGACGAACCTCCCTCAAAATAACTTCCCATCTTCACTGCAGTGAATCAACCTTCACAGTAAGTCCACATTCATACTACACATTTAAAGCACTCATAATGATTTCCCGAAAGGCGTCTAGGAGCTGTATTTTGTGATGGGTGTTGAGAATTGTTCACAGACCCCTAATCCCCTCCCACTGCTACAATTCCCAGAGTCTCCTGTGAAGAGGGATAGTTTTTAAGCTACTCTGAGAGGGGAATAGGGACCTCCGAACAACTCTCTGCACCCTTAACAAACCACAGCTCCCGTAATTCTTAGGGGGAAAGCCATGATTTTTTAAAAAGCGGTATCATAGTGCTTTTAATGTATGGTGGCCTAAGTCAAATGTGCCTCTCTGAGAATCTCTTGCATAAACACACCCAAATCCATGCTCACTAATCGCCTTACCCTGTTTCTGTTGTTGATGTGTCTGCATAGCTCTTCAAGTTCTTTGTTGCTAAGCAAGTTCTCCTTGGTGCCTGATTTATCTCCTTTCAAAGTGGCCACTAACAGCAGCCGGTGGACTATTATATCAGCATATCTTCTAATTGGTGAAGTGAAGTGGGTGTATTTATCCAGAGCAAGACCTGCCGCAAAATAGGATGCAATAATGGACACAAAGGCCATGAAGACAATAGTGGGGGAGCTGGAGCTGGGATTTTAAAAACACACATAAAGAAACAAACGACAGCAGTTACCATAGTGAAAGAACTCTTCTTTGGGGCAAGAGCCAGTTGAAAAATACAAGGCGTTAGACATTGCCTGTGTGGCCATAGATCTCAGCAGCCTGTTCACCAGAGGATCGGATGGGTCAACTGCCTTATCCAGGGAGTCAGCTAATGCTTTGTTCGACCTATCGAAATGAATAGATTAATGATAACAGAAAATCATTTTATTTGAACTTTTCAGTAATGTAGATGCTTCTTATTACAACTTTCACAAATGAACCCACGCCACCAACCTGTCCTAAAACTAGTCTTGGACTTGCCTGCACAGACAAACTCTGAGCAATTCCACTTCTACACCACTTGTTAAGGGGTCTAGCTCTAAGTTTTTAAAGATGCAGTGGATAGTGGATGGAGAATAGTTTCCAAGCCACTCTCCTCCCCTACCTTTGAAACTGCACTTCAGTCCAAAACTCAAGTTGCTGCAACAGAGCTCTTCTATGGCAAGCTCCAGCTGGCTGCCTTCTAACCCTGCAACCAGACTACTCTGAATACAGAAGGGTAGAGCAGCTGGAGAGATCGTAATAGCCTTTTTCCTAGCCCAAAACGCCTTATCTGTAAAAATACAGCAATGAAAATGCTGCCAGAAGATAACGCAGGTTCTGGAGTGGAATATCAATGTCATAATTGTAAAATACTTTCTTAATGTTCTACACTGCCCTGGTATCGTTTGATAAATGGTGGTATATAAATTAATTAAATAAACAACACAGAAGCCCAGCCTGTTTCTGAAAATGCAGATCATTTGGGCACCCAGAGCCGCATTGTACTTGGAGATATTTTGGAAAACAACTACTCTGCAGCTTAAAGAAGGCCTGGACTGGTAAGCCCCGATTCTACTTGCCGTGTATCTATGAAGAAGCCTTTTGTGCCAGCACATTCTCGGAGCTCCGAAAAAAACTCCTGCCTTGGGGGTGGGTGTTGGCGCAGGAGGGCTTGGTGAGGGAAAGTCTCCCATATCTTCTTGGCCACCCAATGGTTTGCGAGAATCATACATTCGGCGATCGTTTCGTGGACTTCCAGTGGCTGCCGAGGGATGAGGTCATCAATGTTCTTTTTGTCATCCAGTAGCACTCTGACCTCGACTCCTTCCAATTCCAGCGCTCCGCAGCTGTCCCTCTTAGCTCGAATATGCCGGGCGACATCGGTCAGCTTCCCTATGGCCCAGGTCAGCTCGTCTAACTTCTGTTTCCTCGTATCTTCGCCCATATCTTTGAGCTCCAGAATTTCATCGGCCACTGTCAAGTCTCCATCCAGCAATGCCTGGGCTGCCTCATAAAACAGTTTGTAGGAAGAGCGAATGATGGTTCTGTGGTACCAAACCTCCTTTATTTCATAGGAAGTTTTTTCAAGTTCCCAAATGACACTCACAGCATACCTTGAAAATAAAACAACACTGCTGATTTATAAATGGCAACGCTGACCATCATGTAGCCTCTTTCCATATGAACCTACCTGTACCCAGACCCTGAGATCATCTTCTGAGGCCCTTCTTCGTATGCCTGCTCCTCGAGAGGTCCAGAGGGTGGTGGCAAAAGAGCAGGGCCTTCTCTGCAGTGGCTCCCCGTCTGTGGAATGCTCTCCCCAGGGAAGTCCGCCTGGCGCCTTCATTATACACTTCTAGGCGCCAGGTAAAAACATTCCTTTTTAACCAGGCCTTTGGTTGATCTGATTTACATCCTATGCCCTTTTGAATTTTTTTGGGGGGGGCTGTTGGGTTGTTGTTTTTATTTTTATTATGTATTTTGTGGTTTTATATCTTGATTTTATTCTGTGAAACGCCCTGAGACCCCCAATTATAGGGCGATATATAAATTCAATAAATAATAATAGTTTCAAGCAAGAGAGAAACAGAGTTCAGTTGGTTTGACATTCATAACATGGGCTGCTTTTATGAATCATAAACAGCTGTGTTAGCAAAATCCACTTGTTAGTCATTGGAAAAAACATGAAGTTCACCCCTAGTTTCCACCCTTTCAATTTTCAGTACAGGGGAGAAAAGACAATGGCCAGTGACGGAGAAATTGATTTAATCGTTATATTTTAAGTATGTGCAGTTTAATAGATTCTAATAATGGCCAAACTTCTGTGCTTGCAAAACATGCTAGAACGTTTTGTGTATGAAACTTTTCTCATAAACTGAGAAAAATTGCAGAATATTAGAATGCTACAAGGGGTTATTTTGGTCCCCCAAAGAGTCAGGGCTAGGAAGAAGCAAAACACCAAGAACATGTCCTAATACCCGAGATGCTAGGGCAAGTCAGTGCTAAGAGCTCACCTGTCAACATTCCCAAGAAGAGAACATAAGTTGGCACTCAAGACAGCAGGCAGCATGTCGTAACGACGATCTGCTAAGTAGTAAGTAGTAGCCCTGAGAAGTTGGAGAAATAATTATTATAATGCTCCTACTGCACATCTTTAAAGTCTCAGAACATTTGGACGCATATTGCAACACGGTTGGTTTATCTAATGCGAGTGCTAAACAATTTAGGACGGGCCATTTATAATGTAGACAAGAGACATTTGTTTCAGTGACACTAGTATATGCGTAAAATAACTATGCTTTAATCCCTTTTGCTGTGGGGCGACTTATATTGATATCTACTGTTAATTCAGAATAAGAGCAGTTGGCAGCTGTAAGAAACAAACACCCCAAGCATACATGTTAAGATTAGTTTCAGCCTAAAACAGCAGCAAAAATATTAAAATCAATTTTGGGCAATTGTACATCTAAATAGAGCTTACACAGTTACAAGAAAAGATTTCCCTCTGATGACACGAGTGACTGATTCTGCCATCTCCTATGCAGCAGTATTTAGTCACTACTGTTCATTACATTCTTGGTATTGGTTATTGAAATCACTATCAAAAGAACAATCATTCATTCCCCCCCCCTTGCAGATAATACAATATACAGGTCCCTACCATACATTTGGGGACACGGGTGGCACTGTGGGTTAAACCACAGAGCCTAGGACTTGCCGATCAGAAGGTCGGCGGTTTGAATCCCCATGACAGGGTGAGCTCCCGTTGCTCAGTCCCTGCTCCTGCCAACCTAGCAGTTCGAAAGCACCTCAAAGTGCAAGTAGATAAATAGGTACCGCTCCGGGGGGAAGGTAAATGGCGTTTCCATGCGCTGCTCTGGTTTGCCAGAAGCGGCTTAGTCATGCTGGCCACATGACCCGGAAGCTGTGCGCCGGCTTCCTCGGCCAATAAAGTGAGATGAGCGCCACAACCCCAGAGTCGGTCACGACTGGACCTAATGGTCAGGGGTCCCTTTACCTTTTACCATACATTTATAGCACTTTTCAAGTCAAGACTTCCCCTTCCTGGAAAGTAGTTTGTTAAGTCTGCTGGGAACTGCAGCTCAGCAAGGGGTAAACTATAATTCCCAGGACTCTTTGCCGGAAGCCATGACTGTCAAAGTGCTTTAATTCTATGTTGTGGATGTGATCACAATGAAGTACTATTATTATGCTTCGCAATTTTGTTTTCAAATTGATTTTCCTATGTTATTTTATATAACCTTGTTCACTTAGGTCCAGTGGTGCCTCGCAAGACGAAATTAATCCGTTCCGCAAGTCTCTTCATCTTGCGGTTTTTTCGTCTTGCGAAGCACGGCTATTAGCGGCTTAGCGGCTATTAATGGCTTAGCGGCTTTAAGAAAAAGGAAACAAACTCGCAAGAACTCGCAAGACGTTTCGTCTTGCGAAGCAAGCCCATAGGGAAATTCGTCTTGCGGAACGACTCAAAAAACGGAAAACTCTTTCGTCTTGCGCGTTTTTCGTCTTGCGAGGCATTCGTCTTGCGAGGTACCACTGTACTTTGTTTTAACTGGTTTATATATACAGTGGTACCTCTACTTATGTGTCCCTCTTGTTATGTATCCTTCGGGATACGCACGCGGCAAACCCGGAAGTGTATTTCCGGTTTTGCCATGCGTGCATGTGCAGAAGCACTCTATCGTGCTGTGTGCATGCACAGAACAGGCACCTCCAGTTGTGGAAACTTCGGGATCCGACTGGAGCTCAACCAGGGGTACCACTGTATTACGACAATAAATATTAAAGCCCAGAATCAAACCCACCTTGCTCTTGCCTCAATATCTGTGTAAGAATTTGCAGCCACAAAGTGAGTCACGTCTGCAATGTGAACCCCTAGCTCCAGGTTTCCATTAGGCAGGGTTCTTATGGACAGGGCGTCGTCCACATCTTCACAGCCTTTTGGATCAATGCTGAAGACTAAGTGGGTATCCCTCAGATCCACACGCTTGAGCTCTTCTTCCGGAGCCACTTTCCACGGCTTCTCTGGGATAACAACTGGCATCTCACACATCTGCAGGAGGAAAGTCCTGCCCGTCAGAGATTATAGATTGAAAAAATAACACTTCATTCGTATCCTAAGAGTCAGCGAGTAAAATCTGCTGGAGGCAGCTTTGCCCCCTGTTTATACTGAAATCACAGTACATCAGACCCCTTCAGTGCAAGGGGCAGAGTTTGCTTTTCTAACATGACACCTTAAATTCACTGCTCTAACACAACTCTGCAGTGCTTAGTACAATCGTACCTCAGGCTTCCGATTGGCTGTAGGAAGCTCCTGCAGTCAATTGGAAGTTGTGGCGGACGTTCGGGTTCCAAAAAACACTCACAAATTGGAACACTCACTTCTGGGTTTGCAGCATTAGGGATCCAAAAGGTACGAATGCCTAGGCGTTCGTCAACCAAGGTATGACTGTACTGTATAATAATATTGTATTATTTGTACCCCACCCATTTGACTGGGTTGCCCCAGTCCCTCTGGGCAGCTATAGCTGTTATAGTGTCTGACTAGGACCCTGGAGATCAGGGTTCAAATCCCCACTCAGCCAGGAAGGTCACTGGGTGACCTTGAGCCAGTCATCATTTCTCAGCCTACCCTACCCTGTGAGGATAAAATGGGGAGGAGGAGAACCACATATGTCACCTTTCCAAGAGGAAAGCTGGGATATAAGTATAATAAACAAATAAATAAAAGCTGCTTTTATATCAAACCGCGAACAGCAAGAGAACCACAAACAGGCCTGCTACATCAAGCAAATGTGGAACTTGATACTGGGTGCAGAATTCAGCACCCTGAGAGCATAGAGTTTTATTTATTGATTTTTTGACTTCCGGGGTGGCGCCTCCGGAAAATGGCGGAATTCCCTTCAAGTTGAAGGGAACCCGCTGCACGGAAGCTTGGGTCCTACCGCTACGGCGCAGCGGGGACCCTTAAAACCCACAGGCGGATGAAGCCTGTGGACGTGGGACTCAGCGGGCACCGTGAGCGCTCTCTCCCTTGTACAGGAGCCCGGTAACGGGCTCCGGAGTGGGAGGTGCGTGGTGCTGTGAGTCGACTGCTTCTTTCGTGCAGCAAAGCCGCACTGCCGTTTCCGGAGAGCGCTGCCTTTTTCCTGGGACAATTTGGCATCTAAAACATCTATCCGTGAGTACCTGATCTTGGAAGAGCTGAATTACTTTTAAGACTGGTGAATAAATAAATAAATTGGACTTGAAATTGAATTTAATTGGGACTTGGAACGGAAGGTCTAAACAGGAAGTCAGCCTTCCGTTCTTTTGTTACGTGAAGAAAGCAAAGACAAAATATACTAAAGCTTGAAAATTAAATTCTGAGAGAACTAGAATTCAACATCTAAGATTTCTGAACCCCCCTTTGACTGCAGGAGAAGAAGGGGTTGTTTTGGACTTTTGAACCCTGCGGAAGTGAGTTTAAAACAAAGTAATTTTCCACCGCCCTGAACCAGGAGCGGGCTGTCAGAACTGACGTTTTGAAGCTTGTCCAGCTCGACAGATAGTTAAAAGAAAGGTAACATTGTGACTCTACTGTTGCCTCTTGAATTTTGAAGGGGGAACTTTGGATAAAGTGTATCTGGAAAAGAAAGACTGTTGCTGATGTTTTTCTCCTTTATAAAAAAAAAAAAGGAAAAAAAGGTTTTCCCTCTAGTGGGATTTAGTGAAACTGCAACGCAGAGAGCTTAAAAGTGAAGGACTATAATCGTGGGAAAGAATTTTCTTTGACCTTGAAGGATAATGCTTGTACAAAGGCTTGAACAAATGTTCCTGGAAGGTTTTTCAAAACTAAGTGCCCAGCTGGACCAGATGCGTCAGGAGACGACCTTGATGACGGAAGTTACCTGAGCACAGCAGCAAGTAAATGGAACTCAGTTAAAATATCTACAAGTATATGAACCTGCTGTAGTGATGGAGGCTTCAGAGATGGAGGGACCTTTGGACCGGCAGGATCAGCCTTTGAACTTGATAAATGAACTTGGGATAAATCAGATTCGGAAAGATGAAATGTGGTTAGATTTGGAAATGGGGGATGGATTGACCCCCCTTTATATGGTTATCTGGACTTTCCGAGTCTGGTGATGGGCCATCAGAGGATTGGAGTAGTCGGAGCCTCCAAGTTTCAAGGAAACTTGAAGTGGTATTATCTGCTGTCTGGCTTGGACAATGGGCATGAGATGGACTTGCTGCAAAGGGTCAAAAGTATCTTTCTGCTGGAGTACCCACGACTGAAAGGGAAACATCAAGAAGAGCTGCGAAAGGGGCAAGAAAGAGATTTGAGGGCCTCGGACACGAGACAACCAGGTTAAGGAGCCGGACTATTGAGGTTAAAAGGACTGACAAAACCGGGACCAGGGGAGGGGCGCTGGAAGTTGACTGGATTGTGTCTGACTTATTATTTTATTTTATTTTTCTATTTTTCAATATTGGGAACGTTCATAAATGTTTGAAAGATGTTGAATGAAATTATATGGCTTAAGTAATGATTGGTAAATGATTTGCAAAAAGGTAATGATGTAAGAATTTGGTAAATACTGAATATAAGCTTTGAGTTTTAAAGTTTTTATATGACAAGAGGGAAAATAGAATAAGGAAATGTAATGATAGAATGTTATGAAAAAACAGAAAGGATTTGCTGTAAAAATTAAAAATTAAGAAACAAGAGAGGGAGGAGGAGGAAGTCTAGAAAGGAAGTTAACAGAGATCGTAAATGAATTTATACTTTTGTTTTTCTTTTTTTCTTTTTTTCTTTATGGTTGGGTGTTTTCTTTTTTATTTCTTTATCATTTTTGTTTTTTGTATTTTCAAATTTTTTTGGAAATTTTTGTTGTTATTCTTTGAAAACTTAATAAATATTAATTATAAAAAAAAAAAGAGTTTTATTTATTGATTTTAAAAGCAGGTTTCTAGCCCTCAGCTGTAGTGATAGGTTTGAAAGGGAGCAGGCGGAACCTGTTGAATGCCAGCTGGTAGTGGTTAGGCAGCACTGGCAAAGGTCTTGCAGACCTTTTTGAGCCTCTCCATGCCAGGTTCAGTTATAGTTTACTTCTATGCCACTTTTCATCACAGGTCAGCTCCCGAAGGTTAAAACACAAAGACATCATTCAAACAATACAATAAAATGTAATTTACAGCAAATTAATTTGAAACAGACATACATCAATCACATCTGTTTAACAGTGTGTGAATTCTTGGGAAGAGGTCTGTCTTTGTTTGGTGGGCAATCCTTAAGCTGCAAAGCCTCTGTCAAGAATCTCCACTTTCACTACGAAATACATTTTGCTGTAGAGCTCTTGCAAATTCCATGACTAACAGAAGCAGAACAGTTTCCCACTCCCCAAAAATAAGCAAATTTGCACCATTTACAAAGGCTGCAGAATTCAATTGCTGCTTTTGTCTGAGGTTACCTTTTTATGGAAGGTTTGGGCCAGCCTTAATAATAATAATAGTAATAATAATAATAATAATAATAAAATAAAAACAACATTTGCATAGACCATCACCCACAGTATCTATTACCTGAAATAGTATGGCATTTCTCCAGTACACCTAGTACGAGTTTCATGCAATTGAACAGACTACACTGTACCAATTGCTGTTATTACCAAACCGCTGGGAACAAGTATACAATTACCATTTACCAGCTGAAGTATTAAAAGCAAATGCAGACCAACCTGCGCTTCGGAGAAAGGGCTCACAGAGATGCTGTTTTCCACCAGGATAGTCTGAATTTCTCCCTCAAGATCTCCTATCCGCCCTAAAACACGCACAAAATGCCCATTTGGATACACCGATGTCGACTCCCAAGAATCGATACGAACGATAACCCGGAAGTCCTGTTGTGAAATACCAAGTCAACAGAAAACCCATGATTAGCAAATGCAGATTGGAACTTGGTTGATATTTATGCACCAAGGAACTGTTTTACCTGTAGAGCCTCAGCTTGCTGCGTGCTAATTCTGATCTTGGGGATTCTGTAATCCCAAGGTGTCACAAGGACTTTCTGCGCATTTTTGCCGTGTGACTGGCTCTCTTCTTTGGAGGGAAAAGTGACCACATAATCACGCCAGTTCTTCTGTATGATGCCAACGACTTTACCTTTGAAAGTGGAATAATGCTGTGATTATACATCAATCCTTGGAAGCAGAAGCAAAGCGCATGATAAGGAAGATATTATAGATAAATCCATTTACAGGAAGATCTATCATGCCCAAGAGGCAATAAGGGAATTGATAAAATGATACAGTAGGTCTGCAAAGTGTTCTTCCAGGACTAGCCTGCCACTTTACAATGCTACAGTGCATTTCAGACAAGATCAATAATTTCTTCTTCTTAAATATGAGCTTGTTTTTACAATGGCCCTTCCTAGCAAGACTGGAATAACAATCTCAGGCCCAAGGGACACCACTACGATTTACAAACTTCAAGGCACACCAAGTAAACCAAATACAACTAAAAAGTTGTTAGCTGAGCGGCTGCTAAAGCTTGAACAGGGTAGCAACGCGTATTAACATGATGTCAGTGGCAACTTGCTCAGAATTTGTTCTGCAAAGCACAAACCATGGAAATGTAGGGGGAAATGCCCGTTTCCAGCTCACAGCCCTATGATGTTCTGTAGGGTGCGATGCCACAGGTAGAATTTCCCCAGGTGACTGAAGTGCTTTTACACGTCTTTACAGAGGCAAACAGTCTTTCAGGTAACTTGCTCTCTACACTTACCTGTGGGCATAGGTTCACCGTAAACCTCCCCAGAAGTCTTCTCTTCGGTCTCGTTCTCACAAAGGGCGGCAGTCCGTCCCTTCCACTCGCTCTTGGGGAGTAATTCAACCGCTACTACATCACCATGAATTGCTCTGTTCCGAGCTTTGGTGCCGTAAATGAGGACATCATTTTTGAGATCTGGGTGCAAAGAAAGGAGGAACGACTCAGTGGAACCTAGAGCAGACAGCAGATTCCTATTTCTCAAAGTCTAATTCTTTTTTGGCATTTTCTTATATAAAAAAGGGGGGTGGGACTTAGCTGGCCTCACAGATAAATAAATAAATTTTAAGAATGCACACAGATTCCAAGCCACACTGCCTGTTTCCTAATCACTGGTGATATTATAGATAAACAGATGAACCTCTGAAACTCATAAAGCCACTCTCATAACTAAATGTGAAAAACTGCATATAAAGATTTATAGGGCCAAACTCCAGCATGTAAAAAGATGTATACATAAATTCTATGTCAAGAGAGTAACTGGATTACTGTACATAATATTATGGTTGCCAAGTGTCCTTTACTTTGAAAGAACTGTCCCATATTGCAGGACATCCCCTTATTCATTTTGAGCACAATCCAATCCTTTCCTGTTGAAATATTGATCTGATCATTTAAGGGAGAATCATTTGGAGGGGGCTTTCCTGGCAAAGGGAGAACCCTAGGAAATAAATCACATTATTTATTTCCTCTCCCCACTGTTCTGTGGAAAGTGGCAAATAGATCTACCCCTGAGAATCTGTAAAACCTGATTGCAGAGGACAGCTGAAACCCAAGAGAATACCTGCTCTAAAGGAGAATCACAGCAGTGTGAGGAATGAAGAAACTATTCAGTATGAGGCAGCTACTGCCCTTTAGTCAGCTCCCATTATGAGGCAACCTGTTCAGTCTAGACCAGACACAGGCAAACTCGGCCCTCCAGATGTTTTTGGGACTACAACTCCCATCATCCCTGACCACTGGTCCTGTTAGCTAGGGGCCATGGGAGTTGTAGTCCCAAAACATCTGGAGGGCCGAGTTTGCCTATGCCTGGTCTAGACCACTAGGAACCTCAGAGAGAGAGAGAGACCATCCCAGAAAAGTAAGTGCCTGCATGGCAAAGTAGACCCAGATAACTCAGCAAAGTAAGCCAAGCTGTACTTTGCAGAAGGAAAAACCTAGCAAAACCCAGTTCACTAGCCAAACTGAAAGCATGGAATCTGTTCTCACCTTTTTCTTTGTTGCTGGCTCCTTGAAGTCGCACAAATGCTTCAACCTGCGCTCTGTGCTTATTCACATTCAGGACCCCCTAGAATAAATTAAAATTCAGAACCAGGCACAGCCAATACAAATATACAAGGCTATGTTAAATTCGGCTCTGTAGTACTGTAACTTGCTAATGACACCCATCTCTCTCTCTCTCTGCTCCCTGCCTACACTTTCTATATAGTTCCAGGGAGACAGGAGAAAGTTTGTCTGGAATCAGTGAGCCCAGGATGTTGGCTAATAAACTGAAACTTAACCTGGACAAGACAGAGGTGTTCCTGCCCAGAAAGAACGCCAACCATGAGAATTGCTGTTGCCTGTTTTGGATGGAGTTGCACTCCATCTAAAAAATCCTTTTTAAAGTTTGGGAGTGCTCTTGGAGCCAGCATTGCTGCTTGAGGTTCCAGGTGGTGGATGTAGTTTGGAATGCCTTTGCCCAGTTAAGTTAACCTGTCAAATTATGCCTGGAGAAAGTGGATTTAGTCATAGTGATGCTCACTTTAGTTATCTCTTGTCTGGATTAGCTTAACGCACCACCTGTGGAACTGTCCCAAGAAAGCATTCAGAAACCTTCCTGGCTCAAAACGCTGCTGCAAAAGTTCTGACAGGGACCATCTTACTGGGCCATGCGACTGTCCTGTTGTTTTGGCTGCAATGCCTACCACGTTATCCAGGTTATCAGCATCAAAGCTCTGTTTGTTTAGGGACTTGGAAACTTTTAAAGGGCTACCAATTCCTTTAAGAGCCTGCCAATCCCATTAATGCAGTGAAAGAAACTCTCTAGTGTCTTTTTACACTGGAGGACACATTTGGATTTTTGAGCAAGTGCTGTGGGCATTAACCCCTCTGATCACTTCTCTCGCCACACTCCCAGATCAGCACCCGAGAGACAGGAAAAGAGAAAGTGCATATGCACACACTTCACTTTTTTGGGGCACACGGTTAAAAGTCAGATCCAATAGGATTAATCTGAGCCTTGAAAAACGCATAGAGCTGGAAGAGGAAGTGGGAAGAAGGGTCACTCTTCCCACTTCCTTTTTCAGCTCTGTGTACTTTTCAATGGAGAAAAAAGTCATCGTTCTCACCACCTCAGGACCAAGGGGGCAGTGAACGAGGCAAGGCAGGGGGGAGCTCAAAGGCCTGAAGGGACGACCTCAAGGGTGCCATTGCACCCATGGGTGCCACAATGGCAACTCCAGCTCTAGTGTATTCTGCCTTTGTCCAGTGGGAGTACAGTGGTACCTTGGGTTAAGTACTTAATTCGTTCCAGAGGTCTGTTCTTATCCTGAAACTGTTCTTAACCTGAAGCACCACTTTAGCTAATGGGGCCTCCTGCTGCTGCCGCGCCGCCGGAGCACGATTTCTGTTCTCATCCTGAAGCAAAGTTCTTAACCTGAGGTAATATTCTGGGTTAGCGGAGTCTGTAACCTGAAGCGTATGTAACCCGAGGTACCACTGTACCGGGGTTACAGAACTCACCTACCCCAGGAGATCCATTTGGATCCTTGTTAGCAACTTTTTGTCACTTCCTGGACTTGTTTGCTCTAGCAAATATTTGTACAGTACAGCCATCTGGCTGGGTTATTACTATTTTCTTCTTCTTTAAAATTTGTAACATTCTGTCCACTGTGCTCATTTTATTAACGATGTGATTCTGAGTGTTTTTATATTTTATCTTGTTAGCTGCTCTGGCATCTTTGATGAGAAGAGCAGGATTCAAATTAACTGAAATAAATACTTTCTGTACACAATGCCAGATCTTGCAACTGATCTTGCTTCTTTCCCCATCACCACTGTAATGAGCTATAAAGGCCACTGCCGACATTTCAGCAAAAGACTCTAGTCTATCTTTTCCCACAGAGACACTGTCCATTATGGGGCAAAAGGGCAAGGGGGAAACTAAGCCAACTGATATCGAAGGGAGCTTATTTGCAGGAACAAAGTTTCCCAGTGTTGTCTGTTTTATATCCCTACTCTAATCATTATCCTCTGAGCATTTCACAGAAATGTTATGAAAACTGACCTTCTTGCTTGCTGTTTCACTGTTCCAGCGTCAATTTTGGATTTAGTACCTTTTTGTGGCCGAAACAGCCCATAAAACTTTCCATTTCAAAGTCCAGCCTCCAAACTTTTAAAAACGTTGTGTTAGAAATCTTGCAAAATTGCTTATTATTCTTATTACTATTACTGCAGCGTGTACAATTTGCTTCATCTATTTTTCTTCTCGTATCACTGGGTGCTTTCACCCTGCCAAGATCACACGGGGCAACTTCAAAAAGATGGAAAGTTCTGAGTGTTTGAGCTCACACTATTGGAGGCAATGTTCTGCCACCATACTGGTAAGCAGTACGCTATGATTACCAGTTGCTGGGAAAGCACAGGAGGAGAGAGATTGCTCTTGTCCTCAGGTTCTGCTTGTGGGCTTCCCAGAGGCATCTGGTTGGTGTGATAGGAATTTTGAGGTCTTAGATATATGGTAATGTTCATAAGCGTACCAACCAAGCACATACATAGATCAGCACAGGAAGACTGACCTGGAACCATTTTGATTCCTAAACTCAGCAAATGTTTTCTCTGCGAGGTCAAAGTGGGAAACCTCCCCATTGTCTCTTTCCTCACAAATTCCTGTCTTAAGGGCACATTTAAGATATGAATTGGGTGTGAGCCTGTGACCTGGCCCAGGAACTAAGTATTTATCATTACAAAAGACTGGCCAGGCTCCCCAGGCATGGATTGTAACCTGCCAGACAGGAGATAAACAATGACGGGAGAAAAGCAACATTCAATTTTCTGTTTTAGACCGCCTTTTTTGTGATGTAGGTGTGATGTATCTGAGGGGTGGTCTTAGGTTATACCCCTTCTGTGATGTGTGTATGATGTTTCTGGGGGTGGTCTTGATCTACAGGGTGGCAATTTCAAAAGTCTTTATATGGCCTTCCGTGCTATTGTTCTGGGTTCCTCCTCCTCTCCTGTGGGTGAGGGGAGCACCCTGTTGCAACAGATCAATAAAGATCAAGCTTACTAGCTGCTTTGCTTCTCAATATTCTCTGGTTGGCCTTTGTTATCTTCTCCTACCAATAGGGAACCTATGTAAGGACTCTATATGGGCTCTTGGATACCCCATAAGGGAAAAGGGCAATTTTTGTTTACAACATTGGTCATTGTGAAAATAGGATGCTGGACTAGATGAGTCACTGGCCTGATCCAGTAGGCTCTTCTTATGTTCGCTACGTGTTGTGTTGGTGGAGCTAAGAGCCATGAAACCAACTGTCCATCAGACTGATCTGGAAAGGTTTTGGCTCCGTGAAAAAATACTCAGTTATTTAATGGCAGGCTTTCAATTTCCTATGCACATCTGAGAAACTGCCTCTCCCTAGCCTGCTCACTTAGATCTGTGGATGAAGATCTCTTGCTGGTGCCTCTGCAGTAAAGCATAGCGGGACTCAGGCATGTGCTTTGAGCAATCAGGCACCAGTTCTCTTAAATTCTCTTCCATTAGAAGTGAAACAAGCCTCAACATTGCTCCATTTTCTATGACTGCTGATAATTTTTCTTCTCAAATCAGCCTATTTCAAATCTGCAGATTTTAACTCTTGTTGGCTTTTATGCCTTAAAACTGTTTTTTATGATCTGCATTATGTTTGATATTTATACACTCTTTCTTTTCATACTGGTTTATTGTTTAGCTGTACCATATTTTATATTTTCATGTTTTATTGTCATGCGAACTTGGTTTTTTTAATTGGAGATTGTATGCTGCTTTGTGAAGGAAGTTCTTCAAAAAGCAGGGAATACTTTTAAAAATGAAATAAAGAAATAAAACTGAACCTGTATGTATCTCCCCGATTTGATCCCTGCTTCCAGCATTTCCACAGGGACATGTTCAGGGTACTCCCTTCCGTGATTCTCTTGACTTTCATTCTCCCGTTCGCGCCGTGAGTGGACTATAGACTCAAAAAGCTCGTGAGCAGCTTTTAAGTCAGGCCAAAAGTTGTCCAGATAATTCTGTGCACAGACAGACAAAGAGGAAGTAGATTATTCCTGTAATTCGTAAACGGGCAATTCATAACAGGACCAGTCCATGTTGGAAGCCCTAATAAATAAGGCAGAAATAGTAATCCTAAAGTGAAATTAGTGAAATTACTGGGTCATCCTGCTGCTCCATGTTCAACCTTAACCATGTACCACAATGGATCTCTCAATAAAGACGGCAACTGTATCTGCTAAAATACAGGGATGCAAAGAGCTAAGTCATCCCTCTGAAGAGCCACATACATAGTATTTGCCAATCCCAAGAAATGGAGCAGGAGCAAGATGAAATAATTTGGTCTCTTAAAGGTATGTGACTATATAAGGCTTTAGGAAGAATTAAGCTGTGTTAAGAGAACATTTCTGTCATCTCTTTTCTCTCTGGAAGGAACGTTTACTTTTCCATGCCTTGTGTGTTACCGAACAGTTCTGATGTTTTACTACAAAACGGGTCCATTCCATCCATGTCACTTTAATGCAAACAAGCGAATAAAAGGCACAAAGGCATTTCTGCAGGCAAACATCAAGGACATCAGAGTACTGAACTGTTTCATTTGCCATTACAGTACAGAAAGATTACCTTGAATGAAATCACAAAAACACCTTCCGTTTCACTTCCAAGTTGCTGGATGGAATCTTCATCATCTGTTACCATGACGATGGGCATCTGACCCGCGAAGTGATTATAGTACCAAACGGATGCATTGTAAATACTCCTAGGAGAGCAAACATTCACAATTACCACTCCATGTCCTGTTACATTTTTGCCTTGACTTCATAAATGTATAACACTGAGTCATTATAAGGGCTTTTTATTTTAGTGTAATTAACAAGCTTGTTATGGGTCAGTCACCCACTGGTCAGGGCTGAACCTCAAGGGTGGAGAGTTGCTGGACACAGTTTTCTAATAATTTTACTGATGCTTTTAAACTGGCGACACAACCTCATATTCAGCACATACCTTGTCTGCCACTTCTCCAAAGATTCTCCCCTCTCTCTTGGCAAGTAAGAAAGCAGCTGGAATTCATTAAAAAACATAATGCAATCATGGCGGGCATCCCTCACCAAATTTCGCAGTTTATTGTACTGTCTGTGAAAGAAAGAAGTCAAATGTCACTCTGCCAAAGCATTACAGCTCTATTATTTATAATTGGTAACATTCATTTTAACAAAGGATCATTAATCCACAGACCGTCTTGTGCATGTAGTTAGCACCCAGAGGTAGTCCTATTGCTGCCAAACAACTCATTGTTAAGTATCTAAATATTCATCCATATTGTATTCTAATTTAGTACTACTGTAACAATACCATTATAACTTTTATGTGATCAGAAATTTTTATATCTATTATAGTATAAATTAAGAAAATATCTCTGTTTTTATTATTGGTACGTTTTATTAAAGGGTGGGTAAGGAATCAAATAAATACAATTTGCTTTCGTTCTTCATTCCTCCCCGTTCCTTTTCTATTGTGCTTTTTACATTCTGATCCTGCGGGGCAGGGAATTTCTGATATTTTAATCTACACACCATGTTTAGAAAGTTATAGGTCCTTTAAAAGCAGTAACTCAAAATAACATTGACGATGAATCAGCTTTTCAATCTGATCTAATCTTTAAATGCATCCCTATACAATTAATAACAACTAAAATGATTTAAACAAAAGTGCAATTTATGTTTATTAATTTTAAAATTATAATGAATTATGAATTGTTACAATTTAAATTACACGGCTTGGGCAGCCCACAGTATGATCCTTTAAAAACATTTCCTTTTAAGAGCGTGTATAAAAACTGCCATTACACACATAACTGAGTCCTTATCAAAACTTAATAAAAATGAAATTAATGGATTAAAAAATGGATGGATTTATTTATTTTATTTTTAAAAATCCTCTTCTTTATGTTTAATGATTAACCACCAACCCCCTCTGTGTTAGACTTATTGCTCTACCAAACAGGGCCAATGCAAGGACATGCACAGAGAGATTTCAGACTCTGGAGTTGCCTCCTTACCCTGCAAATACAAGAAGCTGCTGATGAGGAGAGTACCAGGGACCAGGAGTCAGATTCCTCTTCACTGGGTGATCAAGGGAGGATTCTGAACCAGAAGGGGAGGGGCAGGCAGGGCCAGCCCTGGAAGTACTGCTATCTGAAGAAAATGCATAATGCTTTTTTTGCCGCAGCCTGGGGATGTGGCACTGCTGTCCTCTAACTCAGAGGACTCCATTGCAGAAGACCGAGGAAAGCCTGAGACTCACCTTACTTAGGTCGCAGTAGGAGACTATTGGAGAAGGCTGGGCCCCTTTTAAGTCAATAATCATCTTGCAGCACAGGGGGTGCTAACCATCAGGCAGCACCACCTGCTACTACAGTTTAAAGACTTAATTTCAGCTTTTCCCTTGCTGGAGTAACTTCAGAGCATTGTGTTCCCAACAGCACTGCCTGAGCTGTCCAGCCTGTTTGCTGCTTTCCCTTATTGCAATACAGAGCAGGATAGAATGGGTTGATCCAGAGACAGAATCACAGAACTGCAGAGCTGGAAGGGACCAGGAAGGTCATTCAGTCCAACCCCCTTCAATGCAGGAATTATTATGATATGTTAAATTTGTATACCGCCCTATACCCGCAGTTCACAGGAATCACAGCTAAAGAATCCCTGACAGATAGCCATTCAACCTCTGCTTAAAAACCTCCAAGGAAGGAAAGTGCACCACCAAGATTCACATGTAAGGTAAAGGTAAAGGGACCCCTGACCATTAGGTCCAGTCGTGGCCGACTCTGGGGTTGCGGCGCTCATCTCGCTTTATTGGCCGAGGGAGCTGGCGTACAGCTTCCGGGTCATGTGGCCAGCATGACTAAGCCGCTTCTGGCGAACCAGAGCAGCGCATGGAAACACTGTTTACCTTCCTGCCGTTACCTTCCCTATTTATCTACTTGCACTTTGACATGCTTTCGAACTGCTAGGTTGGCAGGAGCAGGGACCGAGCAACGGGAGCTCACCCTGTTGCAGGGATTCGAACTGCCGACCTTCTGATCGGCAAGTCCTAGGCTCTGTGGTTTAACCCACAGAGCCACCCCACGTCCCAGTAGCTTATGCCCCCATGTTCTATACCCCTTCGGGAGAGACTCAAAACAAATGTGTCCCCTTCCTATCCCTACTGATCATTTCAGGAAGAAACTGCACCATTCCTGCTATACTTCCCAACATCTGAATTGGGCCATACAACTCTTATCAGTACAAAATATGATGAATAAAATCACAGATCCTAGCTGCTATATCAAGCCTCACAAAATTGCAGTGCTGAAAACAAAGCCTGCAATGTTGGGGGGGGGGTGAAACTTGTAGCATTAAACATTGAAAAATATGCATAAGCATTAGTATAATAAAGGTGGCAGCTAAGTAATTAATGCACAATGGAGAAATGGCTGGCTGGGATTTCAGAAATGAATAGCCACTCTGCAGATATGTGAACCGCATCTTGTGGATGCCAAATTAGCTCCGTCAAATAAAGTGACTGATGTTGGACCAGTGGCTTGTAGGCTGCAACTTCCCCCCCCCAAGACCTCCACCCGCCCTCAAATCCCAGAATAAAAAAGGCCATGCAGAAAGACAAGGGCCAGACCTTGTGTCCCAATCAGATTTTTTTTTAAAAGAGACCCACATGAAAACTTTATCTCAACCTGGGGAGTGGCCGAAGGTCAAAAAAATAGAATAAAAAATGCTGGCGGGAAGAAAGCATTATGTATTTTCATTAAATTGCCTTGTTATGACTGAGGATTAGAATACTGCCATTACCTCTGAAATATATTCATAGATAATAATGCTATAATTAATGTCAGTGAGAGAAATCCCTGATTAACCTTTGGGGTCCCAAGGGCATCTGAAATACAGATGTGCTCACAAAATTGCTGTAGCATAATATTAACCTTTGTAAGTCTAAAAAAAGGAAGGGGAGTAAAATACATTTCACAGATTGGTTCTATTATTTCTTGGCATTTACAGTGTCATTGTGAAGCTGAAATAAATCTGCCATATGTATTGTTTATAGAGAGCCATCTAAGGATATGGCGCTTTTAACAAAAAAAGAGGCATGGCCAATGTCTACCCAAAGGGCTCGCCATCTAAGAAAGACACAGGAGGCTGTATCCAATGTAGCACTAAGTTAAAGTTATTTAGTAGAATGCTTGTTCCACTGGAGAAATGTTTTGTGCCAATGGACCGCTGTTGCACAAGAGAATGCATAAGCAGTTCAGCTTTGTTGTGCAACAGGTTGCACAATGCAGAGTTTGTTGGGTGTTGAGTTTCCACCAGTGCAACAGGACCCTCCAACGGATCTCTACCCCGGCACTGACCACAAAGAGCCATTGGATTCACCCATCTCCAACACAGAACCAGGGGAAACAGTGGTCCAGGCAGGAATTTCATGTGCTAGCTGCAAATAAGGCTACTCGGGAAGACAGAGAAATATGGGAGAATCACCTGCCCAGGTCAGGACCTGGCTGAGAGCCAGGAAGGAGAGGAGCCTGCAGTTCCTATAAAAGTAACAGTGCTCCTCTTAAGATTATCTGCCGAGTCTTCCTGGCCTGGGGTAATGCAGAGCAGGACTGAATGCTCAAATATTTATCATTTTATTTTTGGAGGAACCTGAAGCATGCAGGAGGCTCCATGAAAAATCAAGATACCTGCGCCCTCTCTGATGCTGCATTGCTTGACATGCTGTTTGCATGAAAACAATCCCCCTGAGTTCCAGGAACTCCAGTATCTCCAGATAATCTTGGACCACCTTCCAGTCAGGTACAACATAGTGGGTCAGATCGTCGGACAATAATTTCTCACCTGAAACAGAATTAAAAGTGTTACTGTTTGCTTATTTATTTATGGCCTCTAAGAATTATGGTGCTGGAGGAGACTCTTGAGAGTCCTATGGACTGCAAGAAGATCAAACCTATCCATTCTGAAGGAAATCAGCCCTGAGTGCTCACTGGAAGGACAGATCCTGAAGCTGAGGCTCCAATACTTTGGCCACCTCATGAGAAAAGAAGACACCCTGGAAAAGACCCTGATGTTGGGAAGGATGGAGGGCACAAGGAGAAGGAGACAACAGAGGACGAGATGGTTGGACGGTGTTCTCGAAGCTACCAGCATGAGTCTGACCAAACTGCGGGAGGCAGTGGAAAACAGGAGTGCCTGGCGTGCTCTGGTCCATGGGGTCACGAAGAGTCGGACACGATTAAACGACTAAACAACAACAACAAGACTGTGTTGTGCTTTACAGAGCACGTGTCCCCACACTGAGGAGCGTACAGTCTTGTAGACTATAGGGGAAAACCTACAATGGAGAGGGGTGGAGTATGGGAAACAAGGGAACAACATGCGGTCATATTTCAGTTATACCTGTGTACTGCAGATTACAGCTTTAGTTGCAGTAGGCAAGGTGGAGAGGGGGAAGCTGGTGCCCTTCAGATGTTGCCCTCCAACTCCCATGAGCCCCAGCCAGGAGGGACAAGGGTCACATGTTATGGGATTTATAGTTCAAAAGCATCTAGAGGTCGGACAAGGTGGGTTTTCTGAAAGGACTGGAAAGAAGGGAGGAAAAAAATAGTGCTGGCTCACTAATTTTACTCTGCACCACCCTTCGTCCACCTCGGGGCCTCCAGATTTTTGGATTACAATTCCCAGCAGGCTGATGAGGGTTGCAGTTCAAAACATCTGGACGCCAACAGGTTGGCGAAAGCTGCTCTGTACATACTAAAAATTATACGGTCCCAGAGAGCCTCAAATCCATCCTTCTAATGGACAGATAGTCTTAGATGGCATTATGTCTTTCTCACTTTATGAATGGTGATTGAGGTCAAAAAGAGGGCACGTTGCAGTAACAACCTGGCAACAAGGACAGAAACCTTATTTGAATAGTAAAGGCATATGCTACTTCAAAGTAAAGGCTACCAATCAATTTACTTTCAGGGGAAAGGGCAAAAGGGTTTATTCTACTTGGTATAAACCATTTGACCTTAAATTCTGATGGAAAATAATGTAAGAGAGATGTTGGATCTTCTGTGCATTGCTACACAGCATTTCTGATTTTCTAACACCCACTTGCTATAACAGAGTTAGCAATGAGTCTCGAAAAATATACGAGAATCTCTAAATTCGTACCGGAAGAGTCACAAATTACAAGTTTTATTCTTGGGACATCCAATGATTCATTCCTATGATAAAAATTACAATGGGCAGATAGGTACAGTCTGATTCAATCAATGGATTGTGTTTGTACAGAAACGTAATCAGACAAGATGGAAATACTGTGGAAGACAAAATCTGTTGATCTGGAGGGAGCTGTGTGCCCAGTACTGGATAAGGATGCATTCCCCCAGAAAGATCAAGTCTGAACTTTGGGCTGGGGTGTCCTCCTGGATCTAGTGCTATCACTAGAGACATAGGTGCTATCTGTTACCAGCAGTGCTTTTTATCACCTTTGCCTGATTTGCCAGCTTCAATCCTATCTCAAGAAAGCAAACCTTGGCTCATTTATGCCCTGGTTAGGTCTAGATTAGACTACTATAATGCACTCTACATGGAACTGCATTTGAAGATGGTTCAGAAGCTACAACAGGTGTAAAATTCAGCTGCCCAGATGTTTTGAGGGCCAAGCAGCTGGAGCGCCTAATTCTCGTTCTGTACCAGCTACACTGGACGCTTATGCATTTCTGGGCCCAATTTAAAGTGCTGCTGGTTACCCTTTAAAGCTCCAGAAGTTTGGAAGTAGTTATTCAAAGGACTGCCTGCAGTTGTGTGAATCTGCCTGGGCCCGAAGTTCATCCACAGGGTCCCCATTTGGAAGCCCTGCCATTAAGCTCAAGCAAATTCCCAGGCGCAAAAGACAGAGCCTTTTTTTGTGATGCCCCTCTCCCAGTCTTGGTGGTATGTACAATTGGTTTCGTTTTTAGTGGATGCTAACAGATCTTATTGCTGGTTTTAAATGCTGGACCAGGCCTGGAGTTTTAAAACAATCATTGCTTTGGGTTTTCTCTTTGGTGGTCTGGATTGGGTTGTTTTTTTTTGCTTTTTGTTTATTGCTGCTTTGTTTGATGTTTGTTTTTATGAGGATTCTTTATGCTGTTGTTTAGCAAATGTATTTAGTAAATGTAACCACCTTGGTAATATTTGTGAACTACTTTGCATTGCCTGGAGAGGTAAAGGTAAAGGTACCCCTGCCCGTACGGGCCAGTCTTGACAGACTCTAGGGTTGCGTGCTCATCTCGCTCTAGAGGCCGTGAGCTGGCGCCGTCCGAAGACACTTCCGGGTCACGTGGCCAGTGTGACGAAGCTGCAGCTGGCGAGCCAGCACCAGCGCAGCACACGGAAACGCCGTTTACCTTCCCGCTATAAAGTGGTACCTATTTATCTACTTGCACTTAAGAGTGCTTTCGAACTGCTAGGTGGGCAGGAGCTGGGACCGAACGACGGGAGCTCACCCCACTGCGGGGATTCGAACCGCTGACCATACGATCAGCAAGTCCTAGGCACTGAGGTTTTACCCACAGCGCCACCTGTGTCCCATCATTGCCTGGAGAAGCAGGATATAAATAAATAAACAAATCCTTCCTCCTGCTTCTTTAGCACCAACGTGAAATCCAAAACCAATCTCACTGAAAGGCACAGGAGCTGCTTAAGAATGCTACTACAGTTGATGTGAGGAGTCAAATGGCTCCATGGAACACCCATGGACAAGGGATCCAGTTTGTCTGTGGACTTCCCAAAGGCATTTAACCAGTCACTACAGAAAGCAGAATGTTGGAGGAGATGGGCCTTCTGACCCAATCCTGCAGGTTGGTTCTTATGTTCTCCTTACTAGGATAGCCAATGTGGTGCCCTCCAGATTCTAGAATCTGCCGACGTGGCAATAGTCAGAGATCCTGGGAGTTGTAGTTCAAAACATCCAGAGGCCACCACATCAGCTGCCCCTGTTCTAGTAGTATAATTTTGTGTGTATATGTTGACAATCATGCTCCTCTTCTCGTGTTTTATTCATCCCGGACAACTACCACATCCCCAGTTATGTACTCATGAGTTCTGTTGGAAATGGCACTCTACCGCTTCCTAAAAGAAATGAAATAAAGCACCACAGATGCTTTCCTCCCACCCTAGTGAATGCCCACAGAGGGACAACTAAGCCACGTGCATGGAGCTGAAATATACAAATGCAGGAAGATTATACCAAGTCAGATATCTGGTCAATCTAGCTCAGTACTGCCCACACTGACTCTTTCAAGTTTCAGACAGGAAGCCTTTCCCAAAGCTACTTGGAGATGTCAGGCCCTCAACTAGGGAGCTCTGGCCATTCATGTATGTGCATGTAGAATAAGCAATTGCGTGTGTCTTACACAGAAGCACCCCCACTCCTTTTCCCATTCACATCTACTAAAGTTGAACCCTTCCTTAATAATAACAATAACAATTATTTTATATAATACCCTGCCTATCTGGCTGGGTTGCCCCAGCCACTCTGGGTGGCTTCCAACACATATACAGTGGTACCTCAGGTTAAGTACTTAATTCTTTCTGGAGGTCCGTACATAACCTGAAACTGTTCTTAACCTGAAGCACCACTTTAGCTAATGGGGCCTCCTGCTGCCGCTGTGCCGTCGCTGCACGATTTCTGTTCTCATCCTGAAGCACTATTTCTGGGTTAACCTGAAGCGTATGTAAGCTGAAGTGTATGCAACCTGAGGTACCACTGTAAAAACATAATGAAAGGCCAAACACTTTCCTGCTCTGCTCAACAGGGAGCAAGGAAAACACTTGCTTATGCCCAGTGACCTCTTTTCCTGCATTAGCCAGTTTGGTGTAGTTTAGGAGGACAGGGTTCAAATTCCTGCTCAGCCATGAAACTCACTGTGTGACCTTCGGTCTCTCAGCAAAAACCTGCCTCACAGGGTTGCTGTTAGGACCAAACGGGGAGGGAGAGCAGAGCTCCTTGGAGGAAAAGTGAAATATAAATGTAATAAATAATAATTAAAAAATACCAAATCAGGCATGAGCCTTGGATAGACATTTCCCCTCCCTGCCCCCCCCAAACATGACACCACGCTCCGCCCCAATGGCCAAGCCCCACCTCCTTTCAGCTTACAGACCGGTGCACCGCCCACCCTCCTTCGCCCCGCCCACCTACCGCGGGGACAGTCCGCCCGGCAGAGGGCGCTGCCGCAAGGCACGTCGGGCCTCAGGTAATGCTCGCGCACCACCCGCACGGAGCGGCCCAGTAGGCCCCGCAGCTGGAGCACCTTCTCCGTCCGCTGCATCTGGAGAGGGGGGAGGGGCGCGCGCGAGAGAGAGAGCCTGCGGGGAGCGGGCTCGAGCGGGAAAGCCACACCTCCAAACGACCGCGCTGTGCCGTCCCACCGCCGTGATTCGCCGCCGCCGCCGCCCGTCCTGAGAGGAACGTGGAGGCGGGCTAGGGGTAAACGGGGAGGCTGGAAAGAAGAGGCGGGGCCACCTCTGAGAGAAACAGGGAGGCGGGGCCGCGGGCGCGAGATCAAAAAGGGGCGGAGCCGCCTTAAAATGGCGGGCATGTTTTCCAGCGGGGAGAAACTCCCTGAGGGGATGAGGCCGGTTGCTTTGGTGAGGGGGCAGGCGAAGGAACCTCGTGAGGGTGGATCTGCGTCCATTCGCTTTTCCACCCTCACGGTTACCGGCCTTGGGCAGTTTAGTAAACCCCATCGTCAGAATATAATAATAATAATAATAATAATAATAATAATAATAATAATAATAATAATAATAATATATTTATACCCCCGCCCATCTGGCTGGGTTTCCTCAGCCACTCTGGGCTGCTCCCAGTAGAAGAAGAAGAATTTAAAAATGTGATAAAATATCAAACTTTAAAAACTTCCCTAAACAGGGCTGCCTGTTAATAGGCATGGTCAATTTCGCCCCATTCCTCCTCATGGGTCTACTCCGAGAATAATTAAGTTACATCACATTACGTTTCTACCGAGCCTTTTCTGTAAGGGACTGAAAGTGACCTACTCGGTTCTCCTCCCTCCACTTAAATTTCAACAACAACCCTGTGCGCCGGGTTAGGCTGAGAGACTGTGGCTGGTATTTTGCCAGCCTTGCATTTCTCTGCAAAAATGAAGGCCTCCGAGGTGACAGGCAATGATAATAAAGCAAGCTATTGAGCAAAATATATATATATAAAAAAATTAAAAGGTGTGGGCAAAACGGGACTAAAAATTAATGTATAAATCAAGATATTCATTCATAAATTTATAAATCCAATGCAGTGCACAAAACCAAAGCGACTAAAAGCCAGAGGCAGCAGTTCTGGTCTATTTAAATAAAGAAGAAATCCATTAACAGGCAATCTCTTTATTAGGAGCATCTGAAAATAAGTTTTCCAAGTTCATTGGATCCTGTTAGGCAAACAGAGTTCAAAAGGGAAAGAATTGAACACTGTGATTTGGTCCCCTGGCAGAGGTGGTTTTAGGAGTGATCTTGTCCCAACCCATCAGGAGTAACTTGAGAATTGGATTTGTTAGTTGTTGAAAAATGGAAGCAGGAGACTGACATTGCAGATAGCTGTCCGGCTCAGAGGAGACGGGAATAGACAAAACGCTGTCATTTTTTACTTGATTAGTATCTTGATTTTGGGTGGCATGCCAGAGCCGTTATCAATTATTAAATAAAGAAGAGAAATAAACTGACAGAGATATACACAACACCGCTTTCCCACATAAATACAGCTGTAATGTATCATCTTTTGACATTTTAATGACAACTCTGTTGCACTTTATGTCATCCACGTATTACAGAAGTTCCCCTCCCAACCTCTCTCCATCAGGCAAGACTAATGCCTTTCATCACATATAGAAAATTAAAACAACCAAATGCAGCTAGTCTCCAGAAACGTGTTGCCAATGGCAAAAGGAACTGCTCTGGTTGGTTTCAGGGTTGAAGATCTTAAGAACTGTGCAATGCAATCCTATGAATGTTCACTCAGGAGTAAGCCCCACTGAGTTTAGTGAGGCTTACTCCAAGGTAAGTGTTTTAGGATTCAGCCAAAGATTCACCAAACCCCAGTTTTGGAAATCCAAGAACCCTTTGCTTTGAAGATAATTTAGCAGAATGTCCTGGTGCCTGTCTGCAAGTCATCAGGATGCATTTTCCATTTTTGTCACTAGGAGTCACTGTTTCACTAATACAATAAAGATAAGCTATATGATGGGGAGTTTCCTTTGCCCAGATGCAACAGACACAAATCCACTCAAGTCCGTGATAACAACATAAGCAGATTGTCTTCAAAATAAACAAGAAATTAAGTGTTTCCCTACAAAACAACAACGTAAACAAATCCCTCAATTTATTGGAAGGATTCAAGTAGTGGAACATGAAATTACAAGACCAACTTATGAACATTACTGGTTGTATAGAAATATCTTGCTTGCCATAGCTCTTTGTTTTTGCTGCCATGTGTTTAAGAGTCAACTTTACACTTTATCTCTGGATTAAATTGTTTTACTGTCAAACCAAGCTGCATATTACTTTCATTTTAATTGCAGCCTGACCCTGACACATGCTTAAGCCCTTGGAAATCAATGGTCTTGGGGATAGCTAAGTCTGCATAGAATTGCAGCCTTAAGTTCCAGTTCTATGCACATGTGCTAGAGGATAAATTCCATTGCATTAAATAGGACCTCCTTCTGAGTACAGTGGTCCCTCGCAAGACGAATGCCTCGCAAGACAAAAAACTCGCTAGACGAAAGGGTTTTTTGTTTTTTGAGCTGCTTCGCAAGACGATTTTCCCTATGGGCTTGCTTCGCAAGACGGAAACATCTTGCAAGTTTGTTTCCTTTTTCTTAACACTGTTAATACAGTTGCAACTTGACTTCGAGGAGCAACTCATAGAACGCGGTGTGGTAGCCTTTTTTGAGGTTTTTTAAGACTTTGGTGATTTTTGAAGCTTTTCCAAAACTTTCCCGACACCGTGCTTCGCAAGACGACAAAACTCGCGGAACGAATTAATTTCGTCTTGCGAGGCACCACTGTAAACTGGAACTGAGCTGTTTATTTTTTTTAACTTGCTTTCCCAAACTGCCATTAAGATCAGGAAGTTTGATAGATGGTTTAATATTACTTTCTTCTATTACCAACAGCATATCAGAATGTTGGGGGCACTGCATGGATGGAGCTTTTATTTTTATTGGATTAAAAAAAAATCTCTTTCTCCTAAGTAGTCCAGGGTAGTTTACGTGGTTCTAATCCCCTCATTTATTCCACACAACAACCTTGTTTGGTAGATTTGACTCAGAGAAGGTGCTTGGTCCAAGATTGCCCTGTGAGCATTGGGGCCCACTATGTCCCACTGGCCCTCACAGCCTTTGTACCTCAGTTGTTCCAAACACAGCAGCCAACAACTCGGGTGGATGGACTGGCTATAATATGGGAAATGAAGCCAGATAGTGTGTCTTAACTCATGTATCTCCCCACAAGGGCCTTTACCTTTTTCCAGGCAATGCCTGAGTATTCATGTAAACCACTTCAGAATTAGGTCCACCTTAGTTAGGAGGAGAAAGTGCTGGTTGATTATCACACCTGCCCCCCCGGCACCTTTCTCTCTTGAATTTTAATGCACATCCTTGAGCCTCTAAGGAAAACTCTTCTTATCTCATTTGTACCGCAAATGACAACTGGAAAGAGTTCAATGGAGGTCGATTGCCTCCTCATTTAATTTCTCATGATCGGTGGCTAAAAAGGAATCCATCAATTTCACCTCAGCATCACAGCTCAAGAATGTGAGGGCAAGGGAGCATTCTTCCATTTGTAGGTGGACTTTTAAATACACACTAAAGCAACCAAACCTATTCGGGAAATAGCCATGGCCCAGCCTGTCAGGAATGGGGGTGCAGACCTTTAAATTTTGGAACTTCTCCTTTGTGCTGTTGGTCAAATATGGGCCTATCTGAACTAGATGTGAAACCCAGATTCCCCCTCTTCTGCTGATGTTTTGGTAATGAGCACAAAGCAACACTCTTCAGATTTCAGTACAAGGCTACCCTCTCCTTCCAAGTTACAGCCTTTTTTAAATGCTGTCCTTAATACCTTAGAAGCTATAACTTGCTTTTATGGGAAACCATAGTGAAATGAGCATTATAAACTACAGGAGCAAATAAAATAAAATCTGAATGGCAGGTGATATTCATGCCTCTTTATCTAAGACTATAGCAACAGAAAAAATTATTTCATGGACCCTAGAAAAAAAAGAGAGAAAGCAATGAGCAAGCTTTTAAAATAAAATAGTTTATAACAGCTATAACACATAAATCACTCTTGGTTGGCATGGAATAGTTGTTAAATGGTGGTGGCTTGGTGTAAAATGGAGAGTGAATGGGGAATTGCATTTGTGTGAGTTCTTATTTAAAAAAATGCAACACCTGAAGGTTCTTGGCTGACAAAACATGTAACTATGGGTAGGGGTGGGGACAACTCCCATGCACTGTTGGTTATGTGTGTGAACTGCTGCTTTTTCCATGGTGTGGTTAATGCACTGTGCTTCAGCACCCTGGATAGTTCATTATCCCTCTGCTAATGCTGGCTGCTGTTTGTCCTTTGCCTCACCTATCTCCAAGTTGTATCCAGTGTTAGTCATACTCAGAGTAGACCCATTGAAATTAAAGACCATTACTTACTTTCGTCCATTATCTTTAATGGGTGTACTTTAAGCAGAGACGGTTGGCTAGAATCTTATATCTATCTCATCTCTTTTCTAAGCCCATTCTAAACCATCTCCCAATTCCTTTCAAAACCCGCTTCTTGGATAAATAGTAAGTTATGCAAAACAAATGCATGTCAATATGACTAATTCTACATGTGCATCTCATTTGCAGAATTTGGATTTTCGTGGTGAATATTTTTTTATTTTTGCACAGTACATACAGCCTCCATCTGTTCTTTGTGTTTTCTTCCAGAGAGGCATAAAAACATAGTTTATGCTGACAAACCTCTAAGTATGCCGGTGAAAACTATGATGCAGTCACCCATCACGAGGATGAAGCTTACAGAAGCAAGTTGATAGATTTATTTGCTGATCACTCAAGAAAAGGAAGGAATGAACTGTGTCATCCTGCTTGCATTTTTACAGAAGGCGTTTGCTCATGCAGAAAGATGATCGGCATTACACCAAGGTGCTCTGAGTTTTTTTGTTTAGTTTTTTTGCAGACTCCTGGTTGAACTGGCAAAGGCACATGAAGGTCAAATGACTTGCCAGAGGTTATCCATTGATCTGAGTGTTTTTGGCAGGATGGCAGCCAAATCTTCATGCTCATTGCCTATCAGCTGTCAGTGCAGGATTCTGTTGTCTTCGGTCTGTATTTCATTTGTAAAACAAAATGGGCTTCACACCATTTGGTAATAATTTAATAGACTGCACATTAAAAATCCAGAGAACATGTGTATGATTGCTTTATAGCACATCAGCAAAATGCCACTATCATGCACAGGAAATGCAGTGTTTGGAGTAAAGCTGAGATTCAACACATTCATTCAAGCACCAATCTCAAGCAAAGGGAAGGCAGAACAAGCAGAGGCAAGGCAGTAATCTGGACAGCTCCATGCAGGGCTCAAGCACTGCTCAGATGTTGCTTCAGCACCACTTATTTAGATTGCAGCTCCCTCTCAGTAGCTAGCTCTGCCTTTACTTCAAGGGGCCTAGATTTCTCTGGCAACCTTTGAATCTGACAAGGTGAGTGAGACTCTGGGACTCATGTGATGGAGCCCTTTGAGTCAGATGCGGGTCAGAGGGGAACTGGGTCCACAGGTTCTACTTGCAGAAGTGCTTTCAGTAGGTTAGGGGCTTCTGACACTGATCCAGAGGGCAATTCCCTCTCCCATTCTGAATCCCAAGCTCATTTCCCAAAGAAGGTGAATCTGACCCCGAGGTCATGACATTTCTTCCTCTTGAAAAGCTGTTTCTTCTTTCACTGTCATCCTCTTCTTCCTTGGTGATCACTCGTAGCCAAGTAAGATTCCATAAACTTCTATAAACATGGTTTTAACAGTGGGTTCGTAAGTGACTGTGGAGGCCAATTCTGGATCCACACGTCCTTCCACAATGGGAACATAGGTTTCTGGATGGGAGTTGATCATGGTGAGGGTTTGCCTAGCGTGCCTTCCTCTTATCGCATCTCTCCCTTTAATCCTGAGTTTGAGCATCTTCAAAGCCCATGACACCTTCCAAAAACATGTTGAAAACAGAGGTAAGAGCATCCTTCCTTTTATTACAGTTTAATTATGCTGAATAAAAACATTGTTTGTGATCATACCCTGTCAGTGGCCAACAACTAACTGAAAGGGTGGCATTTATACTGGAGTAATGATATCAAGATGAAACAATTAAATCAACTAAGGCGTGATTTAATTATGAACAGAACATAAATTATTTTAAACAAAGAAACAGAAGTGTGAAATCCTCAGCTCTCTGTACATCCTGCTGCACAAGTCCTGTTGAAATAAATGGGAGCTGTGCAAGAGTCCTGCTTCCCAAATATATTTTGCTTGCCTTTTTCACTCTGTGGCTTATCTTCCAAGGATTTTAAGAACTTTCCTCCATCTTTTGTTTCCCTTCATCCTATTGAGTTGTCTTTTTCTCCTCCCCACTCACCCTGTTCTCCACTGCGTGGCTCCCCATGTGTCAGATAATTAAAAAAATGGAAATTGCAAAACACAAGGCTGGAGAAGGTAGCAGAAATCCATACTGGTTGAGGCCCTCTTGAATATTAAAATGACTTTACTTTTGAGAGCGTAGCAAATTCCAGCCTTGACAATTTCATTTTCAAAACTGTTTATGCTCACAAAAGTCCATAACAACAACATTTCCATTATGTTCTTGCAGGATTTTCTTGTGGTCTTTACTTTTGTGAGTCAGCTTTTATTATTGTTCAGCACTGATGTCGAGCAATGCAAATGCAAAACAGGAAGATCTTTGCGGTAAAGATATTGCTGTTTTCTCAAAGTACAAAGGTGTCTGTCGGCCTGCAGCCCTGATGTTTTCTCCTCCCGACCTGCCTCAATAATGCAAACTAGCAGCAGTGGAATTTATTCTCCTGAGACCGTAATCTTCATTTACCTGCTACCAAGGTACTCTACCTGACTATATTTAGATTTCTTTTGAATGTTATCTCAAGAGTCTAGAGCAGATTATACTATATCATCATCTCTTTTTATCTTCACAAAGGCTGTGGGAGGGAGAGGTAGTGGTTTGCCAAAATCCATGCAAATCAGCTGCATCTCCCATGTCCAGACTAGCCAGGGCACCACAATGTCTCTGCAGGGCAATTAGTGAATTCCCATCTCTGGTTTCTGTCCCTCTCTTTGGACTTTCTCTGTAGAAGCTGGATGCATTCAAACAATCTCCCCCTCCATTGATCTTGCATTAGGAACAGCTATTTTCATTTAAACAGCTGCGGGGAGTCTGGAACACTGACCTAAAAGGAAGTCAAATTTATTTGAGGCTGATTTTGTTCTCATGCTTTATTGTCCCATTGAACATTAAGTGGAAGGGATACATGCAGGCATGCATGCACGGACACACACATTCTGCCATTGGGATAAGTAATGCAAATGAATTATATAAACAATTTTTCATACATAGAATAATTTATCATTTCCCCAAGATCTAGGTTTTCAAATAATTTAGGCCGGTTGGAAGGAAATAAGGTAGGCAAAATTACACCACAGGGTCTGAAAACAAAGAGAATGCAGAAAAGGCAAGGACCTATGAGAAGGAGAGGGCTTTTTCTGTGGCAGCTCCTAAACTGTGGAACCTCCACTCCACAAAGATGCATCTAGCACTTTTGTTACCCACTTTCCACTGTGTGCTTTCTAACCTGACCTTTGACAGTCAAGGTATTATTGGGCGACCCATCTCTTCTGTTTTGCTTAGCTTATACTGTGCTGCATTTGTTTTGAATTGCTTTACTTGTTTTTAATTTTATGATTATAAAACCCATCTTATGGTGAAATAAGAAATCTAATAAATAAATATGAGACCACCAACAGGAAGGTGCCATATACTGAAAGAGACCATTGTCCCTCTAACTCAGTGTATTGTCCACACTGGCAGTGGCTATCTAGGGTTTTAGGCAGGGTACTTTCCTTCCTGGAGATGCCTGGGATTGTACCTGGAACCCCCTGCATGCACAGTGAATACTCTCTTACCACTGAGCCACAGCACTTCCCCTTAAGCTGCAGCCTTTCCACCGAGCCTATAGGGCAGGCATGGCCAAACTTGGCCCTCCAGCTGCTTTGGGACTACAACTCCCATCATCCCTAGCTAACAGGACCAGTGGTCAGGGATGATGGGAATTGTAGTCCTAAAGCAGCTGGAGGGCCAAGGTTGGCCATGCCTGCTCTAGGGCTTACCAATCAAGGTTGGCAGTTCGAAACCCTGTGATGAGGTGAGCTCCCTTTGCTCCGTCCCAGCTCCTGCCAACCTAGCAGTTCGAAAGCATGCTAGTGCAAGTAGATAAATAGGTACCACTGTGGAGGGAAGGTAAACGGCATTTCCATGTGCTCTGGCTTCCATCACGATGTTCCATTGTGCCAGAAATGGTTTAGTTATGCTGGCCACATGATGCAGAAAGCTGTCTGCAGACAAACACCGACTGAAAGCAAGATGAGCGCCGCAACTCCATAGTTGCCTTTGGCTGCACTTAACCGTCCAGGGGTCCTTTACCTTTACACTTCCAGATCACCTGAAATCCCCTTCACCTCCCTTGTTGTAAACTCCGTGATAATTTTGCATACAGTTAGAACAATCTCCCCACCCCCCACCTCCCATGTAGATCTTTTTTTCCAGTGGCATATTCTTCTACAGAGGAAAAGCACGACACTGGAATCCATTGCACTTCTTAATGAAGACAGATGGTTTACCTGGCAGCTCCCCTTCGTGCCTTCTGTCTCAGGGCAAGCAGATTGAAAGGGAGGAGGGGCAGAACCAGGGGGTCACATGGAACCCACAGTCGGACCGAAGATCCACAGAGGATGGCGCCCTGGAGGAGCAAAAATAAAATAAAGAGAAGAAAAAAGAACTTACCAAAAATAAAGGTAACCATGAACCATTGTTCTGACACAGGCAGCCTCAGACTATTCTCACATGCTTCTTCTTTTCAAGCAACCTGTCTGCTTTCAAGAGCAGGCAATCTGCTCTTCTCTCTGTGTGTAGGAGGAGGAAGCATGCTTCGAAACCGTCTAAATGCAGCTGCTTCTTATATAAAACTCAAAACATGCAGTTTAAAGACTTTGACGAAAGTGACAACGTAAGTGGAGCAGCAGCTGTTCCCGAGAGAGGGGGAAGTGAACCCCAAAATGTCCCAGTTGACCAACTGCCAGGGGACCCTTGTTCCTTTAGCTGCCATAAAAAATGTGAAATTCTCCTGCCTTTTCCCCACTTAGTTTGCATTTGCTGGGCCCTGGGGTCATATGGAAACCTACGCCTGGAAAGTGGAGCTGGAGACAGATGCAGAGCATAGTTTCAAGAAGGTGGAGACCCTCTGAAGCAGAATCAGTTCTACTCAGTTGATTAGGCATTAGCATCAGGCCTGGCCCATCCAGCAATTGCACCCTACTGAATTCCCTTCTGTGCCTGAAGAGGACCCTCAGGCCTGACCAGTTCTGCAAGTTTCCAACTCCAGGAATGAATCTTCATGCTAGACAGTGAGTAAAACTACTGTTATTTTCAGGGCATGACTTGAACATCTTCAGCTGCCATGGCTTTGCTCAGGGAGTCTGTCAGAGTCTTAATCTGAGGCAGGCTGGTTTTTATTGGGGGGGGGGGCGGGTTGTTGGCTGAAACACTGAGGTCAGACTCAAAAGGCTAAAAGGTTTCTCAGGAAGTCAGAGACACACAGGTGTCCCTCCTCACAAAAAGCATAAAGTGCACCTCCAGAATGAAAGAGTCACACCTCTGTCCTGTGCATGGGCCTCCCCCATAGGCATCAAGTTGTTCACTATGCGAAGAGCAGGCTGGACTACATAGGTATTTAGCAGAACTCTTCTTAGGACACCTTTGCATAAGATTTGCTTTTGCTGATTTATAAGAGCAGATAGGGAACAAGACTGTGACCAAGTCTCAGCTAGATTGGTAAAGAAAAAGTGTTTTATATGTGTTGTATGTGCGATATAACACTTTTGACACCAGATGGCGCTGTGGAGCCCCATCTTTCCCTACCGGATTTCCCTATATGAGTTAGCAACGTTTAACTGAATCGCTCCTTTGACGTGTCTAGATCCAGCCCTGGTGATCTGTGCGCCTGCTTAGTCTGCTGTCCAGGTGCTAATTAAATGGGAAACTCCTGCTCTCCCTTCTTAGGGCTTTTTAATCTTTAAACTGGGCAGCCTTCAAATTTCTATTTCTTCAAAATAGTATTACGTAGTAGGACCAGGAGGCGGGGGGCGGCTGCTGCCTTTCTGCATATCACTGAATCTATTATTCAGGTTGAGAACTTCCAAGATGCTGAAGCAGGTGTATTCCTAATCCTTTGCTCTGGATAACAACCTTCCCACGGGGACTTTCTTCAAGGGCATCGCTCTCTTAGACCTCAGCAGCTTGCCTGCTTTGATTCTCCTCTATACATTCAACGATCACTCTTCCCAGCCAGCATTCTCTGTTACCTGTTCCGAGTGCTTCAGAGGGAAGAAAGTCTCACTTATCTCACACTCAACAAGAGAGCATGAATAGCATCTGGAAAGGCAGCCAGATAGGTAGGTAGAATGAGAGCATAAGATGAGCCTGCTGGATCAGGCCAATGGCCCATCTAGTCCAGCATCCTGTTTTCACAGTGGCCAACCAGATGCCTGTGGGAATTACTAATAGCTTCCTCTTACATTTCCCCCGTGGTGGCTTGTACCTGCACAACTGGCAGGGTGGAAAGTGGAGATGGGTGGGTAGTCAAAGCCAGAACCAGTAATGGGCAGAGCCACTGCCTGTCTGCTTGTAAGAAGGCAGGCAGGTGGGGACTAACTGGGAGCTTTTTGAGATGGGTGGGGCAATGCCCAGTTCACCCTAATGAACGAGCCTCCACTGCCATTTCCTATGCTCATTCATGTGCTTAATCTCCACAGTACACGGTCCTGACTGTGCACCTTTGGTCTGAAATATACAGATGAAGACCTTGTTTTTTTGCTTGAGCAAAAACTCTGCGTAAAGTCAGCCACAGTGTGTTTGAAAGGGAGACTGCGTTTTATTTTGTTTCCTTTGGTCTCAGCGCCTAAATCTAATATATGTTATTTGATTTGGATCCTTTGGATTAGTAAAAGGGGATTGGCTATAAAGGGGGCCGGCATCATTATTCAGTGTTATTAATGATGTTGTCAACCCTTAGATTTCCCCAAACTAGAAAACTCATAAATTTTACTTATGGGGGGAGTGGGTGGAATTTCAGAATGATCTAACAAATATATAAATTCTTTAAAGTATTTAATATGTGTTAAGAGGACAGCATGATAAATTCAATATTGAAAACCAATATCAGGTTTACAATTATTTGCCATTTATCATCCCTGATTGCGCAGACAGTATCTTATTGAAAAGAATAAAGTGATTCATAAAGAGAGTTCTATTACAGAAGAAAGGAACCAAAAAGAGAGAGGGGAGGAACAGTCAAAAATATCTTGTTTTCCTCTCCTACCATTATTGTCAGCTGCTATTTGCTCTTTTGAGAAAGGAACCGTGTGAGCTTAATCGCCTGCACTTTGATATTAGAGATACGATAAATTTATAAAGTGAGGAACCATCTCATTTTCTGAACAGCATTCTGACAGCACATTTTTCTTTAAATATCTGATTTTCTACTTACGGAGGAAAACAGACAGCTCTATGCCATCTTTGTCTTTACAAGCTTGAGTTCTCTGAAGTTTAGTACATTTGAGGGGGGCCTTGTTTCCCTTCCCTTCCTGCCCCATGAGATTGTCATTCTGTTACTTGGTGGAATATGTGGAAGAAACCAAACTCCAGCAGTTAAATTGCACGTGATAAGACAGAAGAGGGTACCATTGGGGGAGGGGAGGGCACCCCATCCTTGTGTTTCAGAGACCACATCTGGTAATTTCTGGAGTACACCTATTGCCTACTGTCTCACTGGTCTACACTTTGGATGAATGCTAACAATGGCATTGGCCTATGCACCAGGTATGTATGCCAAAGGTGTAAACCCCCTCACTTCATATATTAAGATTTGCAGAGGGGGCTTTGTGTATGTAATGGTGCCCAGGAGAGGACTTTCTCTGTGGCACCCCTTAAATTGTCGAACTTCCTCCCCACAGTGCTGTGTCTAGCAGCTTTCAACACATTGTTTGTTACGTGTTGGGGTGCCAGAGTTTTGTGGGTGCAAGGCACCCATAATCCTTAGAATTCATAAAAGTCAGAATTAATTAAGGTTTGATTAAACGGTGCCAAGCACAGAAATTCCTGGGTTTAGCTTCTGCAAACGAGCCAGACTAGCCTGGCAGGGCTAGCTGAGTGCACGCCATTCAGAGACAAATACCAGTGATGCCCATCAAGGAAACCACCAAGAGAGAGTGAAGACTGCCAGACCAGGAGGGGAGGTGCAAGTGTTTTGGCAAGCAGAGAAGTGGAGGGCAGAACATGATGTAGGTTGGTTGTGACTGGCTGGAACAAAAGAGACAGAGCATAGCTTTTTGCTGTTCTTTGAATCCAGTGCTATGTTTATAGAGGAGGGCAAACCCCCTTGAAATGTGAATGTTCTGAACTCTCCCCATCTAGGTTCAGGTTATCTATCTGTGTAAATAAACCATGTACCATAAAGATACCACAGTTTCTGCTGTGCCTTATTCCCAAAAGGAAACACGGGCCCTGGGTAAGCACCCAGAACCCCCGAAGTCTCTTGCATCACCCTTTGGAGATTGGGGCGGCTTATAACAATATACTGAACAGCGAAAGGGGCACAACATGGCTCCTTCTATTGGCCAGAGAAGGAGCAGCTGCAAAGAGCTTGCTTCTTCCTACCCCACCTGCCTGAATGACCACTCAGTTACCTCTGGCTGTTGCCCTGGGACTGCAGAAACAATACACAAATAAATAATGCACCCTGCCATAGTCCCTATTCAAAGGTAGTGGGCTGTGAGAGCAGGACTCAATTCTGTATTCCAGGTGAGAGCAGGCTACAATTTGGGGCATGATTTATTGGTCCTGAAAGAAGTGATTCTGCGCAGGTGAGATCTGAGCTCACAAGCAGGATGTGTTTGGGGACAGTGAATAATTGCGTGTAATTTTTTTTGCTGCAGTTAATATGTTTTGCTCTTTGGCAGTTTAAATTAGGGTTATCAGCTCTAACACTCCTGGTACTTCAGGCCTTTAAATAGGAAATTGATTTTAAACCTTTTGAAACCTTTTCTGTCTTAATTCTGCTATTAGCAAGCGTTCTATCATTTGTTGGTTAGTGCATGTATCTATGGCAGTGTGGATGGGGGCGCCCCAGTTGTCAGCGTAAGTGGCAGGGTATGTTACAGTGATGGGAGGATGATGTTCTGAATAGATACTTAAGAACTGTCCCTCCTCTCATCTAAGGGAACCTCAGTTGCTCTGTCAATGGACCACTGAAATTGCTGGTGCTAAATGCCAGACCAGTGAAAGGGAAATGTAGCTTCCAGGACTTGTTCCTGAATCAGGGGACCAACCTGGTCTACATAATTAAGATATGGTACAGTGAGACTGGCTGGTAGGCTCGTCCCCAGACATTTTGCTGACTGAGGTGAATGACAGGATGGCATCCACTTCCATATTCCACTTAAAGAAGTGGACTGGATTGGCAACTGAAGCTTGCTTCAATGTGTGCCTCTAGCACACCTGAGAACAGCAAACTCTTTTAGGAGATGCAAGGCAAGTTGTGTGGCACATGCAGTTCTGTCCCCCAATAGTTGGGAACACCTAGAGACTCAGGAGGAACAACCAGAAGGCTGCCATCATCTTCAGCATCTGCCACCTGAGGCAGTGGCTTCACTCTGTCTAATGGTAGGGCCAGGCCTGCAGGAAGGGTTGGCCTGTCTCAGTCATAGGTTTTCAGCGTCCTGTCAACACAGCATCAGCATAGGTAGAGAGTCAAGGAAGTAGAGTTTCTGTCTTTTATCTGAGCTCCAGCTTCTTCTACAGGTTCAGCAGAGATCCAATTTTAAAAGACTGTGTTGTACCTCCTACCCTGCTTCCTAACAGACTTCCCTGCCTAAGCAGGTGGAGGAGGTCTTGAAGATCTTCAAGCCTTCAGTGTTGGGCAATTAAAACATCAGTGGTAGAGCATTTCATGCTACCTGTATGGTGGACCACGTGCTTGACATGCTGGCACATGTGTGGGTGAAAATTCCCTTACCAGGAAGAGCTAGACTTAAGCTTATACAGGCTTGTCTGCAGCCATAGGGGATCAATTAACCACTAGAGGGTGGAAGTGTCATCAATATATTGATAACACCCATCTCTATTTCTCTTTTCTAACTTAACCAGGTAAGGAAGCTGACACTCTGAACAGGTGTTTGTGATCAGTAGTGGACTGGGTGAGGAGGCTAGCAAATCAAAGCGAATTCTGGACAATATGGCGCTCTTGATGGTTGGCAGCTCAGTTGATCCTGGAGTTAATGTCTGGCAGTATTTGAAATCGAGTTTGTATTAATTGGTGTACTTTGGTAGTATGATATGTATACTGATACGTTGCAACCTATCCTGTGACCATGTGGTGAAGGGTGGGAAATAAATCACTAAATAAATGAAATTATCACTGCAATAAAATTCCCTCCCTCCACAAGCTTGGACTTCCCTCTGATGGTCCTTAAGTAGTAAAATAAGAAGCTGCATTTTACTAAGCCAAACAGTGGTCCATGTAGCTCAGTGTTGTTGAAGCCCAGGATGTTTTGAACTCCTATCAGCCCCAGCCAGAATTTTGAAGGGTCAGGGATGACCTGAGTTGCATTCCAACACACCTGAAGGGCAACAGGTGGGCGAAGGCTGCTGTGCATTGACTGGCAGCACCTCTCCAGAGTCTTTCCCTGTCCTACTTGGAGATGCTGAGGATTGAACCTGGGACCTGCTGCATGCAAAGCTGATGTCCTGATGATGGAGATGGATGAATCATGGCTCTCCTAAGATTGTGTGTAGCTGACTCTTTGATATGCCTTTTAATGAGCGCCATTGTGTGTCTGTTTAATTCCCAGCTTCTTTATTTTTAATGGGTTTTTTATGGTTTGGTGGGGTTTTAAAAAAATGATTTCAAGTGTTTTTATTATTTGGAACTGATTTTGTTTGCCAAAATCATTGGATCTCTTTCTTAGTGGAAAGGCATAATATAAACACTTTAAATAATTAAAAACAAACAAACAAACAAACAAACAAACAGCAGCCTCCCTGCCTTGGTGGTGGTCATCTTCTTCTAGGGCAGGATGTAAGTAACTTAAGACAGAAATACACAAATCACAACTTTGTTGTTGCTGTAGGTCTTCATTTGTTTTTAATATTCTTAAGCAAATAATAAAAAAGCAATTAAGTTTATTCTTATTTATTCAATAAAGCCATTGCTAAATTTCAATCAATATGCAATGGCGTTCAATCATCCCCTAATTTAATCAACAATTGCTAATTTATTATTAATGTTGTGAGTTAATAAGAGGATTGTAAAAAAAAAAGGAGAAAATAATTAAAAATAGGCCAGCGTGCTGTGCATAAAACTGATGTGAGAATGCACCACCCCCAGGCTGAAATGTATGGGGCAGTAGCAGTGTTAGGCAGATACGTGGCAGAGGTTGCTGCAACCTTGCGTGATGAGGAAGGCAGGGAAATAGTTTTCTGTAGTGACAAAGGGATTATGGAAATGGGTTTTGATAGAAAAGTGGACCAGAAGCCAGCAGCAGCTGCAAACGTGCATATAATCCTCCACTCTTGTCTTGACGCAAGTGGTTGATAGCAAATTCAGGTAATGCTGACTGCTGAATTTGTATCCTATTTATTTAGTAGATTGATATCCTGCCTTTTCGTCTGTCATGCAATTGAAAGTTGGCAGATATGGTGGTTTTCCAAGCAGCCCTCCATCCAGGGTGCTGGTTAGGGCCAGACCTTCCTTGCTGAATATATATATA